GTCCTGAATTTTGCAAGGTTCAAAGCTAAACTGTCAACAGGACTATGACGCATACCGCGGCTTCCGCAGTAACCACATTCATCTATCGATCTCTGTCATTGCACCGGTCAGCAGGAATTGGTCTGTTGACTCCGTCCAGCCGTCTGCAAGCTACAATACCGTGCATCTGAGTCCCCGCTTCTTTACACATTTCTTCAACTGGTGGTCTCTATTCTCCGGCGTTATGTCATTGCCAGTTCGACAAGGACCGCTGTGGCCTGGTGTCACAAAAACGAGCAAGAAGTTCAACCGTCATTTAGCGACGGTCAAGTACAAGCTACTGTTTGCTCCACTGTTTGTTGCCCATATCTATAAGCACAAGGATCGCGAAGACTACGCGGAAGATGTCGTGACGGCCACCGGCATCAAAGTTCGACTGGACAGTCTCAAGCTTGATGTTCACCAAAGACGGGAACACGTCAAAACTCAGGCCAAGGGTCGCTTGAAGCAAACCAAGGCGAGCGCGATGCGGATCAATCAGGCACAACTGGATCTGCAGGCCGCAGACTTTCGTGCTGTTTCCGCCAGCATTGAAGGCACAAATCTCGATGACATCGAGAAAAATAGGGATGATATCCTGTCCTCCTTCCAACAGCCTGTCGCATCGGTGGACTTGTCTCGGTTCACGATCCCTGATCAGAATCTTGACTGGATAGACATGGACGATTTCGTGGAACTGGACTGGATACTGCCTCAGGAGTCGAACCCTCGGACCCAGATCTTGCCTCTGGCATTCACGCCACGCTTCACGTACTTCCGCCAAACCGACCATGGGCAGACAGTCCCAGATGAGACTGGATATAGCTCATTTGGTGACGAACCGACCCATATTTGTGTGATGTCTGAGAACAATGAGCCTCGTCGAGTGCAAATGGAGTTGATTAGAGATCGCCTGGTCTCCGTCGAGGCTCAGATGCGTGATTGCAACCGGGCCATTGGTGAGCAGGAACTTCGCATGGCGAAGGAGGTAGATCATGATCCCGAGTTAAGGAAGCAGCACGCCGACTATCTGAGACAAGCAGAAACATTGACACGGAGACGAGCGTTCCTTACAGGTGGCCTGCAACGCATTGAAAGGCTGATAGCCCGGGAGGAGAGGCATCCAGTGGAAAGAAGCCCGGAAGCCTTCGCCAATGACAGCGCTTCTAAGATGGGAACCGACTCAGATTCAACAAGTGACGCTCGGGACGCCGATATGGACGGACTCTACTCGGGCCCTGATGACGAATTGGCAAGCGATTTCAATAATCGGTTCATCATTCACAATGTTCAACTCAAGTGGAACAATTCGTTGAGGAACATCATGCTTCGTTACATCCACCAAGTAAGCCAGAGACGGGGTTTCGTGTACTACATGTCTCGGCGGGCAGTCAAGTTCATCCTCGATATCGTCGACGAGCAGAACAAGAACAAGCAAAAGCACTCGAAACTGTTCCGGACAGCATCGAGACGTCCCTCAGATGCTCGAGGCCTCGTGGATAGCGACGATGATGACAGTGTCGAAGATCGCATTGAGCAGCTGCTGAATGATGCCAAACGCTTTGTGAGCGCCGAAGAACAGGAGAACCAGGAGCAGAGAAAGCCGAGCACTCCTACATCGGAGGGCTCCAGCGAAAATTTTGCGCCAGAATTCACACCTCAAAACAGTTATCATCTGCGGCTCATCGCCCCTCAAATCCAGCTCCAGAGTGAAAAGAACCAGAAATCAGTGTTGCTGGTCGCCGCTAAAGGGATGCAACTGCAGGTCATCTCTATCATGGACAAAGAGCGGGTGTCTGATGATGTTAGCGGTCTGGTTCAACGTCGCTTCTCCCTTTGCATGGATGGAGCCCAGTTCTTCGTGGCAACACAGAAGAATCTAATGAACCACCTCCAGTTCTATGCAGGAAACAAATATGGCAATTCACCAGGTTCAGCGTGGCCACCTTGGTTGACCCTAGAAGCAGTCTTCGACTTTGAGTTGAATCCCTTTGGCTTCTCGAGGATTATTCAGAAGACTTCGGCGAGCTTGCGATATGACAAGTACAACAACCTTCGTCTAAAGTACAACGAGGAAGTGGCCAAGGGCCAACCAGGGCAACCTCTCAACATTGAAGAGCAGGAGCCGAGGATGGATCACATCAGTGTTGATTTCCCTCACTTCAGAGCCATCTGTGACTCGGCTGAGTATTATTCGATGTATATCATCGTTCTGGACCTCCTTCTCTATAGTGAACCACTGGAAAAGGTCCGCAATGAACGCTTGGAGAGGATCATGCTCACGTCCGATTTCAGTGACTTGAGGGGTGCTCCGGAGATGGTATTTAAACTCCAAGCCCGCATTCGACAACTAGAGGAGATCAAAGAGCATTTCCAGATCCATGCCAAGTATTTGGACAAGCAAGGCTGGGAAGATCGCTTGATCCTTGAGAAAGACCTTACTCAATGCGAGGACGAGCTGTTCTTCCTGATGAAAGCCATCACAAGCTCCCAAAGAAAGATTGACCCGACCATGTCGAAAGCGAATGGAGTCCTTCGCTGGAATATCTCGGCCAGTGAGGTTGTGTGGCATTTGATGAAGGATCAGTCCGAACCATTGGTTGAATTTCAGCTGAGGAATGCTGCTTATGATCGCACAGACAATAGTGACGGTTCGAACCATAATGAAGTTGCGGTCGAGCGACTGTATGGCTTGAATCTGCTTCCAGATGCGATCTATCCCCAGATCATCGTTCCTTACCTTGACCAAGCTCGCAGTCTCGACGGGCCGGATGATTATATGATCAAGGTCAAGTGGCACATGCTCGAGGCAGTTGCTGGCATACCAGTCGTGGACGATTTCGAAGTTTCTCTTTTCCCTCTCAAGGTTCAATTGGAGCAGGTGCTTGGCCAGAAGGTATTTGAGTACATGTTTCCTAATGTTGGGTCAACCGCTTTCGAAAATGGCGGGTTTTCACCCTTCATGATCAAAAACATGAAGCCTATCGATGGTTCATCTGACTCCGAGGAGGAGGAACGCCCAAAGACATCCCCTGGACTTGAACAGAGCGATATGTCGACAGACGATTTGTCCTTGAAGGGGTCCGGGGCCATTGAATTAAGACTCCAGCCCACGCTTTCTCTGGCGGAGGAGGCTAGGCCTCGATCGCAGCATCGCCATCTCAAGGGCCTTGCACTGACTCCTATCCACAAGGATAAAGATCCAAACCTTTTGATGCGCCCGTCGACGAGCGGGGCGTTGAGCAAGAAGAGGTCAGTCGACAGCCTACGTATGTTGTCAAGACAGCCCACAGAGAAGTCGCTAGTCAACACTGCCGGAACGAATTCCACTGGCGACGAAAAGTCAAAGAAATTCGCTCTTGGAAGACCCAAAGGCAAATCCAAGGAGACTCCGGATGACCTGGCTCAGATGATGTCACGTGCATCGAACTATATGACGTTGGCTCATGTCAAGGTGCACGACGTGGTGCTCTGCCTGAGTTACAAAGGCAAGGGTGACCACAATCTGGAGGATCTTCATGACTTCGTCTTCCGATTGCCGGTGCTTGAGTATCAGAATAAGACATGGTCGAACCTGGATCTGGCTCTGCGCCTCAAGAAGGACGTTATCAAGGCTCTTATTTCGCATGCACCTGCGATTCTTGGCAACAAGTTCTCTCATCATCGACCTTCCAAACAGCAGCAGCAACAACAGAAGCGGTATCGCGAGCTTGTAAGCTCATCCCAGCTTCTACATAATTCAGACAGTGTTGTGCAATCGACGTCTGAGAAAGCCAGTAGCCTGGCCAGTGTCGACTCAAACAGTGAATATCCGGAGTCACAACGCTCCGGACATTCGGGGACCTTGCCGCTTGCGCGGTCAAACTCACTCGGGTCTAGCATGCTCAGCATTAATGAACCGAGTGGGGTGATCTCTGATTCTCGGTCGGCGAGCGAGGTTGATGTGGATGCTCGTTGGGAAGTATGTACTGCCCGAAGTCAATCAGTATTGAGAAACCTTGCTGACTGGTCATGTAGCAATCTCGCCGACTTGTCAATCCTCCCAGCAGACCAATGACGTCGGGCCAAGCTCTGCCTCGGTCTCAGACCACCAAGCTCTGGGATGGACCGGAAGAAAAGTAAGCTTATATGAACTGTACGGAACACATCTTTGGGCGAAACTGATTCTTTCGTAGTAGTTCCAGCCACAAGACCGCATCAATCCGCAACTTTGGCCGCAAACTAATGCCTTCTCGGAAATAGTCTCCCTGCTCCATAGCGGAAGGCATACGTTCGAACATCACACCCCTTCCAGGATCCCTCCCTTATTTCATTATCCTGTTCTCCTCGTTAAGACCTCGCTTGTTGCACATTCCTGACCTTGCATTTGCCATGTGATACCCCCAATGCAGTGGGTCGTATATAGGCGTCGGCACATCGGTATGCTTTTCTTGCCATGGAGTCCGTTCATAATACCAGGAGTTTATCTGGGGATCTTTGTTGTTGTTTCCCGCCCCCTGATTTTGCCATCCATCCTTGTTGATTTTCTCTCCCCGTACAAAACCTCTATTTAACCCTAATCTCTTTTCCCTTCGAAAATATCTTTTCTGCATGTACCATTCTTGTTCTTTCTTTTTTTCAGACCCTAGACGCTAATCGCAAGTGTATATCCTTTGCATGTGCAGGGTTATGTTTACGGCCGTCTACGGAGTTGCATTTGTGGGTGATGCGCGATATGAGCGCATTGAACATATGGTGTGTGGTATGGTTTTGTGGGTATATATCAGGATAGACGGTGCAATTAAAAGGTACTCTGGGTCAATACTATTTGTTTCTGCCATGTCATACAGCTCTTCATGATAAGCGATGTGTAGAAATCTCCTTGCCCCAGGACGCTTTGGGGCTGTTGGCACTCTGTTCCTCGATGAGGCGTTGTGTAGCAAGTGACTCTATAGCAGCCCCCACTCCCCCTCCCCACTTGGTCTATCCAATGCATGTCGATACTACTCCTCTCTTCCTACCCCAACCATCCCCAATGCCACCTCACACAACCCCCGAAGCTGCTTCCACCTCTCCAGCAACATCTCAAGTCTACCCCGCTCCCACTCCGGAGACCGCACGGCGGCCGGGAAGGACACAACAGCCAGAGCAGCAGTACTCCCATCATCCTTCCCCTCTACACTTTCACCTCCCTCCCCCACGCAGCCCCGCAAATCATCTCGGGCTACCATCACCTCCTCAATCCGCCCGATCACCACCTCACACTCCCTCCGATACACCTCGATCCACCCCCGAACCACCTCCGTGGCCTGTTCGCCCGAGAACCCCCGCCGCGAGCGCCCCGTGATCCAGAGTTTCCAGTCGCGGCGGCTCATGGTTTTCAGGGCGGCTGCTGCTTGGATGTTTCTGGGGATGGTTGAGGTTGGGGATGTGAGTTCGAAGTTTCTGAGGTGGGTGGTTAGCTTTCCCCCTCTTTTTGTTTTGCGGGTATCAAGATGGATTGGGGGATGGTCTTACCCAAATAAATCCTGCCCGATGAGGTCTTTCTTTTGCTCGATGGTGAGGTCTTGGAAGATGATATCGTCGAGGTAAATGCTATCTGAGGGGTTGGTGGGGAGGAAGAAGCCATCTTTTTTATTTCTTTGGTTAGATTGTGTCTTTCGGGGGGACGGACTAGGGGCTAAGTTATGGGCTAGGAAAGGGGGACAGCATACATTCGACGAAGAGGAAGTCGTTGGAGTGGGAGCCGTAACTCATGAAGATTTCTTCCTTTTGGTCTGTTTTTTTTTGGGATGTTTGTTGTTAGATTGTGTGGTTTCTTGTAGTTGGTGTTCGTGTTGTTGTGGGGGCTGCGTACCGTATTGTCGGGTTGCTTTGAAGAGGTAGTTCTCGCCGGTCCAGATGACTTCGCATGCCTGCTTCGAAAAAAGATGTCAGGTGTTTGGTGGGGTAGAGGTAGGTGTTGGGTTGGGTTGAGTTTGAGTGCGTAAGGGCTGGCTGGCTTACCGCATCGTCGTCGTGGTTGAAGTAATCCGCAAATGGGACCATGGCGATAGCATCGTTCCAGTCCGCCGGCTCCGCTTTGCCCGGCGAGACATAGTAGAAGCTCCGCGAGTTGATGATGAACCAGTAGTAGACGAACGTGCTCCAGTCAATCTCGGGGTAGACGGTGCGCACATGTGCCCATGCGGCCTGCAGCCGGTTCTCCTGCTGGCTCAGCAGGTTCTGGTATCTGGTTTCGTAGTCTACGCCTACTGGTTCTTTCTGGAAGGTATTCCAGAGTCCGGAGATTGAGGGGGGTAGAAGGCTTGATGGTGCTGCTGACGAGGAAGACTCGCTGCTGCTGTCGCCTGCTGCTTTCTCGAAGGCGGAATTGGACCGGCGGAGATGCTCCGGCCAGAGCACGGGCATGGTGTCCTCGAACTCGCGGAAGTTGGGCCAGACCTTGCGCCAGGGCTCTAGCTCCTTGAGTAAGGCGGCGTCTCCATGGCTGAGAAATGCAGCGAGAATGCAGTGGATGGATGAGCATGAGGGGAATTGCTCCACGAATGATGAGGGGATGGAGTCGATGGTCAGCATTGCTGATACGGGCACGCTGAGCATGACCTCATTCTCCTGCAGCTGGATTAGCATAGACCAGAAAAAGTGGGCACGATTCATCAATCATGGGGGTTTTTAGGGCATGGGGTATAATACATACTTCTATCGTCCGCGTCGCTTTCATGCCCAGGCGTCGGCCGGGGAAACGCGCTGGAGTGATGCCGTTGATCGTCACGCCTTGGGACTTGGCCCATTGCATGAACGCAACATGTTCCTCGCCGGGGGACTCGTCCGTTGCCATCGTCAGCTGCCCTCTAGCCACTTATCCCCGCTGTGTATGCTGAATCGAACTCAGAAAAGACAATGCGTGGATGCTTGTAGTTCTTCACGGCGCGATTAGGTAAGCGGCATAGGAGAGCGTTCCTGCCTGAGGCCTGCAAGCAGCTCCGCGGACCTGCCCGTGCAGATTCGATATCCGCCTCAAATCCAAGGCTTCCTGCGCGCAACCTTTTTTTTTTCTTTCTTATTTTTCCTTGTGGTTGACATTGCGAAATACAGTCCCCCCTCCTCCCCTTTCTCACCTCCATCTCACAACATATCCACAATGACCGACCCAGCCACCACCCCGCAAACCGCGCCGGACGCAAAGATCGACCCCGCGGCCTCCCTCCGCTACTGGAACAGCGTGCCCGCCAACGCGAACGTGATGCTGGGCATGCTCGGCCAATACCCCTGGTACACGCGGATCGACCTCCGGGGCTCGAGGACCTTTCTGAACAAAGTCCGCCGCCTGATCCCCGACTGCCCGACGGAGGGCAAGCTCGCGCGCGGGGTCGACTGCGGCGCGGGCGTCGGCCGCGTCACCGCGGGCCTGCTCGCCCACGTCTGCACCATCGTCGACGCCGTCGAGCCCGTCGACAAGTTCGTCCAGCTCATCCGCGACTCCTCCCTCAAGCGCGACGGCGTCGTCGGCGACATCTACACCGTGGGCCTGGAGGATTGGCACCCCGACAAGCGCTACGATCTGATCTGGACGCAGTTCTGCGTGGGCCATTTGACCGATAAGCAGCTGGCGGAGTACTTTGTCCGGTGTCGCGGGGCGCTGACGGAGACGGGCGTGCTGGTCGTCAAGGAGAATCAGTCGACGGACCCCCGCGGGGAGGATATGTTCGATGAGGAGGATAGTAGTGTGACGCGCACGGATGAGAAGTTCCGGGCCCTGTTCAAGGACAGTGGGCTGGCGGTGGTGGCGTCGGAGTTGCAGTTGGGGTTCCCCAAGAACTTTCGGCTGTTGCCGGTCAGGTTTTATGCGCTGAGGCCGGTTTAAGTGGTCAACCCTTGGGCGGGGTTGAGAAGAGATTTTGAAGGGTTTGCGTGAAGGGCAAAGCATTGAGATGGTTTCTCGGCTTGAAGGCGAGCGGGGATGGCTACAGCTGACTGGGTAGAGTCGGCTATTGTCGACATCAGCCGACCTGGTCCCTGGCATTTGCTTCCGCCAGATGCTAGGGCCATTTGTGAGTCTGCCACGGTGGTCGTCGTCGTGTCGACTACATCTGCACCTCGAGCGGCACATGGCATCCCCGTCACGGCATCTCTCTATCATGTCACGATATATACGAGACTCGGCCTATGCGTGCATATTTCCTAGGAAGGATTGACGATGGCACGAGTGCAACGAAGACAGAACTAACCAGAACTGAGGGGATGGGTTGTTTGCTGCTGGCGGCAAATTATATAATCTTGTACAATCTTGGTATTATGATTCCATTATCTAAAAGCAAATGTCCCAAGCCGAGAATAATAAGTCTAGGTATCCGAACACAAGGTGCAACTATCAACAAGTCGCTTTGAAAAAGAAGGAGGCTTGGGTATCTTTATGTACAGTAACATGTCGGCGCAGCCGTCGTAAATCTCATCATGAACATTTTTTCGTAATCTTCACGTTTGTGCAGTTGTTGGTTTGATATGAACTTCAATAGTCCCTCATCCAAGCTCATCTTGTGTGTGCTCAGACTTGTCGAAGTCGGATGGAAGAACACCGTTGTAATATGTCGAAGCAAATGTGGTTACGTCCAAGTACACGGAGAAGTATCGCAACCCTGCAAGAGTTACTCAGGATTGAGCGGATGGGCTTGATGGCGCAGTTTCCTTTTCGCGGCCCCAAGGGAATAGATTCGGCAAACGGTCATGAACACTTTCGAGTCGTGTCCGAGCGGATGGCGCATTCGGGTCGTCGGTATACGCAATGCCTCCTTCACCGTGGTTTGCGCCCCACGATTGTCTTTCGCGTCGAAGATCACTCTGAACCCATGGGATAGTGATCAAAGTCCAGACTCCAGCCCAGGCGAATGGAAGCGTCCAGCCCAGCTTTAAGAGGCTCATTAGTCATGATAGTCATAATAATGTGAAGTGGACGGACTTACAGTATAGGCAACCGGCTCCTCCACGGTGAATATGATCGCGGTGATAGCAGCAGCGCATACGATGGACCCTCCAGTCCAGAAACAATTCATCTGAAACAGCATACGGCGGAAGTATGGGCTGGAGAGGTACCGCGTGCGAAGGGCGTATCGATAAATCTGACCACCACCTCCATCCACGGCAACCACATCTTCAATGAGCACATACAGGGCGGTGGGCATTGTTGAGCCTTTGGGCGTGGAGGAGATTCGGAAGGGTGCTTTCACACCACATGCGCGCAGGATGTCAAGGGTGAGATAGACACCACCAAAGTAGAACATAACGGTTGGGAGGACCATTGCAACGAGACGCACTAGTCATTCACTAACTTTAGCCAGAGTCAAAGGCACGACGAACTAAGATCAACTTACCGTATGGCTCTTCCGGTACAGTTCCTCTGAGAGAAGTTAGCCGTTATCAAATATCCCTGCCGACTATGTCACTTACACAATCAATTCAATCGCGAGGATCAACCAAACGATAGTAAAGTTGATGTGGAAGAAGTCGAGCTGCATGAGAGTCAGTATGACCCATAGCGTTGGCAAGCAAGTAACATACCCATCCTTTCGGTGCATTCAAGGGTCGAGCGCGAGAATCTTTGCGAAAGAGATTGTATAACCGATAGAAGTATTCGAAAACCGAGATACCTCCCAAGGACGCAGTCACAATACTGAAGACTGGACGGCAAAATAAATCAATAAAGGTCGGAAGGGTCGGGAGTGCGCAGGGAGACTGCTAACTTACCGACGTTGTGTGAGAGGTCGGTGAGATACCATAGACACCAGTATAAGATGAGCGGTTGAGCCATTGTATCGATGATGAAGAGAATCCAGAAGAACGCGATCGACTTCTTCCTTGTGCGCAAAGAGTAAGGGAGCTGCGGAGGCTCTGAGGGCGCCGTCCCGGCGGTTGCTTCAGTATCATCCATGATAGGTGGCTAAAAGCGGCACGTAGTAGTCGGCTCGATCTGTCAATCAGTTGTTCTGTGATGTGATGGGTGTTTAGATTGATAAAGTGGCTTCCGAGACAATGCAAGGCATGGTGGGGTGGAAAAGGAGGATAAAAAGTAGTCTGGGTAGGAGAGCAGGTATCTCTCGAATCGAATGGGATGACTATATGGAGTTTCGAAAGGAGGCAGTGTTCAAAGGCGAAAATGACCCCGGAAACGACGGGTTTAGGAAATTGTTTTCCCCCCTGCCCATTGATTTCGGCGAACCGAATGGCTTTTTTGGCTGGCCGCGATGCCTGACGTAACCCCGTCGCGGTGATGTCATCCGCCCGTTCCGTCACTCTTTATTTTTCTTACTTCTTACTTCTTCCTTCATTCCTTCACCAAACATCAACAGCATAAACAACCCGAACACTGCACATCCTTCAGTTGTAGACTTGGCTGATGTTATAAGAGCCACTGTTGTCTCACTCTATTGTGATTCTGTCTGGGAGGGTGCTGGGATCCAGGTTTCAACCCACAATGTCAACCCAGCGGTTCATCTGCTGGTCTGACCCGCCCACCACCGCGGGAATACGAGATTTGCCTCCCACGCTTACCGCTGGATATAATCCGTTCTACTATAGCTTTCGTCAATAGATTGAAGAGGAGAGTACGGGGTACTACGTGCACAATTTATTCTCGGATTGCCCAATATCCCGCCCATCCGATGCCCGGAGCTTCGAGCCACAGGATTAGGTATGTCTTTGATCATTGCAGCTCCACTTGGACCCTGGCCCGACCGGATGATCAGCAACCGATCGTCGGAATGCATGAAGTCATGCACAATTCTACCGGGCTGAGTAATTATGCACTATGCAGCTACATATTATACAAACAGTGATAGCCGCCCTCAATGTTGAGATAGTAGCACCGAGTAGTATGTAGCTATAATGACATGACACTTCCAACTGCGGCGGTCTTGTAAGCAAGAACACTTGGTGGGGCAAGGGGTCAGTTGCTATGAGTATTGCCTTACTAGAGTGTAACGCAGTCAACAACAAACAAATTCACTTTGTCCAAGTCAAGAGGGGCTTCAACACATGAGCAGTTTACTGCTTAGAATTAGTGAATGGCCGCTTGATCAAGGTCCTTCCTGATCATAACACTATGTTTCTTCTCCAATCCTCCATACATGTAACACCTAAGCTACTCAGTTTATCCCATCCTCCCACCCCCACGGATCTTCAACCTGCTACCGAGGCCAACGATCTAAGGTCTTTCTACCTTCTACCTTCTCCTCAAGTGTATATCCAGCAACTCACGAAGGTGTCGGAACAAATTCATGAAGACCTAGAGCCAGAAGGTTAGTGCAGACCTACGGTTTCTCTAACACATGCCTCACTTTATCCTTTAGCAGAAATGAAGGACGTGCGCAGCTAATCTAATCAAGATCCGAGGTTCTAGATACCGAAACGCAATCATGTCTACCTCGGACGACGATGGGCGCACTACACCGTCTCACACTACCCTAGCCTCTGATACCGAGGCGGTCGAGGGTTCCTTGACTTCAAGCATCGAAACATCATGCCCATGGCCAGGAGGCAAATACATCATCCGCGAAACGGAGTCTAAACTCGTCATTGCGCTGGAAAATGGTAGTTTGGGCTTGTACGCTCTGCCAACCAAAGAAACCGTGGACTACGACCTGGGGTTTTACTGGAATTGTGTCGAGAATGACAAAGGGTGGCTCGGCTTGAGAAACACTGTGTCCGGGGGGGTCATAGGACATGCTAGCGTCCAAAGCTCCAATGCGAAAATCTCCAATGCGACCAGCCTTTATCACACAATGAGACATTCATTTTGTGCTCGTCAACATCCAGATGGCGGCTATGTACTTCTATTCATCGACACTGATGATGATGCACTCTTGCCGATGACGACCTCGAATGAGAGGTTGACGTTTCGTTACGGGAAAGACATGAGATGGGAGTTCATCAAAGTTGATTCTCTTTGAGTCAACTTGAATTCGACCGGGCTGATCAATTATGCTTCAATATGTTGACATAAAACAACAGGCAGTGATAATGTTAATTTGCTCTTTGTTTCTGTGGGAAAAAAAGACTACCGGTGTAAAGTCTGCATTTGGATTCGTAAACATGATGGCATGAGATTGGATTTGAATTGTTTGTTGTTTTCCAAATGCCGGCTATTCCAGCTTGCTTAGGATAAGTTGAGATGACTATCTATCACTTTTCATGTACTACTGACCGACTAGAATCGACAGAATCATAGCCACCATTAAACAGAAACCAGCGCAAAAACAGTATCTATATCCCATCAAAGCATATGAGACTAACCAGCGACTGCCAAAGCGCGGAGTTTATATTCCGACCCATACCCTGCTATGGTTTCACATGGACGGGTGTATGTCCCGTCCAAACTCCCACTTCATCATTGAATCCCTATCCTTTGACTTGTCTACTGCCCACACCACGAAGTACGGAATAAACTTCCACCAGCACACGAGGAAACAGGAGCAAAGTCCGAGGTTAGAAGGACAAAAGCCACAGCGAAGATCAACCTCTGACGATTTGAGATCTTTACTACGAGTATGTAACGCATGCCCCACATCGAGCTCTATAGAAATGGAATACTCCATAGATGCTCATCCATAGCTAAACTAACCTAGCTTGGCTGTAGTTGCTCAAATACAGGATGTCCACGTCGGACGACCAAGGATGCGATACTCCAACTCATACGACTCCAGCCTCCATATATGCTGACTCAACCGGCCTTCCTTCGTTTGCGAGAATACAAACATACAAGCTGTCAACTTGTCCATGAAAAGGGGGAACATTTATCATCCACGAGCCCAGGTCCAACCTTGTCATCGCATTGAGCAATGGTGTCTTGGGCCTCTACCCGCAGAGAGAAGGCGGGAGCCGGGACACGGCTAGTCACGACTTCGGGCCGTACTGGAAGTGCATGGAAAATGGGGGGGATGTGGCTCGGCTTCAAGAATACGGTGTCAGCTGCCTACATAGGACATAATGACATGCAGTCAGGCGGGCGCTTCCAAGTCAATCAGTTGTCTCACAGCGAAAGGGAATCGTTTTGCGCACGGCAACATCCTGATGATGGACATGTGCTCCTGGTCAAGCACGGGAGCGGGTTTCTACCTATGAAAGCCGGAGGAAAGGCTGGTACAGAGTTGGTGGTGGACAATGACCGGAAGGAAGGAACGAGGTGGCAGTTCATCCGAGTTGACTATCCTTGAGTTAACTCGGACAATTATGCCGATGTTCTGGGGCCGAGAGAAATGAGAGTCAAGAGGGCGGATACAAATAGTGCACCACTGAGCTGGCTCGAAAATGGAAGTCTCTGTGTTTTAGCATATTGTCTTCAGTACTTCTAAGATGCCTCTCAGTTCATTCGATGATTTCAATTACCTTAAGGGAATAGCCAATGAACATTCCCCTTCTGAGCGATGTAGCCACGCATCATGTGATGGGGACAGATCCATCACGTGAGTGGATGCCCCCCTAGCAATTCGGCCTCAACTTCCACCTTTTCCCTCCACGACGCCGGTTCGATTCGCGCTTTGGCCTCTACCATTTTCTTTCTCGTTCAGTAAAATCTCCGTTGTCCAGGCAATGGCCTGAGATCGATATCCGCTGCAGGTGATTTTTCCAAATCGAGATCGAGCAGTGCAAGGCAGTGATTATGGGGACAAAATGGCCCCAAGTCTTCGGGACCTGATTGATTTTCTGCTTGCAGAGATTGCTCTCTGCGGCGACCAAGGTTGGTTCCCTGTCAATCTCTTTTGCCTCGACGAAGTGAAGGTGGTGATGATGCTCCACCATCACCACTACTAAAACTCAACACACTTCCCCTGCATCTTGCATGCATCCTATTGGATCAAAGCACTCCCTTCCACCTGTCGTGCCTATCTACACCTGCACGTCCCTTTTTAATCACTTACACCGTGTACCTCCCAGTGGTAAAATCAACTAATGCCTTCCAGGTGCATCGCCATCGGATATACTAAAGTTCATCGATACATTCTATGCCAGACTGGCACAGGATGCTCCTGACCGCAGCCACACCGTGGACAGACGCTTCAAGGAGAAAGTCTGGTCCTGGCTGACGAAGAACCCCGAAATCTCGGTGGGTCAGAACAGGGAAGGAAACCATCTTCGCCTGCAAGATGTCACTGGATTCTCTCGTGATGAGTCTTCCACCGAGGCGCACGCTCCCATTTTGTCGTCGGAGACTGTTCGCGTATTCGTCTCAAAGGAGCGAACTTGGCTAGCAGTCACCGGCCATGAGCCCGATGAGACCAAAGTCTTGCCCACCGAGTTCGCTCTTCTCTCAATTATTGCCTCGCGTAAGCACAACGGCATCGTGCAGACAGATCTGGTCAAGGCCAGTGGTCAGGACAAGCGGTCGGTACCGAAGCGAACAGACGCCCTGCATCAAAAAGGCTACATCGAGAAACGGGCTATTCAAATCAAGGCGGCTCGGACGAGTCTCTGCACCCTTCGCCGGTTTTTGACACCAGAACATGCACCTCAGTCCGATCAAGACTCTGAGCCCTCTGGAGTGAAGCCCAAGATGATCGACTTCAATGAGTTTAATGGGAAGCTCTTTGACATTCTGAGGGAATACAGGCTTATTTCTCGCAATGATCTCAAAGCAAAGCTCGGATTTATCGATCATTGGCACTGGCGAATCCTGTCCCGGGCGCTTCGCAAGTTCGAGCGCATCGGGGTCTTGAAGCGTGTGAAAGCTTTGTCTCAGTATGCGCATACACTGAAAAAATTCCATCCATGTGTCATGCTCATCCGGGAACCTACGGAGAAAGACATGGAATTGTTCCATGAGTTCAGTCGAAACATCTTGGCCAATCTGGACCAGGAAGACAACGTCGAACTGGAAGACGAAATGGACCAGGAAGGTTCAGCCCGAGGATCGCAAGCCCCCCAGAATACCACGTTAGTGAAACGGGAGCAAGAGGTGGAAGATGCCGGTCGCATTCTCCCTTCTTGGAGCCCAGACCGCAACATCCATAATCTCATCTTCGAAACGATCGATAATGCGGGGACTGCGGGTCTCACCAACCAGGCAAGTCGAGCGAAGGAAGCAAGGCACCTGCAAATCTACTAACGCCTTGAACAGGGGATTATTAGGAACTGCTTCGGGTACTACTACCGCAGACCGCTAGAAAACGCAATCAGTCGACTTACAGATTGCTGGCAGCTGTCCCAGCCATTACACTTGCGCCATCTGGCTATAGTGCGGGACACAGCACTTGAACGAACCATTACACATTACGTTCATTACACCGCATTAAGTTTCCAGGCACTGGTCAACGCAGGAGATGCGCTCTGGGAGGCGGTCGAATTCCGTCCGAAGGATGCCAAGGACGAAAAGATCCGACCGCCCCCTGTAAATGCCATGCCTCAGCTGGATCAATATGCATTACCCTTGGAACGTCCGGGAAAGGAGGTACTAAAGGGCGGTGATGCCTCCCTCCTGGAATGTATCCTCGTGGCTGAGCCGCCAAACTATAATTGCTCCAGCCGTGACCCTGTGGCAGTGCGGCAACTGGATGGGAGCTATAGAATTGAGCAGCGACTCAAGGGCGCCGCTGGCGTTGGGGCCAGCCCGCTACGCCCTAGGTCTACGCCAGTCACAGTCAAGAAAGAATACGCCGATGTCTCTGGCGATGAGATAGTTGAGCTGAAGCCTGCTAGACCACGTCTCAAGAAGCATGATCCAGAGCGATACAAAGGCATGTCCGAGAAGGAAAGGCTGGAAGCGATGGGATACGATGAGACATGGACAGATTACAGCGTCTTGCTCATAGAACGACTAACACCCGGCGTGTACGTCACTCCACGTGGTCGACGAAGGGCGGCCGGCAATCGACAGGGACGCCCTCGTGCTAGCAGGATTGCTGTGTTCAAGTCTCCGAGATTGTCATCTTTCTCATGGTTCCAGAAAGATCGTCTTGACCCGGACGGTGAGACGGCGATTCAATCCCAAATTACGCCCCAATCACCGCGCCCGGTTGAAACGCCTGGGCTCACGGTGGCTGATTCGGGCACGGCACTCGGCTCTCCAACACCTTCCACAGCTAATCAGGCGCGAGGGAGTAAGAGAAGCCGACAGCAGCGTGATTCGGATGCAACACCCGAATTAAGAACTGACAGCGCACGGAAGCAAAGGCGAGTCGACGTTGGAACCTCCCAAACTGGTGCAGTATCCGTCGATGCAAACAGTAGCAGCATTTCGTTTCAAACTGAAGGAGAAAAGAGTCCTGACAGTCGAATGAGCCCGGTCACAGTAGATCAGCGCACGAAACGAAAGCGAGCCGTTTCTCCGAAAGATGGGGACCAAGCGATGACTGATCTTGCTGAAACTGCGAAGGGTGATAGTATTGTGGCGACACGACGTTCCCCGCGCAAGAAAAACTCTGAGAAAATTGCAAGCGAAGTCAGTCCGTCGCCAAAGAAACCCCGTGCAAATAATACCCTGCGGAAATGGCTCGCAACTTCGCAAACACCAAAACGTCCAACTGAGAATCACGCAGGCGCTGCGCAGGCAGCAGACCATCATACGACCTCTCAGAGTAGTGAGAAGACAAAGAGCGATGAGATGGTTATTTCTACCGACTCCAACACGGCAAGCACCACAAACGCGGACGTCCAGCCGGCTGCCGATCAAGTCGAAGTCCCGTCACCGTCGATATCTCAAATTGCACCGGAGCCAGAGCAGGTGGAAACCCCAACACAGCAAATGAAGGACAATGATCGAAAGCTCAGAGCAGGGAAAGGAGGATCTGTCGCCGTGCTTCGCCGGCAAATCGTTATGGATATCATCGACCAAGCTGGAGGAGCTTACCCAATGGGGACAGAACTTTGGTACCCATTTATGACTGCATGGCAGAGGACTCGCTACAAGGAGGTTCCCGATCTCCGCACGGTCAGAACAGTTGTGAAAGGACTGGTTGATGCTGGCAGGCTGAGCCAGCTAACATTCAGTGGACGTGACAACAAAGGTGTTATGGTGACAAAGAACATTGTCTACAAAGTGGAGATGCAGGCCGATGATCCTCTGATCGAAGATCTGCAAAAGAAAATGCTGGCGGCAGACCGGTATTACTTTCCTCCAAACGTTGATGTCGATCCGGAGATCAAGAAGAACGGCAGCAAACGTAAAAAGATGGAAGGAAAGGAAGGCCGGCACACAAGTCACTTTCCCTTACTGCCTGACGAGCTTACAGTGCAACTGCATAAAAAGCCTGCGTCTGTCGTTGCGATAGAGAAAAGGCGAGATATGGCCATGCGGAGGGAACTGCTCGAACAACTTGCTATGGAGGAAGACTTCGATCCATTCAGCGGCTCGGAGATTGTGCGTCTTATGACATTCCGACGCCGGGCAGGAAAGAACGGGGCTCAGGGATTGACCTCCATCACCAGGCCATATCCGCTGAGAATGACCAAGGAGGAGCGACAGCTGCAAAGACGTCATGCACTAGCCGGGTTGGCCTCGATCCGCAAAATGCGGCGCCTTTGGTCATCGCTTGCTCCGTACTCGATGCTTATGAACACCAGGTCAACCTTCATACCCACAACCGGGACATTCTCGACCGAAGCTGGTATTCCGGCACTTCAGGCTGCAAAAGACCGTGCCAAAGCAGCAGCAAGAAAGCATGTACTCATCCCTGCAACTGAACTACCGCACTCCTTGGAAGACATCCTTAAGTCTCAGAGGCACAATTTCGATTACTCTACAAGTGATGACCCGCGCGCACGCCAGTTCTTTCATGAGACCAACACCATTTCTCGGTGGGAGATTGAGAATGAGGATTTGCTTGCGCGCAAGAGCTCCGAAATCACGTTCATTAATCAAACGGTACCGAACCTAGAAAGCTCCGGCATTGAAAGTGGCATCCGGTTTGATTTTGATGAGAGCTTTGGGGATATCATCACACCGCGATTGTCTGTTATTACTCGTCAGCGACGCCGACGGTCGGAAGCCGCTTCAATGGCACCTCAGAACCGCCGAATAGCCAAGTGGGATGAGTCCATGGCCGGCGATGAGAATAAAGCACTCATGTCAAGTCAGCAGCTCAACAACCGGAACACATTTCCTAAGAGGAACCGGGCTCCATTGGCTCCCGAGATGGTTCGAAGAATGATGGTGGCATTTGCCGTTGTTCGAAGTCTGGCGGGAGGGTCGGATGCACGTCAGGTCGACTGGACTCTTTTGTTCCATTGCTTCCCTGACATGGAACAGGATATTGTGGCTGAAAGAAGCCGTCTCGTTCTCAACAAATGCCGCTTGCAAATCGTCAAGATGCAGAGTGATTTTCACGAGAGGTTTCTTGATGCCTATGCCAAAGATGAAGTGCCACGCATTGACTACGATGATCTATACGGTTACGACTGGGAGGGAGTAGTCGATTGGGCGCTGCATCATCTGGAATTACCCAAGTCTGAGAAGCTACCTGATCTACCAGCGACGAGAGAGCAGCTTGATAGCATGTTCGACGTGCGAGAGGAGCCAACAAATCCGCTGGACGAATTCTACCATGTCAGTCAGTCGATCACTGTTAGCCGCAAGCGCGCCTTGGCTGCCGCTGTTCCGTTTGCCATGCCCTTGAGCAACAAGATGGCTCGGGCTCGGCCCCGGAAGGCCGAACTGGCCCGTCTGGATGTAGCGAAGACGTGGGTTAGAGCAAATGTCGTAACTCCAGATGAGACCTACCGCCCCATGGAGGCACGGCAAAGTCTAGAACGATTTGGGGAGCCCTTGGTCCACCAGGCGCTGCAGTCGCTGGTTACAGAACGCGCTCTCAACATGGGCAATCGGGGTCGCATCACTCCAGGACGCAACTACGATGTCACGGAGTATTTCTTACTCGCTATCAGCAAGAAGCGGGCCATTGAGAGTATCCAACTGCGCCGCGCCCATAAATTCAAGACGGAGGTCTTGGATCCCGCTTTCCAAGACCAGGGACACGCTGAGATCGACTGGAACGCGGACGACGGCGACATGCTCGTGGCTATCAACCTACTCTGGGCTGGTCGCGTGCTCCTCAAACCGCGTGACCCCCCTCGCGACAAGTACGGTCTAACGGATGGTGGGTATCTGACTCGACAGATGGACAAGAAGAAGCTTCGATTTACGGTTGAGATCTGGCCGACGGATACGTATGTGTATGGAAACCCCGTGCAGGAAAAGGCCAGTACACTGAAACCACCGCGTTTGGCTGAGGAGATTGATCCGGCGACGTCACTCCCCGCGAAGGTTCCACTGTGGTATGATATCCATGGGGACTTCGTGCGAGTTCTGTGGGATCTGGCGGTGGCATCAGTGGTGAGCTGTGTGGCGCAGAGGCCTGGCATCAGCGCTTCTAGCATTGCAGGGATGTTGAAGCCGACGATGGGAGGATGGGAGGTGCAGCTCTTATTGGAGTGGATGAAGAAGGTTGGGGCTATGAAGTTGGATTGGACGAGAACGGACAAAGCACACGATGAGGATGAGCCAGGCTGGCGGACGGACGAATGGTGGTATATGGTGTTGGCTTGATTTAGGGGGGAGATCTTGATCTAAAGAGCTGTAACTATAGGGCGTTTTGGATGAGAAAACTTGTTGCTTTCTCGTGTGTTATCCTGGCCATAGTCTCTTGTGTTAGTCTCTTGTGTCTTGTTCCATGTATCACTATTCCGAGCAATTTTTGTTGAAACAGCAAGCAGCCTGTCACAGTGACCATCTCTGGATTTCTTTGCTAGAACATCGCGACAGTAACAGCAGCATCACAACAAACAGTAGTCGGTAGCAGAAGCCACGCACCTGCTCACTCATTCACTTGACATCGAAAAGCCACCCAACAAACGCGACCACGCCTCACCTCAGAAGTGCCATGATCCCCCTCTTTCTTGTTATTGGGCTCTTTACCCTCGTCGTCATCCTCACTCTTTCAGTCTACCACCTCCTTCCTTTCACTTTCCCTTCATTGACATCGACCCAGACAACCCCATCCCCATCACCACCACACTCCTCACAACAACACCATCACCATCACCACCCCCACCACCCGAACCCCACAACCCAAAGGCTCACCCCTCTCTTCTCAGAATCAGGATCAGACCCAGAATCAGACCCAGAAAAAGAATCCGCCAAAATGACCCGCAAGAAGAAATCCCAAGCCCGCAAGATAATCACCAGGCGCGGAGATCTTCCCAAGAAACCACCACCCCCGCAACCGCAACCGCTACCACCACGACTACCAGGCCCGATCCCCTCCATCGAAACACCCACCGGTCTAGCTCGGGCTCCAGCTCCAGCTCCAGCTCTCGCTCTAGCGCCAGCTCCAGCTCGACCAAACGCGACCAACCCACCCCCGAAATCCCACTTCGCATTCTCCTGGTGGCGCAACCCAATGGGAAGCGAGATTTTGCGCGGCCAGCTTGCTCACGGCAGTAGCGGTCAGCTTGTCCAAAGCAATAGCGGTCCGATTCCTCAAGGCCATCGTGGTCCAACCGCCCAGAGCCACAGCAACCAGGCCGGTACAGGGACAACTGGCAACGGCAACTACGGCACCGGCTGCATCATCAAGCGCGAGGACGGCGGATATCACGAATACGAATACTTCACTCCAGCCCCAGCCTATCACACGGCGTATGTTGGTGGTTTGGGGAGTACTCCGATGTATGCCAATGGATATGCGGGCGGGTGTGGGACTGGTATTATGGGTGATGGTGGTGGTCATCAGCTGGGGGGTCTGGGGGGTCTGGGGGTTGGTGTGAAGGAGGAGTTTAATGGTGTGTCGTATGGGGGAGATGTGGGCTATGGGGGGGAGGATGTCAAATTGTTCAGGGAGGAGGGCAAGCTGTTCAGGGAGGATGTCAAATCGTTCAGGGAGGATGTCAAATCGTTCAGGGAGGAGGGCAAATCGTTCAGGGAGGAGGGCAAATCGTTCAGGGAGGAGGGCAAATCGTTCAGGGAGGAGGGCAAGTCATTCGGAGCAGGTCATGGGGACGAGTACCGCCAACCGTTCAAGGCAGAGTACGAGCACGAGCGCGGCAAGGCATATGACACCAATACCAACACCGGGGCAGGGCACGGCGCAGAAGCAGGATACCACCCAGCTTCCGCGATGTCTTACGTCTCAGGGCATGGGCCTGCTGCCTCCTCCGCCACCCATAATGCGGGATATACTGGGCTCATGAGCAGAGACGGCGACGGTCCCAGTTACGGCGACGACAATGACATCCAACCCATGGATCCTCGCCATCTCGAAGAGACCGACAGCGTGAAGAGCACCACCCCCGATCTGACTCGCAATTGTGTATTCTGCGGCAGGAATGGGCATTCGACTGGGGCGTGTCCGGAGAGGTGGGGGAATACTGATAATGGTCGTAATGACTCGAGAACTGTGAGTTTAACTTCTCTGCATTTGCGTTGGGCTACAACACGTCGAAAACATGCTAATACGGGTGACAGCAGGCACCTGAACTAGGTACTGAACGAACCAGAACCACGCGAAACCGGACGCGAACTATCCAGCGCAAATTACGACAGCGCCCGGGGAGGGAGACACAGAAGGAGGTGGAGGAGGAGCGGGAGAAGCTGGATGCTCTCCTTCGCGAGGCTCAGGATCTGGAGGAACGTACTTCGCAACTGCTGACTCGAGACGACCCGCCGGTGGACTTGGATGATGTTCTACGCCGGATTATTGAGGATATGAAGTGATATCTGGTTGTTGTTGCGCGCGCCCTGGAGTCGTCGGAGATCGATTGGGTATGTGCAAGATCTGATATGGTTTGGTTTATTAGTGAAGTGAAGGTGCAAGTTTAAGTTACCGACATCCTGGTAGAAGGATACAAGTACAATACAAATTAACGCCTGGGCTCGATAATGTCCCATAAACGCCAAGATATCCCATCCATGCTTTTGTATGGGCAAGAGATTATTCGTCTCTGGCGATGCGCCGGAGGATCATGACCACCAGGGCGACGATCACGCCTACGATGGCCCGGTCGAGCCAGGGGGTATCGGGGGATATTTGCTGCTGCTGTTGGTGTTGGTGTTGTGGTTGAGGTTGAGGTTGAGGCTGGAGCAGTATCTGGCGCTGCTGAGGTGTTTGGTCTGGTTGTTCCTGCACAGCTGTTAATTGTGTTGTTGATGTTGGTGTTGATGCAGCAGCAGCAGCAGCTGTTGTCGAGGTAGTAGTAAGCGTCTGTGCATCCTCTCCTCCAGAAACCACTGTATCAGACTTCAAAGACCCTATCGTCGGAGGTTCAAGTTCCTGATCTCCCTTCCCCACCTCCTGCTCCTCCTCCTTCGTCTTCGTCTTCTCCAGATCCGCATTATCGCCTTCACCCTCCCCCTCCCCCTCAACCCTCTTCCCCCCACCAAACCCAGAAACATCCACCCCCCTCTCCCGACAAAACCCCCACCACGCCTCCAAAACCTCCAAATTCGTCCTCCCCCGCTGCTGACCAAGCCCCTCCTCATCCCCCTCCTCATCCCCCTCCTCATCCCCCCCAAAAGTCTGCCCCATACACCCCTCACACCTCCACCCCCTCGACGCAACGGCATACCTCCTCCGCACCTCCTCCCCCACATCCAACCCGCCGACCTGGCCCCTGGCATCCCCATCCATAAAGCTCCGGAGGGCGATCAACGCCGTCCGGATCCCCCACGCCGGCTGCCACGTCTCCTCATGGTGGCCCGAGATACTGAGACAGATCTCGCGGTTGACCTCGAAGCGGCCGGAGGGGGTCAGGAACCGGAAGGAGGGCGGACGCAGCGGGTACGTCGGCGGGAGCACGATCCGGCCGTGGTAGATCCCCTCGCTGTAGGGGGAGGGCGCCGGCGGGCCCTGCAGCGTGAAGTGCCAGTCGTAGAGGTTGGAGGCGCTGATGGGCGCGGCGTGGAAGGTTGGGTCCGGGTTTTTGAGGAGGTCCGCTTGTTCGCGCGTGAGGCGGCGGAGGGAGGGGGTCATCTTTCTTGAATCTTTTGTTGCGTCGTGGTGGTGGTGGTGGTTGTTTGGAGAGGTTGGTGGTGCGGGGGATGTTGGGATGTGCGGTTGTGGATGTGAGGCGGTTTAGTGGTGGTGGTCGTCGTCGTAGTCGTGACTGAGACTGTGGATTTGGTGGAGAGTACGTATAGGTATGTCAAGACTTGAGTATAGTAATCTTGCTTCGTGCTTGGTGGTTTCAGGGTAGAGATGTGGGTTGAGTTGCGTGGCGCATTGGATGATATGGTACAGTACTGTACTGTAGGTTCTGCGTGACAAGGCCGGCTTGAGTGATTGGTTTTCTTGGACGTTTCTTCGTCTTCGTTGATTGCAGTAACCAGTAAAGCAGGAGACGAAGGAATAAATTTGACTCCAGTGGAAGTAGGTTTGTGGAAGCTGCAGAAGAGTTGTATGTTGCAGGTCAAAGTGGTGAGGGGAATGAGGAGAGGCCAACTGGCCTGAGGTGTCGGCCGGAATGTGGGCCAGGCACAATTGCGTAATCACAATGCATTCCTCACCATCTACTCAGTATAAAGGCCTGAGATACGGAGATGTTGGTGCGAAGCGTGGTCAAATTAAAAAGTACGAGTCAATCTTGACCAACTGCGAAACCTCTCTTGGAAATTCCAACGCTTATGTTTCACAAGTGTTCTGTCTCAGACCAGCCGCTACAAATACAACCATCCTGATCGTGAGCTTGTCATATCTCATACTTATATATAGTCTTCCTAAGTGTACACCCAATTTATCAATCCCAGTTCCTCCATTCATCCTCTCCGCGCGGTGCTGCCTCCTCATCACTATCCTCCCCGTGTCGAAGACGCGGTGACACCGGTCGCAACGTCTTCATCGACACACCGGTACTGGGTCTCTCAGGATCTCGAACCACATCCAACGGCTGCTGCGGCGTCCAGGTGGCAGCCGGGTTGGTAGCAGACGTCGCAGCGTCCGCCCCCATCCAGCTCTGACTGTTGTTCATATTCCGTGCATACAAATCCCGGTAATACTGCTGCTGGTCGACCGCCTCCTGTTCCCGTCGCGCCCGCACACCGTCGCGCGCCTCGAGGAACTTGGCGCTGGGCTCCCAGTGCCAGCCGTCGCCGGTGGTGGTACACACGGGAACTGGCCACAGCAGCGGGCGGCTTCCGAACAGATGCAAAAGATTGCGCTTCCAGCCCAGATCGAAAGCATGGGGCATTTTCTCGCTGTCCTGCTCTTCCAGGTAGCTCTGGTACCGATCATGCTCGCGCTGCCGTTCCAGCTCCGCATACGATCGCGTTAACGCCTGCTGCGCGGGGGACAGATCCTCCCTCCCTGAGAAGTGCTGCGTGGCGCCGCCCTGCTGCGAAGGTCTGATCTCGTCCTCGCCTTCCTCCGCCCTAGTCACCCCAGGGATCGCGTTGGCATGCGCATCCAGAATCTGTCCGCCGTACTCCTGCAACCGGTGACCCAAGCCACTTACCCCAGCTCCATCCGGATCATGGCCTGCAAGCCCCTCGTAGCGATGGCGATCCAGCGCCTTCCGCAACGGCGAGACATACCTCGTCTTCTCCAGACACTCAATCGTGGTGACGCCCCGGACCGCCAGACTGATATGCCATGCCGTGAACCCGGACAACACCAACCCAATGATTCCGCCCAGCACGGCCAACAACACCACATTGATGGGCAGCATCTTGTCAAAGTCCATGTACTTGCTATCGTCCAGCATCTCGTTCCAGATCCACGTCGACGCAACCAGAAAGTCCACCCAGCAGAAAACCGAGGTGTATATCAGAAACAGTAGGAACGCCTTGTAGTTGTAGAGCCCCACGCATGTCGCCAGCCAGGGACAGTGGTGGTCCATCTTCAGCACGCACCGCTTGCAGGTCGAGCAGTGGTGCGCCCGGTCGGGCTTGGGGCATTGGCACTTCTTGCAGAAGCGGGACCCACCGGTTGAGTTGACCGTGTAGGCCGTGTACTGCGGGAGTTCGGTGACGGGGAGGGCGCTGTATTCGTGCTGGCTGCGGCTGTTCGATGGCTTGAGGGGGGTGCCTGGGTCGGTGAAGACGGCGACCGTGTAGCAGGTATTAAGGCAGATATAGAGGAAAATCCCAAGAAAGGAACTCGGGAGGCCTGTCATATGACGAAGGGTCATTAGAAATGGAGGGTAGGAGTCCTGTAGGAAAAGAGCCTCACCGATCCAGCTGCTCTGCACCGACTTGAAGCCGACACTGGCCTCCACCCAGACGGCCCACGTCGTCAGTCCATAAACAAAAGCGAGAGGGAAAAACGACGCCGCGGTGCAGCAGTAGCGTTCAATGCGCAGCGCCCATGCCCGCGGCCGTCGCTTCGGCCACGACGGCGATAACGGCGGTGATGCTGCTAAGGTTGCCATGGTTCACAAAGTGGCCGGGGTCGAGCTGCCGATCGGTTCGTTCAGGGCGATCAAATCATGGCAGCCAGTCCAGTCCCGGATAGAAGGAGAATAAAGTACTCGAGTACGATACGAGGATGCTGGGATACTAAGAGAGGTGAAGCAAGGGTGTATATCTTAGCAGAAAAGGCATCGAACAAGAAGTGCAGTGAGACAGGGAAGACGTAGAGGAGGCCGTCGGCTGACGGATCATCGGCGGTGATTACGACGCTGCGGATGCTTACGGTAAGTTACCGTACCGAGCGAGTTCCGATCTGTCACCGCCACACCCGGTAGATCACATGCCCACTAGTGATTTGGATATATTGTGGCGCAGTCACTCATACACTGTATTACGTCTTGTTGGCGTCTCATATAAATATAGGTCAATTATGTTCGTAATGCATTCGCTAGTCTACCAGAGATACTATATGAACATGAATCACTGCGGCACTGTCACACAAAGCCAGGCCTGCGTCTTCTCCACTAACGCCGCTGAATAATGTACTGGAATGGGAAAATGTCAACCAGATCGCATAGAGGGATATTCAGATGTCAAAATCATATGCCCAAAATTCCAAAATGCTATGTATCGAGCATGCTCAAGTCGAATTCTCTTCCGTCGTGATGTTACCTTGCTCGCACCAGTCCTTGATCGGCTAGCGGGATATTAGTATGAAATGCACAAGACACATCCAGGGGAAAATACTCACCAGACAACTGAGTCGGTAGCACCAGGAGCAGTTTGACTTCGGGTATTTGTAGAAATCAATGATGAGCAGGATGAACCCGACCAGCACGGCAACCAAGGCTCCCACACGCACCAACCACCATGCCCACCACAGAGGCTTTCGGCCGCGGAAAAAGTTCATGGGGTTCGATTTTCCGTCGGAGGACTTCAGGCTGCGCTTGCCCTTGAGGAAGTCGACGATGCTGGGGGCGGGAACCACCTTCTGACCTTCCTCTGGAGTGGTCGTGCCCACGCCACCGCTCATGGCCACATATGGGTTCCGTGCGAGCCCAATACGTTCTCGCAACGCGTTAGGCGATCTCAAGAGACACAGTCCCAGAGCCAGACCCATGGTGAAGCCGCCAATATGTGAGAAGTTGTCCAGTCCTGGCAGAAGTCCCAGAACAAACGACACGCCAATTCCTAGAACCATAATGATCAACTCGACCCACGGCGACTGTCGGTCTTGCCAGCTGTACAGCAGATCCAGTAAATCGAGTGCGAGGATGCCAAAAAGTGCACCCGAGCAGCCGCATGATGCCTGACCCTGAGCGGCATAATTGCCTCCGAGCACGAATCCCCAGATCCCACTAGCCAGATACACCAGAGCATATCGCCACCACCCAATCATTTTCTCCATGGCCACACCGATGGTCATCTGCGCAAGCAAATTGAAGCCGATGTGGATAAATCCGCTGTGAATAAACATCGGAATGATGAATCGGAACCATTGATTTGGCTCAGGCTGATCGTCCAGCGATCCATTGGGCGTCGGGTTTGGCACACCGTTGAAACCACACAGTTCAGACAAGGTACAGTGAGACTCGGTCGTCGTCGCGTTGGGGCAGGGAAAGAGAATCGTTTCGTTGGCATTCTGGATGCCCGGTGTATTCTTCATACACGGAGTGTATCGAGATCCCATGTAGATCTGGAGGTAGGGAGAAGGACCGATCATGACATTGAATGACGGTTTAGTTTCGATCGGGCTTCCCGTAAGTTGAGCTGAGCCGGTCAGCATAATTGCCTTGATCCTGATCCTATGAACCTACCGTTCTTGACCAACTCCACGATGAAGACAATGATCTGGATCAAAGTGAGAGTATAAGTGACCCAAGCGATCTTCCTTCCAAAGAAACCCTTCTTCTGTGTTCGTCGAGCGCCAGGGCGCATGGCAGGCTCGATCTCGTCCGGCGACGGCGGATAATGCGTTTGTTGTTGCATCCAGTTTGCAGGAGGCGGAGGGCCATTTGGATACTGGTTGTTGGCCTTCAAGGGAATATTCTCGGCATACTGTTCGCCCTCATTCAATCTGGCGCCAGCGGCATAGGTCCCCTGGTCGGAACCCAGTGATTGTTGACTGTAGTGAAGCTGAGGATCGGAAGTGGTGGGCTGGTAAGGATGTGTATCGAACCCCGGATGACCAGTTGCCGGGTATTGAGCTAATTGTGGATTGACTTGTTCGTAAGTTGGCGGATTGCTGCTGTAGCCACTCTGATAGTAGCTGTTGGCCGCCATGTCGAATGGACAGCCTGACTGGTAACGGGCGCAAGGGGCGGGGGGGTGAAGTGGTTGGTTGTTGTTTGACTGTTGCGACCGGAGGGCGGAAATCAAATCGGTTGCTGTGCCTCAAACAAATCCAACATGCAAGAGATGAAAGTCGATCAAGTCGATGCAGGATATTGACTGGGGTAAAAAAGGCAAAACATTCAGCAGCTGGCAGGCAAGCAGGCAGGCGGGCAGAAATCACGGGCACGTTTGGCTATTAAACAATTGAACAGGGCTGAAACACTGATCAACAATGAGTTGTAACTTACTATGTAAGTTTGGTTGGTTGTGACTTCAAGAGCAAAGGCAGGTTCTCCCCCTGAGCCGTCAATGAAAGCCGGCGGGAAAATCAGAAACAGTGACGGATCGCCCCCAAAAGGCGCACTTGGTTTGCTATCCTGTCAACAATCCTTCTCCGACGGATGTGAGGAAATTGGATCAACAAAACACTCAAAATGACAGGAGAAAAATGGGAACGGAAGAGCAGAGACAACTTTGCGGAGGACGGGAAAGAAGCAGTAATTTAGGCAGGCGTCATTTGTACTCAAGAGTCAACTTAAGACTGACTTTCCTTTCCGATGGGCGGGCGCACCGCCGCCTATTTTTGGGCGGCGATCACCAAAAGTCCATTGGAACTCATCATCGTCGTCAGCCATAAATGGTCCTGGTACGAGTATGCAGGCCATATTGATTGATTCATTACACACGCAAGTCATCGCTGACCTGCGGGCCACGCACACTGCTGGGGCCGAGACAGTCATGTTCTGGCTAGGCACGCTGTGGCGGAGTCTTCCTCGTTTTCCTCTGCGATTCCCATTCGTCTACTCGTGCTATAGAACAGTGGCACGGCCGGTAAAACCTCGCGTCACCGGCTTGGCACTTACACTACATATCTGGTGGCTGATGTCCGCTCTAGGATCGAGCTTTCTTCAATTTCAATATGGAGGAGTACTTAAAGTAGTGACGCTGCAGGCAGACAAGAGGCTCGTGCACAACTGGATTCTGCACACACACAATCAATTGCATCCCACAGGTCACAGATGGGTTCGTTCATATTTCACATTAAGCATTATTTCACATCTAACAATACCCATTTGGTCTAATCCACATGGTGGTCGCCTATACAATGATGTATGGTAGGGTTGAGCTCAAGTACATGAGATCTCTTTTCCTTTGACCTTGGACCCAAAAAGCCAATCAAAACCAGAGGATTGTACTTCCAGTGGACGGTTGACACGCATAAAGAAGTGTCAATGATGAGGGCCAAATCTCTCCGTCATGTTCCGCCTGGGTTGTCATCCTGCACGCTTGACACGCGTGCTCACATTATTTAATCCGATGTCTTCCGTCAATTCATTATGTTCGGACGGCGCACCCGCCGCTACCGATTGTATATCATATAATTCCCAAAACGCCGGGGTCGAATTCCCAAATATGAAGCAAAGGTGGCACTCGGGGATCTGTCAAGGCTATCAGCTTCGAACGCGGAATCGCGCAACTGAAGGTACCAATACTTCTCTTACCTTCATTGTCGATCCCTGGTATCCTTATACCAAAACAGAGGCGCGGAGGCAAATCACACAAAGCAAGAGGGCAATCGAAGGATCATAGCCATGACCCTCTCCATAACTCAATCGCGAATGATGCGCTTTTAGCTCGAAGGCGTAGACATGGAGTTGACGTGCGAATCGATGATCCCCAAAGCAGCCCCCATTTCCTCTCCATTCTCGCCAGTCAACAGCCAGATAAGACGGCTGGCCTTCTGGTATAGAAGCGCAGGGAAATAAACCAGCAGGGCCCAGAACAGGAGGGACAGCACGACAATCACAAAGGTGTTAGCCACCAACTTCTCTCCCGGCGTCATGACATAGAGCCCGAATGTAACCTCATAGCGATAGTATTCTAGGCGAATGCGATCGATAATCCGCTGCAGGACGTTCCGGTGAGCTTTCTTCATCGACAGGTGGCTGACGGCAGAGGTTGAGGTCGACATTGTGGATGAGTATTTGTTGATTAGCTCATCCACGGCCGCCGGGGCATGGGACGAGATGTGGGTGGAGGTGGAAGGGGTATAGAACGACTGCATCTCGGTTGCCATCGCTGCGCGGTTGCTGATATATAAGTCGGAATGTCGGGGATCGAGGTTTCCTGAAGAGGAGGTTCCGTTCCTTGCAATTCCTAGTCCGTAGCCTTGCCAATTGCACTCCCTTCCGTGACCAGCCGAGCAGGCGGGTAAACGGCCGTCAGAGATTTGGCGGTGCTGGTATATGATCTACGTTCGAGCTCGCGTTTCGCCGTTGTCTTTACACTGTAGACAGCCAGACACTCCCCCGAGCGCTATTGAGCACAGCTGATAGAGGAGCTCTGAAGTAGCAGTGTTGTTGAGCAGAGTTGGGTAGTGAGATCGACACCCGATCGCGAAAGTGCACAGATGCAGATCAGTTAAAGCTCCCCCAACAATGATGAAGTACAAGAATGGTATGGTGGTAACAGCAATGGCAACTAGAAAAAGGACTCAAAGAGACAAGAGGTAGATTAAGTAGAGAAGACTGCGAGGGGAAAAGAAAGAAAGACAGAAAGACAGAGCGAGCAATTGAAGGATCCGGGTTCGGTAGAGCGCGGATCAAGAAAAGCGGCCCGGAGTTAATGATTGGAAGGACGAACGAGTTCTCAGGCAATAGTCAGAGTTTCTAATTTTCTTAGACTGTTATTTCTTTCAAGGAGGATGATGCTGGCTGATGCTAAGATAGCCAAGAGTCAATTAATCATTAATCAGACCAGGCTCGGTGTCGTGGGGGGGGCGCCTTTTCAAGGAACGATACTCAGATCAGTAGTTGCTGAGAAATTAAACCTGCAGAGGGCGCCGCGATGTGCCTGAGGCTGCGTGATGATTGGCCGCAAACGGCCTTCCAGCGTCATCGTCGGTCTCAAGTGGGCATTGTAAGGGAATTCCCGCCCGGGCTTTTCCCGCCCGGGCTTTGGTTCTTTGGGTCTTTGGGTCTTTGGGTCTTTGGTTCTGCTGAGTTTTTTCCTGGTTCCCAGTTCTGGAATTCACCTGATCTGGTTCAGAGTCAGTCAATTAGTCGTGGTGAGGAGTTGAAGACTTTTTGTGTTTTGGAGAAGTAAAAGTACAGTACGTAGTGCAGCTATGAGTATGTTAGTCCAGGCCGCGACTGACCCTTCGTCCAGTACGGTATTTGTAGTCCACCATGGGGATGAAATTCGGAGGAGGAAGGGAGTCAATGTCAATTCATGCCTTGCATGATTCAAAACCCATTGCTTCGTACTCCGTACTCACATATGATAACTCACCAAGTAACTAACTAGTTAGTAATTTACCGTGACGACTTCCGGCAGCGTGCCTCCCTCCTATCTCGGGAAACCGGCAAGCGGATGTGATATCCGACTGCTCGACCACTTTGGGTATCATTCCTCGCAGCCCTGAGAAAAGAATCATGAGATTGGAGTGGAACAGGCTCCGCTCCTGTCGAGGCCTCGATGAATCACAATGAAAGCTTCAAAGCCACTTGATTGATGCATTCTTCATGTTATGGATGGATGAGTCAGCCACAAACGAGTCAAGGCGTCGCAACGCTCTGATTCTAGCCTTGATTCAGTATCTATGCAGATTTATTTATTGTTAGGCACACGAAAAAAGGAACGGGAGATCATCGTGGAGACTCAGCGGAATTGTCACTGTCTCTTTTGTGAAGGTGGTCTGGAGAACCCCGAGTTTCGTTTTGTTTCACCTGGCAACAATGGGCGCCGGCAACTCAATTCCCCAATCTTGAACCTGGCCGGGTAATAAGAATTGTTGACATCGACTTACTCCAAGTTTACTGGCCGACTGGTGGCAGGGATGAAGAGCTTGCGCCTGATCTGGCACTCAGCACTTTCTTGTCAGCTTGTGTCACTTCATCTATCCTTTCATTGCAGTTTACTTAGTATGTATTGTACGTACTGCGCATACGCCTATCGATGGGCTAGACAGCCCGGGTGATGTCATCCCCACCTATCGTTTCAACCGTCCCGCTTCGACTCCGTCGACAAACGTCCTTCCCCTCCTTTGCTGCATCGCATCTCACTCGAAGATCTCGCATGATCCATCACCGTTCCTTTCCCGCAATCTCTGTTTATCGCCATGGCTGAGGTCGACGATCCTCTCATTCAAGCGTTGCCTCCTGCGACCGACTATCTGACCTACCTGACTTTGCTCGAATACCAATTGACCCCCGCCCGTCTGCCTACCCTGCATACACTCCTTCAGGATGAGGTGCTGACGACCAATATCGGCTGGGACCTGGTGCATCTGCTCGTACCTATGCTGCCTGAGTCTTTGGACTGTCTGCATGATATTGCTCGCCTGGGAAATCCTAGAGAGGTGATTCTACGGGTTTCGGATGCCCTGATGAAACTGCAACCAGCCGAGGACGAGAACGACGAGGCTGAATCGACAAATACGGACTCAGTATCACCTCGCCCGCACGGGGAGTCATCGCAAGATGTAAACAGCGAACTGGAGCCCAAATCAGACGACGAAACAAAGCCCCTGCCTCGTCATATCCTACAATTCAACGCGCTCGTTTCCATGTTGTCGGTGTTGCACTCTCGCATCCAGACCAAGTCACCCAGTCGGTTCCTGGCCACATCCCTGCAAGCCTTGCTCGAAGCATATACGTTGATGCCTACGAGTGAAACTACAATTGCTTTGTTGGAATTCTTTCGGGATGTGTCGCCTTCGAAACGTCCGGCCCCGCCACCCCGAGCAGCCAGTGAATCCAGCGTGGTCCGTCTGTCTGAAGCTTCTGCGCCGGACCCGGAAGCTGAAGTTCAATCGTCATCTCCGGCCACTGACAATGAGGCGGTCTTGGTCCAGAGGTTTCTACAGTTCGGTTTGCTTGAAGTTCTCAAATCATACCTGCTCAGCTTTGCGGGTCCGCTTGACCCCGGAATGTCATGGACGATCCGGCTGCAAGAGAAACTTCATCCCGGACTGCGAATGGCCAGCCAACAGACGCAGACAGACATCTTTGCTCAAAGCAAACGACTGAAGGAACGAGACTTAATCGTTGCCAAGATCACGGTACGGCCCGAGATCGAATCCTGGGGACCATACTCAGTAGCTTGCTAACATCCATAGGCACTATCCCGCGACTTTGGTATTAGTGACAAGCAGCTGCTGGAAATCGCCTTGAAATCATCCGACGACCAGCCCCCACCGCTGGATTTCGATGAGCCACCTCGCAAAGCGGACGAGATCCCCTTGGAAAGACATGGTTCCCTGCTGCTCCTCGCAGCACGGGCAGCCTCGGCGGAATTGTTCTCATCCGGCCGTGTCACCCCGACTGCTGTCTTCCCGGACCTGGCGCGCATTTTTCGCAACTTTGTTGGGGGATATAACTCGCCTGATGAGGTGGCCTTCGGGCAGCCACAGGTCCTACTCGATTCACTACTTGCTTTGACTGTCTTCTCTATGCAGCAACCAATCCAGCCACCAGCCGCAGAAAAAGAGTTCATCGATTTCGTGCTATCCTTGACGGCATGTACTGCCCGGCAGAACTACAGTTCAGTTCGACGAATCCCGGGCACAGTTGTTCAGAGCAATCCCTCGCAAATCGCCCGCTTCAAACTCATTCGAACAGTTCTAGAGGATGATCGATTCCAGACTGTAAAAGACAGCGCCATTGCCTGGCTGAAAGACGGAATCTTGGAAGCGTCCAAAGCTTCCAAGACCGATAAGCCATCTGAGTCCAGCATATTCCTTAACCCGCATTATTTCTCTGTGTTATTTCCCTCGCTCTTCAACTCTTCCGCTCTGCTTATGAATGTGTCATCCGACCTTGTGGCTTCGTGGATAAAGTTCTCGCAGACCTTGACGCCATCAATCCACGCGGCGCTCAGTTTATACTACCTTATCGTCTCGTCACCAGACCTACGCCGCCAATTGCAGCTGGAAAAGACATACATATACTTCCGCAACCGCTTCTTGGAGCCGCTCAAATCCCTCTGCCATGCATTTGAAGCGGACCTCACGGTCAACGGGGGTGAGGGCAAAATCGAAGCTGCGGTGGGCGAGGACCTGACGCAGATCGGAATGGCACGGTCGGTGGGCTTGGTTTCCCATGCATTGGAGCAGGTGGAGGAGGCGGTTGGGGAGGCGTTCGTGCTGAAGAGCTCGGAACTCCCTGAGCCCAGCGCCGATGATATCGCCCGGGTGGATATGATCCGGAAGGAGACCTCCCCTTAGGTCATCAGTAGTGTACATACTCACAGTATCGGATACGGCCGAAATATACGCCCCCGTATGTATATGATCGAATCTTGTTTGGTGAATTCTGCTCAATGCTCCCGGGCGAGGAGAGTAGAGTGCAGATGGATTTCATTATTCGCACGAGAAGTAGGGAGTATTCCTTAGGAAGAGATGCAGAGGGAGAAAGGTTTAGGAGCAGCGACGTAGATGTCGATACCATCTCGCTACTTTGGTGCGTATCCAGCCAGCCACGACGTGACCTTTTGTGAATAGGGTAGGTAGTTATCGCCATTGCAATGGAATGTTTGCAAGCACGTTCTTGTCTGAGCATTGGTGGACGGGGTTGCTCGGTCCCTGGGCTTCAGCTGGGATGTATTGCACCACAACTTGTCAGACCATCTTGGCTCATCACTCTAGTCAAGTTCTCCGGTGGGATTCCGTGCTTAGCTTGTGACCCGTAGACCTGTACCTAGCGTATTCTTGGTCTATGGTTTAGTGCAATTTTCGGCAGTCCTGTTCTCGATGGCCCAACCGTTTCTTGAAGTGCCTTTGTCAAGTCCTTGGAAATTCCGAGGCGGCGCTGGCTAGATAGCCCAAGGGGTGTAGCTTGTCGAGACTGGCTGGAGGGGGAAATGAAGACAAGCAGCGGAGGAAAGGTGGTCGATCATCTCCATTGGTCGACGGATGCCATCTTCATTAATACCTCATTTCCGGCCCAGGCAGGCTTCCCTCTTTTCCCTTCGCTCTTTCGCTGCGTCTCCCCACCAGCGAGGTAAGCGATGACCCTTTCGTCTCTTCCCCACCTCCTTCACAATATTCAGCAGCATCATCAAGGAATCAAGACTGACGGACTTGTATTTAGCGTGGCACTAGTGGACCTCACTAACGCGGTTGCCGTGATGAATCGTCCACTTTGACTCCTTGACGGCCTGACCCCCCCCCCCCGAGAAGAAAAGCCGTAACCGAGCCAGGGGCGGCGATTCTGCGGGGAAACCAGAGCCCTCTCGTTGGAGGAAACGGACTTGGCTCCCCGGATTTGACCTCATCGGAGAAGCTGGTCTGCTGGTCACAGTGTGCAGAACGCCCGCGCAGGGGCTCATGCAGGTCACACCTCGTCTAACAAGGTACAAGCCAGATGCCGACAAAGCGATTGGATGCCTGTGGCCAATGCATGTTCATGTCCGCTTCACATGCAGTCGAGTCGAACCCCCCCCCCCTCACCCGGTGCTGGACGGCCGCCTCATGCGGTCTATAAAAGGCAGTGACTTTCCTACTGTCTAGCGATTCTTTTTTTCACTCCAGTCTCATCCTCTGTTCTACTCATTATCCCCGTGTTTCCCTTGCCTCGCCATGATCCGGCGCGTCTCCTATGCGCTTTGCGCGCTGGCTCTCAGCTCCTGGGCCACTGCAGCCCCGCAGCTGAATGCTCGCGCTACAGGCAGTGTCGACTCCTGGTTCGCATCTGAGACCACGGTCGCCCTCGATGGCATTCTTGCCAACATCGGGGCGGATGGAGAGTTCTCCAAGAGTGCTAAGTCTGGCATCGTTATTGCTAGTCCAAGCACTGACAACCCGGACTGTGAGAAACTACTTTCTTCCTAGTTGTATGGTTGTCCGCTAACAAGGGATGCGCAGATTACTACACCTGGACCCGCGATTCGGCTTTGACCATGAAGATTCTTGTTGATCTCTTCGTCAACGGCGAATCGAGTCTCCAGACGGTGATCGAGGAGTATATCAATTCCCAGGCTTACCTGCAGACGGTTTCCAACCCGTCTGGTTCTCTCTCGGGCGGAGCAGGTCTTGGAGAACCGAAATTCAATGTGGACGAGACGGCGTACACTGGCAGCTGGGGTCGTCCACAGCGGGATGGACCTGCGTTGCGAGCGACCGCTCTGATTGGCTTTGGTAACTGGCTGATTGTAAGTTCTTCTGAAGAATTTCGAGTGGCTTGACTGACACTTTCAGAACAATGGCTACTCCACCTACGCGACGAACATCATTTGGCCCATTGTTCGCAATGATCTGTCCTATGTTGCTCAGTACTGGAACCAGACTGGCTACGGTTGGTCATCCCCAAACCCACTTCCCTACCAATGACCACTAACTCGAAATCATGCAGATCTGTGGGAGGAAGTCAATGGGTCTTCGTTCTTCACTGTTGCGGTCCAACATCGGGCACTTGTGGAAGGCAGCACCTTTGCTAAGAGTGTTGGCTCGTCTTGCAGCTGGTGCGATTCTCAGGCTCCGCAAATCTTGTGCTTCATGCAGAGCTTCTGGACTGGCTCCTATATGCTTGCCAACACCAACAGCGGCCGCAGTGGCAAGGACGCGAACACCGTGCTCGCCAGTATTCACACTTTTGATCCCGCCGCAGGCTGCGACGACACGACTTTCCAACCTTGCTCCCCGCGTGCGCTGGCCAACCACAAGGTCTATACTGACTCTTTCCGCTCGGTTTACTCGCTCAATTCTGGTATTGCTGAGGGCACTGCGGTTGCAGTCGGCCGCTACCCTGAGGACTCGTACTACAACGGTAACCCTTGGTTCTTGACCACCCTTGCAGCCGCTGAGCAGCTGTACGATGCTATCTATCAGTGGAACCGTATTGGGTCCATCACCATCACCAGCACGTCACTTGCCTTCTTCCAAGACCTGTACAGCTCCGCGGCGGTTGGAACCTACTCCTCTTCCAGCTCCGCCTTTACCTCCATCATCAGCGCTGTCAAGACCTATGCTGATGGATACGTGAGCGTGGCTGTGCGTCCAACTTCCCTTGATCTCAAAGTGCCTTACTGATAACCTACAGGAATCTCACGCTATGACCAATGGCTCTCTTTCCGAGCAGTATGATAAGACATACGGCACTCAGCTGTCTGCCCGAGATTTGACCTGGTCCTATGCTGCGGTCCTGACGGCCAACTTGCGCCGCAACTCGGTTGTGCCTCCTTCTTGGGGAGAGACGAGCGCGAGCAGTGTCCCCTCTGTCTGCTCTGCCACCTCTGCAACGGGTACCTACAGCACCGCTACCAACACTGCTTGGCCAAGCACGTTGACCAGCGGTAGCGCTGGCACCGGAACCACCACCACTACCACTAAGGCTGGCAGCGGTAGCACTACCACCACCACCACCACTACAAGCAAGACTTCAACAACAACCTCAGCCTGCTCCACGCCCACAAGTGTCGCAGTGACATTCGATGTGATCGCCACCACCACCTACGGAGAGAACGTGTTCATTTCCGGCTCCATCTCTCAGTTGGGCAGCTGGGACACCAGCAGTGCAATTGCATTGAGCGCCAGCAAGTACACCTCAAGCAACAACTTGTGGTATGCCACGATCAGCCTGCCCGCAGGCACTACCTTCCAGTACAAGTATATCCGCAAGGAGACAGATGGGTCCATTGTTTGGGAGAGTGACCCTAACCGGTCTTATACCGTTCCCTCGAGCTGTGGAGTGAGCAGTGCCACTGAGAGTGATACTTGGCGGTAATCGAGCTTGACGGAGTCTTCGATTGTGGGGACTATCAAGCTTGTTCGAAATATATAGCTATAACAATGGCGGCCCAATGATTAATCAGGGACTTAGTATTAATTCCTTGTCAAATGCAATGCTCTAATCCTTGAACTACGATCCTGATTGCCTTCATTAGAAGGCGATGTAATGGCAGCCTTTCTCTTGATGATTCTGGAAAAGCAGATGGCACAACAAACCAGAGCACAGCCACTGGAGGGTATTTCTTCACCTTCAGACACGTCCAGCCCGGATATTCTTAGCTATGAAACAGACAGCCTCAGGGGGCAAAGTATTCAGCAATCTGGTCAGAGCCATCGCTCGGAAGATATTGCTAGGACATCGTGACTTGCCACTCCACAAATGAATCAAGATACGAGTTTCCCTTTCGAAGCGGTATGCATAAGGTGATATGTATGCAAAACCGCATGCAATGAGCAAGGCACCGTTCCGCATCTGATCTATCCCATGGAGCTGCGATCCCGGCATTACCGTTTTGGAAAAGATATTGCACTCATCTCACAGCTCATGCATCCAAGCATTGCAATCGCCGTCCATACACCGACAATCCATGCATTTCGAGAGCAAGCGTGTGGCGCACAGTACGAGCTGGGGGCTTGGTCGAGACACAGCATTTAAACGCAACCTTACCCCAACAGCTTCAGGAGATTCCAGCTCTTGTCCAAACCACCAATCGTGCCTTCTCCTTCTTGTTATATTTTCTTTTTTCTTCTTCGTTGATTTTATTCTTTTGCGGTCTGCAACATCAAACCTCACGATGGACAACTATCACGCCTGCTCCTCGGTAATCAGTGAGTTCGAAGCGCGCAAAGCCGGCGCCTTCACCTCCCTTCCGATCCGCGTGAACCGCTACAGCGAGGTGGCCACCAAAGCTGCCCAGGACTTTGTGTGCAAATGGAACTGCCACTTCGATGTTGGGTCCAATTATCCCGGGTCAACATCAGCGACTCGCTTCGGACCGCGAGACAGCCCACTTGTCATGATCATCCCCGAGGCGCAGCCGGACAGACTGGCGACGGCGGCGTGTTTGGCTGAGATGGCACGACTGCTTGATGGTAAGCCCCTTCATTTCCTGTTTCCTTCTTGCGCGCGCGCGCGCGTGCGAGTGTGTTAGGAGGAAGTGCTGATGGAACAGTAGACCTCTGCCATCGATTCGGAACTCATAATCGACACGAGGGCTTTGAGCTGTTGAACCGGTGCATCGAGCGATTCTCGGCCTCCTCTTCCTGCTCGTGCTCTGGATCGTGCGGGAAGAGTTTGGGAGGGGACCGTCAGCACCACTATCGCCCCCACCACCACCATCATCGCCTTCAGCAGGTAATCTCGGAGATCTTCTCGAATGTTTGCCGGGCTGAGTGCGAGCACGGGGTGCATCTGCTTGAGGTGTATCGGAAAGCGATTGTTCGGGCTCCAACGCCACTGGACTGCAAGAAGAAGTTCGCCTTTGAGTGAGTCAGAGACTGTGGGAGGGTTGAATGTGTGACGACTGATGCCTTGTGTAGAGCCTTCTGGCCGATCCTGGAATTCGCCATCGGTGTTCATCTCTCGCACGTTGACCACATGCTTCTTCACGAAATCAAGGACGTCGCGGATGAGTGCCTCGCCTTGAACGATGAATACTGGAGCTGGACTGCAGGGTGCGCAGATCATAAGGCCGGGCGCAACATCATCGACTGCCTTATTCGCGTGGAGGGGTTGTCGGTTGACGCAGCACGCGAGAAGGTCAGAAGAAATATTCTTGAGCTCGAGAGCCGGTTCCTGTCCCTCAAGGACAGATTCTCCTGGCAACACCCGACCGAATCGATCCGTCTGCACCGTTGGATCGAGGCTGTCGGGGCGGCGATGGCCAGCTACAACTACTGGCGGGCGAATCTGTCGTCTCCATGCTTCAGCAGTGGCAACTGCGGCAAGGCCGAATGGACCAGCACCTCGTCTACCACCACCCTCATCGATCGTCCTTGCTCTCCCCAACTCAGCTACAGACTCCACCACAGCAGCCTCGAGAGCAAGACCACAGACACCACCGCTCTAACCGCTCCAACCACCTACATCAGCTCCATCGCCTCCACCCCGACCACCGCAATCCTGAACATGCTCCCGGCCGCGCTGAACTGCTGGGCCCGCGCGCCGGAACCCTCCCTCCAACACATCCAGACCACCTTCACCAACCTCCACAACGCCACTCTCATCCTCTGGGACATCTTCACCGCGAGCACCACCCGCCACAGCAGCCCGGCCACCCACATCGTCTTCGGGACCGCCCAGGCCACCAACAGCGCCTACTACGCCTTCACCCACGCCCTGCAATCCGTCCAGCACCACCCCCACCTCCTCAGCAACCCGCCGCAAGCCACCGCCATCCTGACCGAAGGTCTCACCAGACTCTTCACCGGCCAGAGCTGGGCCCTGAACTGGAAGTTCACGCACCACATCCCCACCGAGCCCGAGTACCTAGGCCTAATCGACGACACCACGGGGGCACTCTTCTCCATTCTGGTCCGCCTGCTGCAGTCGCAGTCCCGCTGTGCCCCTCCCTCGCCATCCCCATGCCATCCTCACAACAGTAGCAGCAGCACCAACGACCCCAAGTTCCTGAACCGCAGCGACTCCCTCCTCTACCTCACCAACCTCCTTGCGCGGTTTATCCGCATCCGCGAGGAGTACCTCTTCTTCACCACCGAGTCCACCACACCAACTAGCCCCACTCCCTCCAAGCCTGGGGCAGAAAGCACGATAGGAGGATACAGCTACTCCTACCCCATCATCCGGCTCCTGAACACACGGCCCGAGTGCCGTGCGCAGATCACCGCGCTGCTATCCTCTTCTGCTGCAGCAGCGACTGCTGGCTCATGCTCATCAACGTACGCTGGTTCGTTCTCGGGTTGTGCGTCTCGTGGAACCAGTCCCTCGCCGTGCGCCTGCCCCCCTTCTACTGCGTCTTCTTCTCCCTCTTCTTGTTCCTGTCCCTCTTCAACTGGAGCAAACGGCACGGGCCAGGGCTTCGGAGCGTGCGGTAGTGCTATCCCGCCGCCGATGAGTGTCCCCGGTCTGTTGCACTTGCTCCGCGATTCCGGGGTGTTGGCCGCCACCAGGGAGTTCCTGCGGGATATGGAGGAGCAGATTGAGCGGGAGGTCGGGCGGTTGGAGGCGGGGGTGTTTGGCGGGGAGACGAATTCGTTGGTGCGGACGGTTGTGGGGCGGTTGAGTGTGCGGGGGGTGGTTTGATCCTGATGTCTATGCTGGTATGTGAAGGTTTTAACGGTGAAGTATGCTTGTATCAAGATTTTTCCTTCGCTGGGGAGGTGGGGTGAGGTGTACTCTAAGTATTGGGTGATAGAGTGTATGTAAGTAAAGGAATGATAGTTGGGTATCATGCTACTTGTGCTCGATTTTGAGAAAGATTTTGCCAATTATATCTATATCTTAGAAAACGGCCTTGAGTGAAAGCATACGCGGTCGAAGTAGAGTTCTGCCCAGTGCATGAAGCTACTATCTATCCCCATCTATAGACCCAGCCCCACCCCAGCCCTCTACTCCCGCCCCTAGCCATACCTATCCCTACTCCTCCTACACCAACTCCCAAAGCAGCACGGTATCTCTCTATTGCCGCACAATCTGAAAGCCATCCCATGCAAACAGCCACCACACCGCAACTACAATCCGACAAAATCTCTGTCACCACATGGTAAACACCGCCCAAACAAGAACCAAGAAGCTCCTTGGTCCAGCCCTTGAATGAGCTTAGCAGCGGGGATGGGGCGCGAACCCGGGCTATTGGTGCACCGTACTCCATACCAACGAATGACTTGGATCCCCTTCCCGAGAAGCGACTTGGCTTGGTCCACCTGCAAAGAACTGGTCTCGTGAGGCTCGTATAGCTTTCCAAGTTCCCCTAATTCCCCAAAGGTATAGCAATATACTGCACATCCAGCAAATACAGGTACCTAGTGAGAAATCGGCGCCACTCTGCATTTCGTGATATCTCCTCTTCTTAGGGTAGCTAGGATATCCTTTCTCTCTTTTTCCATATGCTCTACACGCATTTAATTAACAAGAATCATAACAAATCGAATCACTAACTGCTGGAACTCCCTGTTTTAACAATGATCACCGAGTGCCAGCCAGGCAACAAATAGTTATCCCCCGGCGATCTCAGCACCACAACAGACAAGGTGATTCCATTCTATCTATCCAGACCCAATAACCCCCCCCCCATATACTCAGCTAAGTATAAGTGCAACGCTGTACAGCACAGTATAGTACTCCATTCCATGTCCAACACGCAGAAACCCAACACCTCAAACAAAACAAAATCCTCACACCAACCCCAAAAAACCCTTCTCTCACACCTCGAAAAATGCACCGCTTATCCCCGGGAGCATCCACCCGAAACCCCCTTCTTCCCCTCGTCTTGTCTTTCTATTGTGTGTGTGTGTGTGTGTGTGTGTGTGCGCGCGCGCGTGCGTGTTAAATTGACGGTGTGTTCAAAACGACACAGATATGGTATACAACGGCGTCGCGATGGTCTGCGACGGCGGGACGGTGGGGTTTCCCTACCGGGCTTGTGTCTGTGCGGTGGATCCGGTGCATTGTACGGGGGATGGGAGTGTTGCTGGTGGTGGTGGTGATGATATTACGACGGCTACGGCTACGGCTACGGCTACGCCCACGCCAACTCCTAGCAGTCTGGATTTCGGGGTGGAGAGGGTTGGCGGCAGTTGTGCCGGGGTATTGGGAGGTGGGGGCGATGGGGTTTGGGGGTTGGGGGTTTTTGAGTAGACGTTTAGTACTGGGCGTTGCAGAAGGGGTTGTAGTGTCGATTATTCTTGGATGCCAGGCGTGTGGGTTATTGTATGACTGGAAACGAGAAACAGAGCCTTGGTGCTTTGGGTGGTTGTTGACGGTTTCTTTCTCGTTTTCCATGTTTCTTCACGGGCATTATTGATTGGGTTTATTAGTACAGGAACCCAAGATATGGGTATACTTCTTTCTCTGCCGCGTCATGCGGTTCTCTTGCCTGGGGGTGATAAATACGCAAAGTTGCGAGTCGACAGAATAGACCTGAACATGTGGATTCCTCTGTCAAGTACTCCAGAAGGAGACTAGATTAAGCTGATACTTGGAAGCTCAGGAACCAACATCAATTTCTTTAACACATAGCTTACGGCCTTTACAACCCGGTCTAATCTCAAAAACAATTCAAGTGAGCCAGCCAACATATATTCAGAGAGACTATATCTAACCCAACTCACTCATCGTTAATTTATGTATAAATAAAACCAAAAACTCAACCCACGCACATCCTATCCAATTCAGAGAGGGTTTTCCAAGAGAGTTTAGACCAACCGAAACATAAAAGAGACCGCAACACGACTCTAGATAAACAAGAACCCAAATCTTCCCGATTCCCTCTCCTAATCTAAAGCCTTCCAGCCCAACGCAGCTCTCCCCTCTCTCGTCCAAGACACACGCAAGCGTAGTATATCATTTCTCGAATGAAGAACCTCGTAGGCGGAGTTGAAAAGAAGAAAGCGAAAGAATGGAATCCGGATAAGATGGTGATTGACCCCCCAAAGTTCTTTTCCAGAGTCCCACACCTTCTCAGAAAGAAGGTGGAAACCGACGTCGTGACTGGAACATCAGGGAGATCAACTTTTGCCCTCCACTAGACCTGAACCCCGTTTAAGCGCAACGGCACCAGGACCGGCTGTTGTTTTTGGTGTTTTGTCGCGGGTCATGAGTGTTCGGGGACGGCGAAAGTAGCGTGAGTCGAGTAATTGGAGTTTATGATGAATCAAAATATATAGCGTGTATGTGTATGAGATAAGTCATGTTGCGGGACGGGGAGGAGAATTCCTTATTCGAGATGGACGAAAGCTGAGAGATATTGATTTATTGATTATGGACCGAAAGGATAGATTTTGGCGTTCACGTGGAAAGTGAGAGGAAGCTCCAGGCTATCTCAGGGGAGTCATTTACATGACAGTGCAGCCGCCGCCGGGGGAGGCGCCTATACTTGATATTAGCCAACGTTCTGACCTTTACGTGGGATTGATAAGGAAGGGATCGGAGTGCAAAAGTCATGACAAGCCAGATCCAAGCGAGGACATACCGCGGGTGGTGGATTCCTTGACAATCTCGACGGGGGCCATTTTGAATGATTGAAGTGATGATCGAAAGATTGAATTTGTTTTTGTTTTGCTTGTAATAAAACTTGCGGATGGAGAGAAAAAGAAGCAATCCTCGAGAGGATTCGAAGGGGTTTATATAGATTTCTGGCAGATATCAATCCGTAGAATTCGTGAATGAGAACATGTACTCCATCTTTGATATTCAACAAGAGACCAATGGCAGTTGAGGAAGTATGAGGACGGTCTCGGCAGGTACGAATGAAAGGGCAGCCTAGGGCGAGAGAGTCAGTATCGTTTCTGTGATACTTTCTTTCTTCCTGTCGGTAAACTTCAACATGGCGTTCGAGAAGGCTTTCATGGAGGAATCACATGGGGATGAGGTAGAAAGAACGGAACGGAGGCGACTGGGATGTATGGTTTGGGATCGTTGAGGATGTCTGGAAGGACAGGGATTAGATCTTCATATTGTTCTAATAATGGACCAATGACAGGTCGGTTTCGGTATCTAGAATCGAGATAAGGGGCGCTCTGCTTTCGGTTCTGGAACTGAGGCTGCATGTCATTCTTTCTTCTGGCCCGACCTGTTGAATAACGGGGCACGAAGCCCGCGAGGGCTGTGGTTGGTCTCGCAACGGTAGTGGATGTGCCTGGACGAGTCTGGAGCGGTCAATTGTATGCATCCAGATGAATGTGCCTTCGAAAACCATAGACCGACAAACTGAATCTGGCATGGATCATGGATCATCGTGAATGTGTCAACCTCGTGGGGTTGAGTTTGGAAGAGTTTGGAAGTGCCACGCGTGGAGGAAATCCGGGACGGCGCCGAATCACCATCCGTCCCTGCCTATTGTTCTTCAACAACAATACTAACCACCACCTGCCACCACTCGCTTACAACTTTGGGTCGGTCCACAGAACACAAAATAATAAAGAAACATCCAATTTCATTGCTGCTAAGCCAGAATCCAAAGATTGAACTAGATTACTCCTTCAGGTGTAAATAGGCTCCGTCAATTCGTTCAGTGTCAGCCCCTCCTTGGCAACATCCTCCTCGATCAGGAACATCAGAGGCATTTCGACCAGTGTTCCCTTGACCTGACTGAGCAGTTCTTTCACCTGCTTGACACCCTCAGGGCCCGGAGGGAAGTCATCCCGTACCACATGTCCGTATTCGTACCGAGCAGGCTGGGAGTCGTCCTTGCCATATGCCTGCTTGTCTGCGTTGTGGAAGTAGTATCCATAGAATTCCTTGTAGGTGGCCCAGTTCCGGACTTGGTCATCAGGAACCGAGTGAAAGACCTTCCGGAACACCTCAGTGTTCGTTCTGGCCCGAGTGTTCCACATGCTATGCATTGTGTCCGCCAAGGGGTCGGCCACAATCTGGCTTTCTGGAGACTCGGCATCGAATGTGTTTGGTACACCGACAGGCTCGAAGTTGGCATCGGGACGTTCTGGATCCTGCGGTGGCAAGAGACCAAGGTGCTTACGGAACAGGTATCTCCGGAGAGAAGCGGCAAATCGACTCGCGCTCCATGGCTGACCGTTCATGCGCGACTGGATAGGGGTGTAGTCTTCAATCACGATTGCAATCTCAGAGTCGTGATCACCCAGCTGGGAGCGATCGTTCAAGTTGGCAGATCCAACGATAGCAACCCGATCGTCGGCAATCATAACCTATGCTTCCGTCAACTTAGGCGTTCACACAATCATAATTAATGCTTACCTTAGAATGTATGTAAAGTTCTTCGGTGACAAACGCGTCGATTTCAGCCTCGGCAGGACCTTCCCACGGCACGTTGCGGATATCTGTACCATTCAACATGTAACATTCGCTGACGCTGTCCCACCGACCAGGCGCAGACTTAGTGCTGGAGACCTGTTGAGCAGCCTGCTGGTACTGCTGGTAAGGGGCGGTGGTGTCAAAGGCCGCACGAGGAGCGCCCGGTCCATAGCCACCCGGGCCAGCTGTGGTCAGGTCGTGCTCCTTGCGGGCTTCCTCGTAGTTCACACCACTTCTGTTCTCCGCCTGAAGCAATGGGCCGCTGACATTGATTCGGTCGTAGTTGCGCAGGTTGTAGAATCGGATGTAATCCATCGGGTTATATCCTTCTTTGGCAATCAGTTCCATGATACTACTGCCTCCACGGTTGATGCAGTTGTACTGGAACTCCATGATGGCCCGGGTGCCCAGAGTGGATTCATCGCTCAGGTCTCCCGCAAAGCAGGGAACGGATGGGAGGACAACAACAATCTTGTACTTCTCGCCCGCTCGTGCAGCACGAAGAATACGTTCAACAATCGCAGCTCCAATCTTGTTCTGAACGGGCTTCTGGGCATCACCAGTTGCAGTAATGAAGAACTGGTTTTCGATGTAAACGAAGTGCTGACTGTTACGGATGATAGCTGCGTATGCGTCGGCGATGGAATGCTCGGTGGGCGTTCCGTTGCTCCACTTGGAAGCACTGCGTACGATCTGACAAACCATGTTGCCGCGCGGCTGAGCGCCCTGGCGATAATTCATACGATCCTGGTAATGATGGATTTGGCCAGCCAGTTCACCACGAAGAACATTACTGTAATCTGTGATGTTCTCCTTGATACCACGGAAGTTGAAGCCTCTCTCGGAGTCGCCGTATGCATGACCCCCGCTGTGATAGTCGTGGAGACCGCGGGTTTGCGAGTGCTGACCCTCTTGAGTAGGGGGAGGCGGGTAAGCCTGATTTTGACCTTGGCTCGGGGAGTATGACTGGTATTGAGATTGAGGCTGGCCCTGTTGGTGAGGGTACGCTTGACTCTGGGGCTGGGTGGGAGTCTGTTGAGTGTATGCTTGACCCTGAGATTGTGTGTAGGTCTGCTGACTCTGGGGCTGAGTGGTAGTCTGCTGTTGAGAGTACGCTTGACCTTGAGGTTGCGTATAGGTCTGCTGGTGAGAGTATGTTTGATCCTGAGACTGGCCATAGCTACTCTGCTGGGCTGATGTAGTACCCTGGCTTGAAGGAGGCCCAGGGGGAGGCGGAGGGAACGAATCACCAGTGTAGGTATAGTGGTGCTTTTCATCGTGACTTGGTGTATATGCCTGGTTTGGTGTGTATGCAGGCGGAGCCTGTTGCTGCCAGTTGGAATCTGCCTGAGAGCTAGGGTGGGGCGAGGTAGCCTGATATCCACTTTGATGAGACTCGGGCTGTTGCTGCCAGCTTTGAGTATGCTGGATATTGCCAGAATAAGCAGCAGGCTGAGGCGTTGCGGGCTGGGGCTGCTGCTGCCAACTAGGGGTGCTTTGAGTGGCAGGCTGAGCGCTACCGCCATAGGAAGCAGTCTGCTGAGGGCTTTGCTGCTGATGAGCTTGTTGTTGCCAGCTAGGGGTCGCCTGGTTGCCGGCGCTAGATGGTTGAGCATCGCTAGATTGTGCCGCAGGCTGCGGAGATGCGGCCTGTTGTTGCCAGCTGGGAGTGGAAGGGTTTGGGCTGGCCGGAAGAGCGCCGGGCTGGGCTGTGAATGTCTGCTGCCAGCTGGGAGTGGAAGGTCCCTGGTTTGGCGCTGCAGGCTGATGAGTTGGCCGCTGTTGTTGGCCCTGCTGCTGACCCTGCTGCTGACCTTGTTGGGGGCCCATAGAAGAGGTAGGGCGGCCGTACAAGTTCAGTTTTGTGTATCTAGCATTGTTGCGCGAGTAGTACTTGAGGTCATAGATGAAGTTCCATCGCTCGACAAAGTGCCGTCTCAGGTCTTCGACCACCTGCCCGTGCAAGCTGACTGAGATGTCTGACCATCCCATGCGGGATGTCTTCTTCCGATCCAACTGGTTCTTCTCCCAGTTGGCTACATCCTGGAAATCAAGCACTCTAGCATTGTTGTAATCCTGACCAGGGAAAACGATTTCGTTCAGGTCCTGGCCATGAACATCGGCGAGCGCGTGCTGATTAGTGTCCCAACGGCCGAAGCACATATCCAAACCACCCATGAATGCCACGCGACCATCGATAAGGCAAAGCTTCTCGTGGTGGGCCCAGTAAAGGATGACATCTTCGTGCATACCATAGATTCCCTTGATGGTATCAGCGGACATCTTAGCCAGATTGCCTGCATCTAACGACAGGTTCTGAAGGGAAGATGCGATAGACGCTTCCAGCTCCTGACGATCAGGAAGATGGTCAGGGTGACGGAACACAGCGATGTTCTGATGGAGATCTTCCAGGTGGTGCTTTGTGTGATGGGAGGAAACTGCGCTTTGGATTAGCTATCGCAGTAGTGTACGGTACCCTTTCTGAACATACGTGTCAATGCCTGAGTCACCTCCTTATAGACAATGATGTTGACGCGAACGCCTCGCTGCGCAGCAGCCAACAGCATTCGATCCAGTCGATACTGCTCGTTCTTCGCCGGAGGACGTCTCAGGTAAAGTTCTGGCGACAACCACCCTGGTTTTCACGTCAGTCAAAATGTCCATCACCTCACGACTGACACTACCCAGAGCTTACAATCCAAGATCCAGATATACTCCTTCGCACTCTCCAAGGCCTTGGAGACAGCATAGAAGTATGCACATCCATCAACATGCCACTTGACTTCGTTGCCCTGACGTTCTGGTGCAAAACTGCCAAAGCGGTTCTGTGTCTGTGGCTTGATCGATCCATACTGCTCATAAGCCTGGGGGTCCAAGGCAGTTCCGATCCTTTGTGCGAACTCATTTCCGAGGTTCTCCAGTTTTCCGAACAATCCGGAGAGCTTGTCCTGCCTCTGGGGTTTCTGGGGTTGCTGATGATAGGTGGACTGCTGGTGCTGGTACTGTTGCGGGCTGGTGTTTCCGTACGACGGCGGGTATTGCTGGGCGGAACCTTGGGTCTGAGATTGGGTTTGGTGGTACTGGCTCTGGCTCTGGGGTAGATAAATCCGTGGTCAGTAAGGCAAGTTGAAAATGGTACTGTGCCTGAGATTCCTGATTTACCTGCTGCGTGTTGCTGGTACTGCCCTGCTGCTGCTGATGGCTCTTGTAGGTTTCCTTCAATTTTTGGAAAGTGTCGCCGACAAATCCCCTCGCGGTATCGCCGGATGTGCCCCGCGCTGAGTCGCCGTAGTAGTGGCCGTAGGCCAGGTCTTCCTCACGGTGGGACATGGGGACGACTGTTAAACCCGGATATGAGAGGAGGATAGATGGTGTAACAATAGACCAAAAAAAAAGAGAGAGAGAGAAAGGATGCTGACCGCCACGAGAGGGAAAGGATAGTTGTTATTATTATGTAGTCTCACGGAGGGTGGGGGAGGGGATCATCTGAGGCAGGAGGAATACGGTTTAGGGGAATACGGGGCTAAACCACGACGGTAAGACAGCCCCGCCAGTCCAGCTTATCCACCTTCTAGGCTTCCGTCTAGTTCGAGGTTGTTGGTTTGTTTATGTTTCCTTGTGCTCGGCCACTGTCGGGTGGTGGTAGTTACTGGTGCGAATGTTCTCCGCTAGCCATGGCGGCTATTTGTCAACACTATCTAACTTGCACTTCTTTCTGCTGCTATCCTATCTTAACCACCGACATCGAGTGTTGCCTTGCAGGGCGGGGGCGATGCACCATCGCCTTTCTAGATCGCTGCAGTGTGGCTGTGCCGGCAATGATGGCGGGGAATCCCCAGTTAGCTTGAAACAACACCCGTACGGACCTTACCTGACAGCCTCTGATGACGCATGATACGGTGATTCCAGCCCCTCTGTTGACTGTGGCTTATGTGGCTCTGCCACACCGCATCGTTCATCCCGAGCATTGCGTCGCGCAAGCCCATTCAACATTCACACTGAGAGCGCTAAGAGTGTTGAGCTAGAACGCTCAAGTCCTGGGCGATCTTGGCACACGGGAATAACGCGGGCTTGTTGTCGCCAATCCTGAGACATGATCCACTTACATCGGTATAACGACAATAACATATGTGGTCATATACTCCATAAACCGAGATTATACAAATGTCTCAAGCCGATCGAACTCTGCTGCTCACGAATCTTAGCAGTGCTTCGCAAGACGATCTGATGCTGTGAAATCCGCGACTATCCGACTATCCGCAAGTCGGACAACAACCAGCTTTCCGCGGTCGGATCCACTTCCTTGTTAGCGCAAACCTCCTTCCACCTTCATGTTCTGGAAGACTGGAATGCACCGCCAAATGATTCTCGAACTTTCGCAAAGCTTTCGCGATGAGGATCCTTAGGGTGGTAAGCTAGACAGATTGTTCGTCGATTCTAGCAGGGGAAGAGTCCTGTGTGGAATGACATCGCATTCAGTGTATTGGCGAGCACTCGCTGAGCATTGGGGACTCAATTGCTGTCAGGCCCGTGTGCGAATGCTGCTATTTAAACCAGGACTAGCAGCAGTAAACACTAGTACTGGGATAAGCAGAAGAAATCGTGTCTGCTTTCTGGGAGATGTATTGAGCAGGAAAAGTCATTCGTTGTGCAATGAGGAAATATATTCCAGAACAATGACCCAGCCAGATTCTTGCAGCTTTTCTCAGTATGTCTAGCATTTCATCCCCACTATAAGGGGCTTGGAACAAGAAAGAGTTTTGTTTCCTTGACCATAGCTCACTATAAAGGAGTTTCCGGCCATATCCGGGGCTTGTGGCCTTACTAGAACTACACTTGTCGTAGTCTTCTTGCGGAAGATTGTGCAGAAAATATTTAACTTCATCATCGTTCATCGGGATCCAGATTCATAGTAATGGTCTATTTGAGAAGACCAGATATCATTGGCTTGGAACACAAAGTATTCAATCTTTTCGAGTTCTGACAGAGCGAGATCATCTAAAGGGTAACTTATTGAGGATGGCGTCATTGTTTTGATTGCCCCTCGGTATCGTCGGATGAAGAGCAACCCCGCACCGAGGTGGAACAGCAATAGCTGTCGAATTTCTTCAGGGGCACTTCAAGTCAGACGCCTCTGACAGGAAGAACCGCAGGCTGCGATCTTGAGAATGGCTAAATGCGATAGAACGTCCAAATATAAGTACCGCGTAGATAAGATCTTCGCTGTCATGTTGTGTCTAAACCTAAAGTTCGTCCTTGGATGGCAGCAAGCGCTGCCTGCCCCTCACTGACAGGCCCCCGCAGCAGACGGACCCCGCACCGCAGTTGGAGAAACCAGAGCAGCAACAATTATTTAAGAATGACATCGGCCCATATCTTGACCACTTATTGTCTAATCCTGCGCTGCTACCATTGGCCCTCTGAGACCTATCCCCAAAGAACCTCATCTATTCGATTGTAACATCAAACCAACATCACAATGTCTCTCGCAACCCTCGACGTAAGTTGCCGGACAAGACCCACGACGTCGATGACGTTGTACCAGGGAAGTCATTTCCGCACGTACTAATCAACAGCGCATCACCAGGTTTCCCAACACCCCTACCTCCCCGCCGCCTCCGAGACGCTGTTCAAGGCCAAGGCATCGAAGAAGCTGAGCTTCGAGCAAATCGCCGAGCACATCGGTCGCAACGAGGTTGCCGCGGCCGCCCTTTTCTACGGCCAGGCCAAGGCATCCCCCGAAGACATCGACAAGCTGTCCTCCCTCCTCGATGTTCCCCGCGATCTTCTGGAAGAGCAGCTCAGTGGCTTCCCGGATCGCGGCCGCTCGGTCGAGATGCCGCCCAAGGAGCCGCTGATCTACCGATTGTATGAGATCGTGCAGAACTACGGGTACGCGTACAAGGCTGTTCTGAATGAGAAGTTCGGGGATGGCATTATGAGTGCCATCTCGTTCTCGACCAAGGTGGAGAAGGAGACGGATGAGGCTGGAAACAACTGGGCTGTTATCACTCTGAGAGGAAAATGGTTTGTCAACAGGATTGTTTAATTCTTGCATGAGACTTGCTAACTGAGACTACGACAGGTTGCCTTTCTCACGGTTCTAAGTATGATTATGTGAGTCTAGGGAGGCGGTAGTAATTGAAATGCATGTAAATAATATTTGAAAGGGGTACCATATTTTATCTGTTCCTGCGCATGAATTTCATTCCTATGGGTAGTAGTAATGCGCAAAGTAGAGAATTCACAGCCGGCGTGGAGTGACACCTACCCTCACCCGCCAGGTTGGGCGTGTGTCATAGTGAAGTGAGGATGGCCTCCATAACACACAATCCTTGCGCATCCACCCCATTGACTGACTCACCTTCCAACTCCCTCAACCTTCTATCCAAATCCCTTCGGCTGCCTCGTTCTTTTCATCTATCACACTTCTTCCCACTGCAATCTTCTCAAACAGTGACATCGAGGATTTCACTTTAAGCCCTCAACTATTTCTCCACGGCCATTGTGGCCTACACTCCTATCTTCCTCCCCTTTGAAACCCATTGAACTATTCAAAACTCATTCAGAATGTCCGCTCGTTCAGGCCACCAGACAGGTCCTTCCAAGGTGACTAGCGCCAACACAAGCCGTTACGGTGTCGCTCGCTCGGGACCAGGCCCCGTCAATGCAGGCCGTGCTACTACAGGACCCTCGCGCACAGGAGTCCCTGATGATGGTCGTCCTATTAAAGGTGGCCCTCACGCTGGTCCTTCTCCCGTAGTGAAGCCTGGTGGAAAGCCCAGTAAGTCACGTTCTTTGCATATAAACTAACCAGGGGCTGAATCATCTCTCACAGGTCCCTCAGTTGCAGCGAAACCCGGCGAAAGGTCGAATGTTACCAAGCCCTTGAATCCTCGTCGCTTTGTCCCAGAACCCTCTCGCGCAAAGCCTCCTGCTGCAGGACCAACCGCCGCAATAGGTCGCCCTGCTGCAGGCCCTACCACCAGAGGCCGTGATCCCACCAGTCGTCCTATCGCCGAACCTGCCTCCACACAACCTCCTACCACACAGCCTTCTGCCAAAGTCGACACCCCGGCGACGCCCTCGAGCACAAAGCCTCCCGAGCCCACCAGAGTCTCCTGCACGTATGCCAAGTGCGGCAAGCAGTTCCCCAGCAAAAGAGACATGGACATTCACAAGATCACCGAGCACGAGTACTGCGAGCGGTGCGACGAAGATTTCCCGGATGAAGAACGCTTACTTATCCACAAAATCATCAGCGTCAAGCACATCGTGTGTCCCGTCTGCGGTCTGGAATTTCGTAGCTCGGGTGGCCGGGACGTCCACATTCGTCAGGTAAGTGACCAGGAACACTTTCTTTTTGGCTGCTGAAACAGAGCGTGAACGAACCAGCTTAAGAACTGACACAATACTTGATTGACTTCAGAACCATCGAGCAGAACAGACCATCGACTGTCGCGGCTGCACCATGAGTTTCAAATCCGCTAGCGCCCTGATGCAGCACATCGAGAGCAACGGCTGTCGCAGAATCCCACGGGCTCGCCTGCTCCAGCAGCAGGAGACCCGTCTGATGATCGCCGAGATCCTGGACGGTGACCGGCCCATCCGGCCCGAGGATCTCGACAACGACGACGGTGGTGTCATGCTGAATGGGACTCCGCTGAAGTCCCCCGTCAGCCCTAGAAGAAGTCCAAGAAACAAAACCCCCGACGCGAAGTCACCCACCAGCGCCAATCCCAGCCCCAGTGCAGGAACATCGGTGATGAACTCTCCCTGCCCGCTGCACCAGCAGCAGCAACAAAGTATCCCGTCCTCCCCCTCCAACAAGACCGAGAAGAGCATGGCGACCGCGATGTCGCGACTCTCGCTGGACGACGCGGACCCCGACGCCAGCGACATTGCGCTCGTCCCGCTCCCCACAGCCACCGAGCTCGAGCACGACCAGACAATGGAGTGGAGCCTCTTCGGCAAGCCGGTCGCCTCGGCCGGGGAGATCCTTCGCGAGATCACCCCGGGCTGGGACTCGAGCAAGTTCCTGAACATGTGTCGTACGCGTTACGTGTGCCACTGCCGCGTGAGCTACAAGCGGGTGGAGGATTTCGAGACGCATGTCATCGAGGAGATGCGCGATAGGAAACCACTGGGGTGCGATCTTATCTTTCTCCATCCCCTTTCATTGACTCGTACAAGACTAACCACTTCCGCACCAACAGATGCCCCCGATGCTTCCGCAACTTCAAACGCTCGTCGGACCTGGTCGCGCACATGGAGACCGGGAGCAATCGCTGCAGCGTGGCCTCCGGGTCCGCCTACCACCAGGTTCTGGATCAGTTGACCGGCGGGGTGGTCCGCGTCGCCGGCACGCTCCAGGATGGCACTATCAATTATGAAGCCGGCAACGTGGAACCGCTGTACGAGCCGGACAACGAGACCACTCTTGCTGGTATCGATACGAGCTACACGTTCAGAAGCCCCGTCTGGTGATCAAAACGGGTGGGTTGAATCCTTATCTGCGATTATCTATTATGGATTCTCAGAACGCTTGCACTCGGGGGGAGAGTCGCGTCTTGAACTGACTTCTTATCTGCGCTGTTCCTGGTTTTCTCCTTTGGCCTTGTATTTCCTTTCCATTCTCATATGCATCTACAAAATCAATACGATGTATCTCATTTGGCCCGTCTTTCATCTGATGCTTCCAAGATTGGTTCATAATTTCATTTTTCTTCCAATATTCCGTTATCTCAGCAAAAAAAAAAAAAAAAAAAAAACATCTCGTTACTCTACGTAGTCTCCACATATCTACAGCACAGCATATCGCAGTACTCACCCCCACAAAACCAATGAACCTCCCTCCCTCCGAGCAATAACCCACTTAAGAGTAAAAACATGCGTAAAAATATCTCTCATAACCATGTAGAACGTATACAGAAAAAAGGTAGGGGTATAAACATCAACACCAACACAACACCAACACAACAGGCAACACCAGCACCTGTACACCAGCCGCAAACCCGAAGACCAGAATCGCATCGATCTCCGCCCTGCGCAAGCCCCATCAACCACAACCGTCTATCTCATCGATCATCGACCATCGCACGCATCAAGTATCATCCCATCCCCACGTCGAAGACGACCCTCATCGCACTTCCCGTCATCCCGTCATTCCCCTCCACATCCCCAAAGAAATGGTTCTAGCAACACTCCTCACAGCACTCGAAGCACAACAACCCCGCGCAACTATTTCACCCCGGTAGCCGTTAGCTTGTCACCCACCAGAAAAAAGGGGGTCGGAAGAACATACACGCCACAGCACACGCCGCCGCCGCCACCACCGCGGAGGTTCATCTGCATTTGTTCTTGGGTGGACTGCGCGTCAGATATTAGCTTGTTGTTTTATTGCGGAGCACATGGGCTGCGGGGAAAGGGGGAATTGGGTGCAGGCAAGGACAAGGACAACGCACGGGCTGCTCGGTGACGACGCGCTCGGTGGACGGGGCCTGGGGGCTCGAGGGTTGCTGCATGGTCGTGGGCATCATGGTGGCCGTGTTGGGGTTCCAGGTGGGAGCGCCGTCGGCGGGGGCGGAGTTCTTGGTGGAGGTGAAGAGGTTGAACATTTTGATCTTTGATCTTTGGTAGTAAGTTGTGTTGATTGTAGGTGTGGTGGATGCGAGTAAGGTAGATTTAGTTGTAATTTTAGTCTATGAAGATAAAGACTGAGAGAGAGGGAGGTGAGATGAGACGGGGATAAGCTGACACGGACGGGCACTGCAAGGGTATTTATGTTGGAGAGTTCTTCAAGGTTCACTCACTGGGCTGGGCAGTTGTCAATGGATGGGATCTTAGTTTACTACTAGGTAAGTTTGGTTTGGTTTCAATGGGTCAGGGGTCCGACCCATCCTGGAGCGCCCTAGGGTCCAGTGCGGTGCAGTGCACTGGTTGAGCATACAGTACGGTAACAGTATTATACCAGCACAGCCAGTCACAGCCACGAGATGCTCCACGTCAGCGGCTCAGCCCTGCCGCGCTTGCGTTTCTACAGGTGGGGCAGCAGCAGGCCCTGGGGCACTTTTACCACTACAGAATCACTTACCCAGCAATGCAATCTTCTCTCTGTCTAAACTTAGAATCGCTCAACTCTTCCGTATGAGTACATACCGGTAGTACTCAAGCGCGTACAGCCATGCATCTAACTTACCAATAGCACCAGATGATCATGCACACACACGCACACACCTCCCACTTGACCATCTCACCCTCACCCTCACCCCAGCAAAGCAGAGCAGAGCAGAGCAGAGCAGAGCAGAGCAGCACCTCCCGCCAAATCTCAAACCCGATTCGCAATTCCACCCCTCCAACCCCCCACTCCCCTCAACCGCCAAGACCGCCAACCCCCTTCTTCGGCCACTGCAGCCTGCAAGAAAACAAAAAAATCAGGCAGCCTCAATTTTTCGCCCGTACTCCGTAGGTAGGTACCGCGTACGTATTCGTTTTCCCGCCCGGGCTTTTCCGCCGGGCGATGCCAAGAACCACTAGTCTATTGAGGCAGAATCACCCCCGTCAAGCTTCCGAGGTCGATGGAAAAGCTTTTCGCTGCTCGTCTGGGTTTCTTGGGGGAGGCGTCACTGCGTCACTGCGTCAGTGAATTCCCGTGGGACGTCTTGCAACAGAAGAACGTGCTATTCTTAGCAGGATTGGTGCCGCCTATCCTGTCTGTGGCTGGGTGGTTTGGTTCCTGAAACCACCTACTATTCTGGTGGAATGATTCGAGAATTCTCCCAAAAAATAAACCCCGGATCAGCAGAGCCGAATTGAGCCCTTGCATTGTTTTGACTCTAGGTGACTGCGTGACTGGTGACTGGGTCCTCTGGAGGCAGAAACATTTCCCCCCCGGCTAATCATTGGCTGACCGGTGTTGAAACAAACCCTCACAAATTACCGTTGCGGTGACCCCGAGCTCTCTAGTCCAGAGTACTATGTAAACATGATTGAGGTGAATTTCGGGGCCTAAGTTGATGGAACCCCAAGTCACCCCGTCGAGGCAATTATCGGTAGTTCGGCTATTTCTTTTGGCTCCCAGTTTTGGGAAGGAAATGGATCGGCTCGCTCTTGAAGGTGTGGCTGTGTGCACGCCTCGGGGCGCGGGCTCGGGCTCGGGGGCCAAAGCCACACACCGCTTGCGCGGCAAACCTGCTTGATGCGTACGGGAAGTAAAGTATCCCTCATGGCGCCCAGTGTTCTAGGTTTCTGGACATTGGGTGTCATTTGGGAGGAGTGGGAAAGTAGACCATGAACCAAGTGCAAAGAATCCCTCTGCAGCAGCGTTTGGCAACGAGATGTGCTACCCATTGTCATCCCCAATGTGATAACGGGCATTAGCGCGGTTGGGGGCGGAAGCCGCGCGCCAGACTCATGTCTTTGGATGCAACACCAGTTTCTAGTCGACTGGTCTGGATTCTGTCACTCATTATCTTTCGATCAGGGGATCATCGGCATTGCCCTGTCAATCACATTTACCCGCTGCGGAGATGACACAGAATCTGTCTCAGACATCTTAGTGGTGCAACCCGGGCACGCTGCAACTACAGGCTTTGCTCTTAAATACAACGCGAGTAATTGTGTTACAATTGAAACATCAGCCAACCTCAATCCAGGTCTACCATAATTCTACAACATCTCTGCTCAAATATCAAGATCCGGAAGCCAACGTTCTTTCCACTGTTGCAACCACGTCTTGAACAGCTCGAAATCGACAGGCCCAATTGTGCCCATGACTTGACTATGGGCAATCGCGTTTGTCGTTTCGAAAGGTGCGGCATTGGCACCTTGTTGATCAAGTAGGCTCTTGAAGAACCCCAGCAATGGAATAGCCGGCAGACTTTCGAGACGTTCGTGACTTGCATCATCCGAGATCTGTTGCAAATCATTGACCCATTCTTCAAGCGGAACCATCTTGGCTTTGCACGCTCTAGCCACCAGGGGAGCAAATAACTCCCAATCTTTGGACTCCGGGTTGACAACGTGGTACACCTTGAGTCCGGTAAGATTCTGCTCCTCGTGGCGGCGTTGAACTATCTGCACAATAGCTTGAGCAGCTAGGTCCTGTATATTGAAACGTCAGCAACCGTCAAATCTTGTTCAAAGGCATGGCAAGATGTGTCGCTCGGAAGCTCAAGAACTTACAATCGGGATCCAATTAACTTTCATTGCTCCCAAAGCATCTGGGACCTTGCCGATGGTGATTGACGAGCGGATCATCGACGGAAACCAGTCCCGCGGGTTCCACATCTCTCCTCTGGGAGATGAGGGACCGCCCAGCTGACCGATGCGGTGAATGCTAATACGAAGGTTGCTGCGCTGGGCTGCGATTTCGCACAGAGACTCGGCCACGAACTTCGACTCAGCATATCCCAGTTCTTGCACCGCCGAGGCCTCATGCAGTGTTTCAGGAATTGTTGATCCATCTGATGCTTGCCATGCCCCGACTGTCGAAACAGATGACATGTAGTGCAAGTGAGCCTGACGAGGGGACTCCTCAACCAGGTTCAGGAGGCGTCGCAGCCCCTTAAGCATAGGGGTTTCAAAGGCTTTTAAAGGTTTATGGAAATCAACTGGCCAGGCGTTGTGGATATAGACATCCGCTGTGTCCCGCAGCTGACGATACCGAGCAGGTGCTAGCCCCAGCATTTCATCGCCTAGGCTGACCTGCCAGAAGTGAACCCGTGAGGTTTCTGTGATCCACCCACCTGACAAGCCCCTTTCCTGGAAGTTATTCACCTGGCGGTCAGCTGCATCGGCGCTACGGTTAAGGCAATATATCTCTGCAACCGACGGGATTTGCAACAATTGATGGAGCAGGCGACTACCGAGATCACCCGTCGAGCCCGTTAGCACTACCTTAGTACCGCCGTGGCCAAGATGCCGAGAGTGATCCCAGATAGAATGGACAAGCCGATCGTTTCGCGTCCATTGGGCATCTGAGCTCTTTTTGCTTGACTCATCACCACCAACATGTCGACTAAGTCTGTCGGTAAGACCTTGGATGGAGCCTGCTTGGTAAATCTCATTGCTTGACCAAGCCATAGCTTTCCCAGAGGGGCGCAATATCTTTGATGCATGCTGCAACATTCTCGACAATTCGGTTACCTGCAGTGAGTCGATCCCGCTACCGACTAGATCATCATTCTCGCCAACATCCTTCAACCGGAGTCGCTGGGAGAACACTCGTAAAAGCCATTGCTTGAGTGCGTCTCCACCCGAGCCCTCAGGATATGCTCCAACCTTGGCATCGTGCACGTTAGAATCTTTAGGGTCTCCAGACTCATACAAGGAGTCCAGGACGGACTTGTAATCGTTGGCAATTTCGCGACGGCGCAAGGATCCCTTTGGGGATCGAGCGAACGGTTTATCGCGAGACGTAAGAGCTATATGAGTGTCGAAAATACGTGCATAAGCCGGGAGTGCTTCATTGGCCCCATCCAAAAGTGACCCAAGCTGCTGTCGAAGCCATCCCTCGGTCCAGTCCTCGGGAAGGTTATCCCACGCGGGTTCCAGAAGCAATGCGGCTTGATGACGGTCCTGGCCAAAGATGGCCGCGCGGCTAATCAGTTGGTGTCTCTCGAGGATCTTCTCAGCTTCGATAGGATTGAACTTCTCCCCGTTGCTCATGACATTGATGTCATCGCCTCTGCCGCTGAAACGCCAAAGACCAGATTTCGTTGGATGTGGAGTGAAAAGATCGCCCGTGCGGTACTCAGATAGATCTGGATAGGAATAGAAGATTCCGTGATACTTGCATGACTCGGGCCTGGGAATCACTAATTCAAAGACCCCTTTCTCAACTTCGTCCATCCGCACCCCGAAGGCGGGAACCCATTCTAGATAACACCAATCGGCTGGATCCTCGCAGAGCAAAGCGGGCGTCCATCCCGTCTCGGTGCTCCCCAGCACAGTCTGTAGACGTGTCAGCGATGACAATTGGTTCCCAGCGGATTGTGACATGGGCGCTCCGCCAAAAGCCACGTCCTCGAATTGTGACAACGCTTTCCGGCCGCTCTCCTGTTTCCCAAGGTCCTCAATGACAGGTGCAGCTACCAATGTCCATTTGGGATGATGAGCAGACATGATCTGCGCAAATAGATCAGAGTCCAACGGACGATCGGGTGCAAGAACGAATGGTGTCTTGAAATAAATACACTCGGTGATGCAGACCAGGCCGACGAAATGAAACAAAGCACCATAGTGAAAACGTAATTTCCCGTTTGCCCGCACATGAGCCTGGGCGAGCTGTCGTCCTTCTGGCACAGGGATGGTCCGGATATTCTCAAGAGTGGCGAAGTAACCATGGGTTATGTTAATAGGCTTGGGTTTCCCCGTTGTTCCAGAGCTATGCAAGATAACCGGGGATATATCCTCGGCGGCGGCGAAATCGTGCTCGTACTTGTAGGGATAGTTGTCACTTGGCGCACCTTGGAAGACTTCCCATAGTGACGGCATACTCCATTTCTGGAACCTCTCTGAGCGATTCCTTGTGACCTTGTCCAGCATCTGTCGCAGCTGCTGCTTGTTGCTGGCGTCGACCATTACTGAGCAATCCGTGGCGTCGAGCAGATGCTGGAAGGCGGAATGAGAGTTCCGAGTGGAGAGGAGCAATGCCTTCGGAGAATGAGCTTTCTAATAATGGGAGGCAATCCTGCTTTCACGAACCGTGTTTCCTGTTTTCATGCAGGCCAATATAAATACTGCGTAACGCACGTCATTTGTACCTATATAGGCGAGGACATGGCGCTTCTGCTTGGCCCTTTCGCCCAGCTGCTGGTCAATCCAGAAAGCAACGCGATTGACAGCATGGGCTAGATCCTGGTAGGTGATGCTTCGCCAATTGTCGGCTGAGTTCATAGAGACTGGATGGATGCTGTACAGCTGATCTGGTTGAGTTTCTGCCAACTCGTCCACCACCTGGTGGAGGAGCCGGCCCGGAGAAGCTTCTGAACCCATTTTGAGGGACTTGATACGACGATATCAAAACAAGCTGATGCGAAATGCTTTGAAAAAGACATTTTCCGGGCGGATACGAGGAAGTAATATGTACTGTTGCTTCCTGCGGAAGTGTGACGGCATTGTAGCCTGCAAGTGCGCGACACATTCCTCATGGTGTGTAAGCGGCGCGCAAGGGGCAAAGTAGTTACCGTTGGGGGAGGGCACAAGATGCCACGAGTTGCTGTTTTCTCGCAGCTGCATCAACATGACACCTGCTGGCAAGGCATCAACGTCATTGAAGTCTAACTTCAGGGTCCATCCGCTGCCGAAAGGCTGTCTGACTGGATGGTAACTATACTTGCGGCAATAATAGTCCTGCCGAATCCTGAGCTACTCATTTCTGGGAAGCTCAGACTAGACCGCTCGAGAACCTCTTAAAGTTTCTTCTGGTCGTACTGTTATGAGATGCTCCAAGGGAAACCGCCAAAGGCTAGCCTAATAGCAAGGTTTCGGTCACAGTTCGGAGCCGGTATATCAGGGACTTCACGTAACGCGTACCACGAGTTGCTTACCTTATCTATCTTGTTTCCCTTTTCCATCAATTGACATGCACCAGGCTGCAGTGGCTGCGTCATACTACAAACATTTTTCTTGAACGAGTATGAGAGAGAAGAGGAGGGTGCAGATCCCCTGGTGCAAGAGATCATGCGGTCGATGTAGTAAATTCTGAGAAGAGGAAGGATGATCGCATTCCAATCAAGAGTTTCTGCAAGTTCTGTCCGCGCTTGCCCGATATGGTATACAATTACCAGGAACGGCCAGGAGTGGCAACGCACCCTCAAGGCGCGAGATCTGATCTAGAAGACCGATGCTTGTCGAATGGCAAACGGAATAGTCCCGTTTCAGGGGCCTAGCCGTCGAAATCCCAAAAACCGCGCACTTGCACTGCAAACAAGAAAAAGAAAAAGAAAAAGAAAAAGTCAAAAGAAGAATCCATATTGTCGTCCGACTATAATCACCAGCAACGCCCACATAATGCATCATCGCAAGAAATGAAATGCTAGCAGGAAACCGATATTTCCTTGGTTGACTTTGTGTCACCAATGGGAGGACCCAACCACCATCGAAGGAATAATTTCAGGCTCTCCGTATCCTCGGTCCTCATGTCGTACACTCCGGTCGAGCTGACCACAAGATTTTCGCCATTGAGATAGGCCTCCAGGATGCGAACTTGCTGGGTATGCATAAGGGAATATACCATCACCTACAATGTGTGGGCTGACTTAGCACAATACCGTTCAACCACCTTCAAAGCATAGGGCGCCATGCGAGAACATCACAGGCGGTTTCGGAAGGGAGAAAAGAGGACAGGAACCTTACAGGAGCTATTGTATGAGGCAAGGTGGACTTGAAGCTCAGCCGGTTGATCATCGAGTCGATAATGGTGATGAGTTCACCCCGAAGGAGCCGCTCATCGCCCGCAACCTCGCTTCTCAGGACACATTTGAAGTGAGGCGGCGATGATCTGCTTTCTTCGTCGGAACACGCGATATAGGTGAGAGACGCCTGCCACGAGTGGCCGTCGACACTGGGAAGTTCGTATAGGCCCTTCAGACGGGGATCTGACCTTCTAGAACAAGGGAAAGGGGTTAGCTTGGAACAGCGGGCGCGAGTGCCCAGAACAAAAGGGTGACAGGGCTCACTCTTTGTGTACAAAATTCGGAAGCTTGTTTTCGTCCGCTGGCCATGCGCCGCCAAGGTAGCTATCCAAGTAGTAATGGAGTCCCATCGTGTTCAGTCGATCATCCGACTCCGGGTTGTAGGTTGGATACTCTGAGTCCTCCTCATCGAGCGGAAACCAGCATTCTTCCTCTGTGCATGCCCCGAAAAAGGAGGGGGCTTCGGCCTGGGATTCCAGTGACATTGGGCGATGTTGGATGCCCGCATTTTAGGCATCGTGTTGGTCGATATGGTCGGTCTGTATGTAGCTGGCAGATTTTATTCTTGATTGTATCGAGTTTATAACGGCAGTCTTTGCGGAGTCTCAAACTTGTTTCTTGATCATGATCCTGGGTGGCCATATCTCAATTTTATTAGTTAGGAGGAAGAATGAACGCAAGGGAAGATTCAAGTTGGGGGTTAGCTGGACCAAAGGGACAGCCTGAGGTGGGAGCCTGGAATTAAGGCATAACCAGCGCCAAGGCGGCAGGACTCAGGCATGGAAGAAGTATTAAGACCATGCAAATCGACTCAGGGAGTCACATTGACTTGTGAGTTTATTTGAGTGAGAGTATCGATTTCAGAATTAGTTTATTTCTTTGTGGTTTTCAATTTTTATTTTTGTCTCTTTTTTTTTTTTTTTTACTTTCTAATTCTCTGATCTTCTTGCTAAGCCCCAACATAACCAAGATATCTGACCTTCAGAACGGCAGTTAATCAAGAGCAAAAGAACCTGAGAAGAGCATAGCACCCAAAGACCGCGAATCACGCCCAAAGCAATACCGACTCCAAGCCTCCTCAAGACTGAGAGCAACTAGAAGCCACCCTCACCCTCACAACCGGGAACACTATAGACCCCCTTCAACCAAAGCACCGTATCGACCGGCCACCAGACCGAGGTCACAACAAACGCAAGGAAACAGGCCATGTCCAGGTCCTTGAGGTTGAGGGGGGGATCGAACTCGACGAAAGAAGCCAAGAAAATCCTGACCAGCACCAAAATCACCCAGCTCGATTTGAAGACGGCCAGGGCCCAGTGATGGGCATACCACTGGTCGACGCCGCCGATCAAGCCCAGAAACCCGGCGAGGTAGCCGGCGATCTCCTGCTTCTTGTAGCACTGGTCGTGGGGCTCCAGGCTCTCATCCTGATCCCGCTGGATGCTGAGACCGATGGCGCAGGCGAAGAGCGCTACTAAGGCGAGTCCCCACACGATGAAGCAGAACGGGAACCAGAACTCCGAGCTGCATAGCCAGGACACGCAGCCCCGACACCCGCTGCTGATTCGGAACCGGCAGCGGCGGCGGTCCTGCTTGGTGCTGGCATTGCCATCGCTGGCGGTGGGGGGCTGCTCCTCGATGTCTTCCTCGGCGATGGGCTCAACTGCGAGCGGAGTGACCACGGGTTGAGTAGCCGTGTGGCTGTAGCGAGGTGGGCTGACGGAGCGGTAGGAGGGCGGACGGGACCGTGCAGCTGCGGGAAGCTCAGGAACTGGGCAAGTCTCGTCGGGCACGTCGGTGGTTGAATGTCCTTGAGGGTCTTCCGAAGCTTCAGTCGGCTGTTCGTGGCAGTCATGCTCGTGGCAGTCATCTGGAGCTTCGGCGGTGATCGGAGCATCGGCACCCTTTTCCTGAGGTTGACAAAACATCCTGTACTGCAAATACGTCACGAGGTTACGGATTCTGGATAATAGAGTGTCAGTGTCAGATCTCGTGAAGGCTGCACAGGAATGGTGTGGGTAGTAGAAGCCGATCTTCTCGGATGGTAGTAGCAGTAGAGGTTTCTTATATAGTCTCACGAGGGGTCGATTCTTATTCAAAGAGTTGTTTAGCTTAGATGGGCTGTCAGGCAGATTTCGACTGATACGGCTAAGATCCCATGGTGAGTAGGTGAGGGGTCGTCTTGCTGGCAAAGCGTTGTTTGTGGCTTTGTTTGAGGCAGTGGCAATGAAGTTTGTGATAAGCCCCGTTTGTATGTTGCACAGTGCCCGATAATGAAAGTCCTCAACAGGCAACACCTGCCCTTTGGCACCAGGTAAACACGAAGGTAACGTACAATGAATTCAGAGAAACTTGTCTCTAGGAAGAGCTTTCATGACGCAAAGCAGTTGTCTACTGTGAGTGCTATCGAGAAGACTTGAATTTCATTTGTCCATCTGTGCTTTGCTTCATTGACTTGATCAATTTACCTCCATCTCTTCCAATTGACTAACCTCATTCATTTCCAAGCATCAAAGGATTGTCTCAACTCACTTGTTCATGAGCAAAGAAAAAAAAGAACCATACAACAATGAAAGCTACAATCAAACCATGGCAACAAATTCCCCAGATCGTCCAAGCCCCACGGCCTGTGTGCCTCTGAAATTTCTCAAATCCCGATAGGACCCATGCAACCTGGGGTACTATACACGTCCGTTCCCCAAAGCATCGCATCAATCGGCCACCAAAAAATAGTGACGATCATCATCAGAAACGAAATTTTGGACAGCCAAAACAAGCCTGGGGGAGTACCCGCGGAATGAGGATCATATTTGCCGCCATAGCAGTAGATGAGAAAACGCCCAGCCTCCAAAAATGCCCACATCGACTTGAGGACGGCAAGCAGCCAATGACGAGCATACCAATGGTCGGCTCCCAGCAGGCCCAGGATGCAAGCCAAGCCGAGCGCCGTGTCGTGCTGGTTTGAGCACCGGTCATCCAGCAAGCTGTCTTCGTTGTTGATGTTATGATCGCGCTTGTCTTGATAGTAGGAGGCGAGGTTGAAGAAGACCATGAACAAGCAAAGAATCGTGAGGGTGTAGATAGTGCACCTGGAAGCCCACTTCTCATCTACATCATTTCGGACACGGAGAGGACGAGGATAGATTCTGAATTCGTAGACTAGAATGCCAGGGGGTCGTTGTTCTTCGACGTCCATGGGAGCGGCTGACATTTTGGTGGGAAGGCTACATGGAGGCGAAGTATTGGTGAGTTCATGCTCATAGGCAGGTGGTGGAGTCGGCTCCCTCGGGTTTTCGAGAGACTGGGGAGAATCAGTCGGAGCCTCACGAGGGACTGGCAAAGTTTCCTCGGAGACCTCAGAAGCTCCAACGGAGGGCTGCGAAGACCCAGTCCGAGTCCGGCAGATCACCGAGGAAGCCACTGGGGATTGGAGAGAGTCAGATTGAGTTGTAAACGAAGAGCTCATGATGCACTGCAAACACTTCAAACACTCGTATGAGGATTTGATCTAGGCGCCCTCAGGTAGTCGCTCAGGCTGCGTCAAACTCAGAATTTCAAAGCCAATGGATGCAATACTAGTGCTGATAAAAATGGCAAGCCTTGCTGAGAGTGGGCGGGGCTTTTATGTTGAGAGGATCGACGTGTCTTCGAGGTGAAAAATTCTTCGTATCTGGCGGGAGAATCGGGTGGAAGCATCTGTCAACCAATGCATCCCAGTAAGAGGGCCCTTGTTCATCTTGTAAACCACCAAAGTAATCCTGGACTGGATTGTTACATTGCTGGTCAGCATTGCACTTCGCTGTTCTCCTCGTTTGGTGCGGCGGATAATGGATTTGACAGGTTTCATCTGTTGTCTGAAAAATGACTACGAAGGCATGGCATAGCCTCGTAACTAGCAGTAAACAGGCAAGTGATTTTGCCTGTGACGTGACCTGTACACGTCGAAGAACCAATGACTTTTGAAAAATCGCGCATCTTTGAAGACGAAGGACTGATCCACTAAGATGTGTATTCGGCATTGGGTGAGAGATCGATGGGACCTACCGTACCACACTCATACAGACTTGGAACTTCGATAAACCATCTTGAATCATGCAAAGTGAATGATCACTATAGTATGATCCATTGACCGATGTGCAGGAAGGAAGTCGGGGACTCTGATTCTCTGCGCGGTAGAGCGAGAACGTGCCTCGGCGTCGTCACGATGATGAGCAGGCGTTGATCTGCGAGCATCTGTCCAAATCGACAGGTGCTTCACTCGGGCACAGCAGGCGATTGTCAAGCAAACGCATTGGTGAAACCATCCGATGGAGGGATTTGAGAATCTGGATGTACATTGTCTCAGTTCTCCTCATTTGGCGCCATATTTACGAGGCAATGTTTCGGCAAGCGGCATCGATGAGTCAACAGATCTGACTGCAAGACCAGTTACGAGAGAACCAGGGAGAGGAAGTAGTCAGTTGGGCAGGATCAAGTGCCTCCATGTGCAAGCAACATACCACACTATTGGCAGCGATCAGACAGGTCTGTGATCCTTGTCGTTGGCAATTGATGGCAGTGCACCTTTCAGCTGTGCAAGAATAGGCCCGTAGCTGCTCTGGGCCTGTAGAGATCCAGCCATTCGTTGCTTCTGTAAATCTTCAAGGAGTCATGTCGAAGGACATCGGATAGGCGATGGATAGAAGCTCTACTCCAAGAGAGTGTTGTGTTATCGAAACTGCTTAAGGTCCACGGTAGACGGACAACCTACCGCTTTAGTGTCCGCTTAGGGCCTTAGGCTAAGCACTCAAACTGCAGCAGCAGTACGTAACTTACCGCACCCCACTAATCTCCCGCCCGCTAAACATAGCGTTATCGCAAGTGGGGCCTCCACATTCCATAAGTTCTTCTCTCCTCACCATCATCTTTCCTCCCTCCCTCCCACACCTCGTCCTCCCTCTACACCGACAAACCCACAGAGCACGACCAAAATGCCTCCCCAAACCCAAACCCCGACAATTCCAGTCCAGATCCTCGACGGCGGCCTGGGCACCACCCTCCAAGACCACCACGCGACAACCTTCAACTCAACCACCACCCCGCTCTGGTCCTCGCACCTCCTGATCTCCTCCCCGCCGACCCTGCTCGCCTGCCAGCGCGCCTTCATCGAAGCCGGCAGCGACGTCCTCCTGACGGCGACCTATCAAGTCTCCATCGAAGGGTTCGCGCGCACCAAGACCGCCTCCCACCCGGACGGGATCCCGCGCGATGCGATCGCGCCGTACATCCGCACCGCGCTGACCGTGGCAGCCGACGCCGTTAGAGGATTAAACGCCAAGATCGCGCTGAGCCTGGGCCCGTACGGGGCGTGTATGATCCCTGGACAGGAGTATAGCGGGGCGTATGATGCCGAGCATGATGACGAGGAGAGTTTGTTTCGGTGGCATCTGGAGAGGTTGCGGTTGATTGTGGAGGCGGTGCAGCGCGACGACGGCAAAAGGTTGGGTGACAAGGTGCAGTATGTGGCGTTTGAGACGGTGCCGCGCTTGGATGAGGTGCGCGCGGTGCGGCGGGCGGCGAGGGCGGCCGGGTTGGAGGCGATGGGGATCCCGTTCTGGGTGGTGTGCGTTTTCCCCGTCGAGGGCCAGGATGCCTTGCCGGATGGGAGTGCGGTGGAGGCGGTCGTGGAGGCGGCGTTGAGTGGGCCCGAGCCGAAGCCTTGGGGCATTGGGATGAACTGCACCAAGGTGCATCGGCTGGGCCGGTTGGTGAAGTTGTTCGGGGAGGGGGTGGAGAAGGTGCTTGGGAAGGAGGGGGCGCGGGCGAAGCCTGCCTTGGTGTTGTATCCCGATGGCACGCAGGGGGAGGTCTACAACACCACTACCCAGGTGTGGGAGAAGAAGGCCGAAGGACCTGGTGCCGCGGATTTGGTATGTCTCTCACACACTCACACTTGACTTCTATGTTGCGCATGTGCACTAACGATGAATAGCGTCCGTGGGAAGTTCAACTTGCAGAGGTTGTCAATGACGCTCGTGCTGGCGGCCACTTCAGCTCGATCCTCGCGGGTGGGTGCTGCAAAGCGTCGCATCATGACATCGCCAAGCTCCGACAACAGTTTCAATGATTATCAACCACAACACATGTACAAATAACTCAAAAGTCACTACGCGAAAATGATACCAATTATAGTGGAGTGATACTGTGTATACTAGGATAGAGCCAAAAAAAAAAGGGTTGATAAAAAGTCTAGTGGGTATCACCGTCTAGGTATATACAAGTCTATATACAGCAGCATGTGTATGTACTTAGAAGATCCAGTCAACAAAGCGCTTGAGGGGAGTCCGGGGTCCATGGTCTTTAACAATGATCTCGCCCTCCACAAGGCGGCCAGACCAGAGATCCAGAGTAGATGCGCGGACAAACTAAAGCAACCTATTAGCGTCTACTCGCGAAACAAGAGGGATGAAGTGGGACTAACCTTGCTTTTCTTGAAGATCTTCCAGAGAATGATTGGCACAATGAAGATCGGAATGCCAACATACGAGGCGAAAAAGTCCGAGGTAGACCAGTTCCCCTTGAGGAAGACAGGGAATCCGGCCACAAGAGTGATAATGGTGGATCCAATGAATCCCACCCACGCGGTGTAGGGCTGGAATGGGCCCTGCCAAGGGAGGGTATCGCGACTATGGCCTTGGACCTTCATCGCCCGATGGAAGCGAATATAACAAAAGCTGAGAGTCGCCCAAGCAATTAAGCCGGCGATTGTGCTAAGGTTGAGGAGCCAGGTAAAGGCTTGAGAAGGACCACCACTTCCGAGACCTAAGCAGAATTTTGGTTAGATGAATATTTTGATAGTGAAGTGGTAAGGTATGCTTACTCAGATAGGCCAGAGGGCCGAAGAGCCAGGAGACGACCACTGCAACATACGGAACACCTTTCTTTGTGACCTTGCCGAAAAACTGGGGGAGTTGGTGATCGGTGGTCATGGCTACGATCATGCGTGAGCCGACCCAGCAGTAGGAATTACCGGCAGACCAGGCAGAGATCAAAACACAGGCATTCACAACCGAGGGGAGACCACTGATGCCGGCCTGCTTGATGGCGATGACCCATGGAGAGCTGTTGGCATTGCCAGAGCCAGAGGTGAGGCCAGAGGTGCGGGGATCGACAATCATTCCAATGAGCAGGGCTCCGAGGATGTAGAAGAAGGCAATGCGGTAGGTAACGCGACGGGCAGCCTTGGGGATGGCGCGGTGCGGGTCCATAGCTTCGGCGGCGGCAATGACGACAGTCTCGACTCCAACGAAACTGAAGGAGGCGTTGACGAAGGCTGACAAGAATCCCAGAAAGTGCCCAGTTGGTCCTGTAATGCCATTGTAGTTGGTCCAGGGACCAGGGTTGTGCCAGTAGCGGAAGCCAATGGTCTCGTGGTTCGGGCCGCCGCCTGCGGTGATCACGATGGCCACGATCACCAAGCCCAGAAAACACAAGACCTTGATGGCACCTGTCACGACTTCACTCTCGCCATAGAAACGGACACTCATCAGATTGATAATCAAGATCAGTGCCAACCCGACTGTTATCACCACGGCCGGTGTTATGTCTGACCAGTAGCTCACCACCACCGCGGCCGCGGAGACCTCCGAAGCAATGGCAATGGTGTAACAATATCCGTAAGTGATGGCGAGAGAGAAACCGACGGCGGGATCGATGAACCGAGTAGCCCAGTGGGGGAAGGAACCTGCAGTGGGAAAGACGGTCGCCAGCTCGGCGATGCTTTGCATGACACACCACAGCACAAACCCCACGACAATGTATGCCAACAACAAACCGGCCGGCCCTGATTTCGCATAGGCAGAGCCGGCTCCAACGAAGAGACCAGTTCCAATACCACCGCAGAATCCAATCATGCTGATGTGGTAGTTTTTGAGTCGACGCTGAGTGGCACCACGGCCACCCACGTTAAGCTCCATCTCCCCTTTTACCGGGGGACCATCCTCTTCGCCATAATAGTTGGGCACCTTCGGATCACCGCTTCCATGATGCTCAATCTTATTCTCCGCAGCGGAGACTGAAGAGTCGTACATCGTTTGCGCCGAAGGTGGTGCAGGTGCTCACAGGCAGAGGAAGTCCGGGGGAAAAGCTGAAATGTGGGATGAGGGGGGGGGGGAATTGTCTTGGAGAGAAGGAACACCGGGGGACAATTATATCAATCGAAGGCAGGCAGGCGACCAACCGATTGAACCGCGCAGCTTGCCACCGATCGGCCTCGCGCGGAGAACCACTTTTTTTTTTCTACCCACCGTCGCCGCAGTGTGCAATCGCCATCACGACATCGGGTACCGGATTGGCACCATTCCCTTTTGACGCTAAGCGTGCCATCCTCCCCACCGCACGCGTGCCGCTCTATGGTGAATTTCCGAAGACGGCCTCCACTTGGCCCGTAAGATGGGGACTGCGATTGAACATGCGAATTAGTCATTCGTGTTGATACAAGCTTTAAATGACAGGGGTAGAAGAACCAAGAACTTCTTCTGCGTTCGGGCCTTTTCCAGGATTGGAGGAGCCATGACATGAGGAGAACCGGTGTGGCGAAGAGAGATTACAGTTTTTCGAGAAAGAAGCGTGAAAGTTCCCAGTTCCGGATCTGCCCTTGGGAGCAGTGTGCGAGGCACGTGTTTTGGATGGCCACTAGTCCTGGTAGAGCTTAGTGTGGTCTGCAACGGTTCCTGCAGCCGCTCACTGCAATTCCGCACTATCAGCTTACGCTTAAAATTCTAGCGTCGTTCGGGCCAGAGCCAAGACGGAATTGCTGCTCATCGCTTCTGGAGTCATTGTGCAGCACAGCAACGCAGGAGTGCTTTCTTTTAAGGATCATCCACTTGGATTTCACTGTACTGAGAATTGCTACGTTTACTTCAGTCTCCTTCCATCATCATCAGCTCCAGTCTGAACCCGCCGCCTCCGATTCGGAGAAACCTACTCCGCTTCTCGCATAGCTCTTACGTAAAACTCACACAAGCTCGGGGACCCAAGCGTAATTAGCTCCCTTTCGATACGCTGTTCGTGAATGTAATCAATCAATGAAGCTGGGCAAAACGATAAGAGATGGCCGCGGTTCTGTGCTGAAAGGCAATTTCGGCCGAGCAAAACGGCTGCCTGAAGAAACAGGATGAGTGGTCTAGATTGCTGGGCGCATCGAAGATTGCTCTTCTTCCAATTGATGTCACTCGTTGCCACTGTCAGGTGCGGATGGACCCCAGGGTGGCTCTCATGAGCACATTCCCATGTCAGATCGCGTCATAAGAAGAGAGTGATCTTTTGTATAGTGCTTGAAAGGTGTAAGAAGTGTGGTGTGGTGCCAATGCCAAACGGTAGCCTCTCGAGTTCTCAACCATTGACGACCATACTCATTCGTCTAAATGCTCAAGTGGCGATGCATAATAGCCTTCGCCAGTGGTAAAACATTGCAAGGCGGGAGTGCTGGCTTAGTTTGCGCTGGGTCGAAAACGGTCGTTCCTTTAGAGACAGAGAGCAATTGAAATGCGCAGGCTAGTTAGTAGGTCGCCAGAATTACTAGTCGATCTCGGACCCGGCGAGCCCGGTCGAGAGACTAAGTAGAGCTGATCTCTCGTTGATCTGCATTGACAGATATCAGTTGGATGCTGACCTTTATGTGTGCCTACTTCCTATCCAATGCCATAAGCCATGAAGCGCAATCGTCATCGCTGCAAACCATCGACTATACTGCAATGAAATGTCTATGCAGTTATTCATTTGCAATATATCACACAACCACCACAATCCCAGCGCAGCAGCGTACAAGCTCGAAAAGCGACATCGACCGAAATGCACATTCTCAGAACCCCAGCCTTCACCCCCAGCAAAATAATATACAACACACCAAAACCAAAGCCTTAGCCTTTTATGATCCCCAACGCCAAGCATACAGTACATAAAAATACACATCACCACTCCCAGAATCCAAAAAAGTAGAGATATCATCACAATCCATCATCACCAACATCCTCCCTTATGTCCCATCCAAAACCCCCTCATTTCTTTCCCCCCTCCCCCTGCCCCTCACCATCCCCCTTCCCCCAAGTCCAAACATCCCAAATATGCTCGCGGATCAAATCCCCATACCCCTTCCCCTCATCGAGGGCCTTCTGCTCCTCGCGCAGGCGCCGCTCCTTCCACCCCTCGGTCTCGCCACCCATCCACACGCGCTGCAGGACGGGCTTGTCGAACTCCTCGCGGGCCTTCAGCTTGGCCAGCTCCTCCCCCTTGGCCTCCTCGATCTGCCGCTCGCGGTCCGCCTTCAGCCGGGCCTGGATCTCCAGCGCCCGCTCGCTGGGGAGCCCGTTCCCCAGCGAAGCCAGGGGGTGGCTCCGGCCGGCGGAGATCTTGTCCTCGAGGCGGTCGACGATGCTGCGGCCGGTGCGCTCGCGCGTCAGGTGGTTGGCCGAGATCGAGAAGGCGCTGAGCTGGAGGACGGTCAGGTTGTCGAGCTTGCGCGGCGGGAGGGCGATGAGGATTGGGGAGGCAACCAGGAAGGTCCAGGCGGCGTAGGTCTTGAAGCGTTGGTAGTCGGCTTCCCGTTGGCTTTGGAGCGTGGCTTGTTGCTGCTGCTGCTGCTGCTGCTGTTGTTGTTGCTGATCTGGGGTAGTCGGGGGTTGTGGGGTGGTCATTTTTCTTTTCTCCCGGGGTGGGCGTCGGCTGGGTGAGACGCTTGTTCAGTGAATTCAAGTGTCAAGAAGTAGACAGACAGACAGACAGAGTCTTGATGTTGGTTGCTATTGAGTGTGGATTCGCTTGTTTTCGTGACGAGATTCTTATCGGATCGGATGCAGGATATTGTCTCGAAGATGGAAATTTACGGTGGACGGTTGGGCCAGATGCGCAGACATCGGTCATGTGACGTCCAGACATGCATCATGCATCGCTTTCTGGACAGTCGCTAGGCCTAGACATAGGCTGTATAACCGGACCAGATATCGACTGCCGTTGATGCTCATGTAACAGTAGGGAACCTTCATCTCCAAGTAGAGCCTCGCCGATGTCCCATTGCAATACAAAAATGTGAGGTGACCGCATAACAATACGAGGCGCGCGTCAATAGCCGCTTTTTGAACCATCACAATATCTCAACAACAACAAACTCCCTTTCATCCCCTAGTCTAGGGACATCCTGTTCATACTAGATACTTCGCGTGGCCTATCCGAATTGGAAGATTTGAGGAGGTATGTGAAGTGAGGCCTTTATCCATGGTATGTGGGAACATTTTACTGATTATAATCTACATATAGGTTGCTATGTACAGGCATTGAGAGGAATGGCCTATCTCCCCTTTCCGCTCGAATATAACAACACTTCTTAATCAGCTTTTCTTCTAGCATTGATTCTCGTCATTGATTACCTAAGAAGCTTTGCATGTTCTTTCATACTCACACAACAATCGGAGCTTAGATGGATATTGGGTGCAATTTCCGGCATCAAGAAAGAGATGGTAGGCATGGGAAGTCGAACTTTTAGATGCTGACAGTGTCAGAACTTATGTACAATACCATAGTAGAGTAGTTTATTGCTGTGTATAGTAACTTATACTGAGGTGTACTATACTACCCATCATGGAGACGATATGCTAATTCTAATTTACAAAAGAGCAGACACGGCCCGCCGATGGTCTACATACAGAACCTCACTCCGCGAGGGGAAACAGAGCTCCTGTATCGATGTCGTCGGAAATTGTAACATGCTCGTAGTTGGCGGCCACATTGTCTGGCCTTTTGGCTTGTGCTGCCTGTATAGTTTGTGGAGTGCGACCAGTTTTCGTATTGACAGAGCAGCGGTGGTCGTCTTGTGAAGAGGTAGCAAACCTCTTTGTGTTCCTTGTCTTCATAATTCTGAGCATGTTTCAGGACACAGATAGAACTTTTGCGTGTTCTATGAGGATCATGCCTCAGGTTAGAATTGTTCAGAGGGCGGAACAGCCGTGTTGTCTGGCCTTTTGGCTTGTGCTTCCTGTATAGTTTGTGGAGTGTGACCAGTTTTCTCATTGACAGAGCAGCGGCGGTCGGCTTGTGAAGAGGTAGCAAGCCGCTTCGCAAGTCTCTTCATGTCCGTTGGCTTCATGGTTATCGCCATGGTTCGCGATCATTTTGTTGAAACTTCTGAAGTGCGAACTTTGTATTTGTGGGCAGGGCAGCGGTGGTCGACTTGTTGGGAGGCAGCAACACACTTCAGGTTGAAAATCGGCAAAGTCCCTCAATAGGCGAGGGAGCCTCTATCTCAAGGTTGACCTGGTGCCAGTTGGGGCAGTGCGGCGGGAAGTAGGAGGATGAAGGTTTTGAGATGCGGAGTCTCTGTCCCTGCTTTGGTCAGAAACATCCTTCATCTCCACGTCCAGGTTCTCACTGACCTTGGACTGCTGCCAGTTGAGAAGTGATAACGAGAGTCGGCGAAGTGGATTCTTCGGCGGGCATGGGAAACGTGCTCCATGTCCACATCCACATCCTCTTGAATGTTAAACATCTCAATGTCTTGGTCATACATGACCATGGGCTGGATATCATAGAGAAGTTGGGATTCAGCGTCTTCAAGGCGAATCCACTTTGGAGGAAGAAACACATCTTCAAAATCACGTTCTGTTAATTGCTGATCTTAAGGATAGACCGGGGATTCACAGAGCGGAAAGGTTGCTTGGAGGCAGACTTTCTTTTCCTGGCCTCAACACACACATTTTTCATCACCACGTCCTGGTCATTGCTGACCTTTAGGATTCTCGGGGAGAATGGGGATTGCTGGTGCGAGAAGAGAGGAAAGAAGAAAAAGAGAAGTTGAAGGAGGAATTCGGAGGGTGGGAGCGAGAGACAGAAGACGAGACAGGAAGTGGAACTTGGGAGGTGGAAGTTTAGGGAACGAGAAATGCGGATTACCATGTCGATTCACCACGGAAGGAACAGGGTTGATCTGTGAATACAATGGAAACTTGCTGTCGGCACCAGAGCTAGGAAGGAACAGCTGGGCAGGGTTACTAAGGCCCTAGCCCTAGGTGAAGCAATAACCTCGAAAAGCAGTGGGTCTCTAAATAAGTACATTACCTACAGTAAGGTGAATAAATCAGGTTGATAGAGACACCTACTTGTCCATTCGGGACTTAGATTGATCTACAGTGAATGCCAGCAGCCATTGGGCAAGTGAAAAACTCTTGGTTGATCTGTCTCCTGACTAAACTACCAACGAGTTGATGGAGGGAAGGGAGACATTTATGTCTGTAGCTTTAGCTTGCAGTCCATCGACAAATACCCCATCGGGGTTCAACATCATACATGAGGAATAAACATGGGTTCTCAGACAAGACAAGAACAGAGGAACTTGAAGCTTGCATTGCTTCACTCACTCCATCGACACATCACACACCCACCAGGGAAGCTCAGGGGCATCGACCATCTCAACATCAGCGTCCTCCATCTCCACATCTTCATCCTCGGCTTCAGCCATCTCAACATCCGAGTCATAAATGACCTCGGGCTCGGAACAATGGAAGAGGTGAACTTCTGCACCACCAAAGTGTACTTTTTTCTTGGGAAGGAAGACATCTTTCATAATCACATCCTGGCCATTGCTGACCTTAAGGATGGAACGGGGATTCGCGGGGCGGGGGGGTTGCTTGGAGGCAGGCGTTGTATTCCTAACCTCACAACGAACATCTCTCATCACCACGTCCTGGTCATTGCTGACCTGGGACGGACGCCGTTGGGAGCGGCAGCGTCGGGAATCAGAATGGCGAGGTTTTTGAGAAGCAGGGGCTCTGTCCCTGCCCTGGCCAGGAGAGTTGGGCAGGGACTGGAGGCGCATACCCCGCGTTGTCTGGCCGGAAACATCTCTCATCACCACGTCCTGGTCATTGCTGACCTGGGACAAATGCCAGTGGGAGCGGTGGCATAGAGGGTTGGGGTAAACATGATCACGGATTGTTTGAGAAGCAGGGGCTCTGTCCCTGTCCTGGCCAGAAGAGTTGGGCAGGGACTGGAGTCGGGTACCCCGCGTTGTCTGGCCGGTTTGCTTGTGCTGCCTGTGTGTTTTTTGTGGAGTGCGACCAGGCTTTTTGTGGACAGAGCAGCGGCGGTCGTCTTCTGAAGAGGTTGCAAATCTCTTCGTGTCCTTTGTCTTCATGATTCTTTGCATGGTTCGGGACACAGATAGAACTTTTTCGTGTTCTATGAGGATCAGGGTAATACGGAGTTCAAGTTCAGGTGTAAAAAGCAACGCGAGTACGTGAAAGCAGATTTTGAAAGCAAGAACAGTTTTTTGAGACTCCTTTTTTTGTTTTTTGGTAGTCTGGAGAGAGAAGGAGAAGAGAAGAAAGATCGAGGAGAACCGCGAGGAGAAGAGCTGGTTTTGCTCGGCCGCACTAACAATTCGATGTCATGATGCTTTCAAGATGATTTTGCTACTGAAGTGAAGATTCCGGTAAGCTTGCCTCAGAAATGACAGCCAGATGCAACCCTGTAGCCACAGTACCCTTGCAGAAAGCTTAGCACAGAGTCTGGCACAGTCTGGGCGTGACGCAAGATCATCCCAGCTGCGGCTTGGGATTCTGGTCGAGCCAATCCGCGAGACAGCCCTGCAGAGATATCGGAATTAAGCTTCCAGGTACGATCAGATTGCGTGCAGGAAGCCTCGTCGGAACTTCCGGTCCAATAACTGAAGCACCATGTGGCAGCAGGGCTACCATCTCGTCAAGTCTGGCTAGACACTTGTGCCCAACTGCGATTCGAAAGAGCGACCGTGCGATTGGATTGGGAAGCGCTTTCCGATGTCTTCATCGCTCACGGGACTGGATTGCTTTGATCTTTTTTCTGGGTTGCTTCGTAGGACCGCCAGGAGAAGGTGCACTTCCGGTTGAGGTCATGCTGTCTCGTTTGCGCTTCTCTGCTTTAGCATTGCTGCGCTTTTTGCGTTGCTCATCTCGGATAGCCAGCCTTCGTTGTACCTCCTCAGAGATGTCCTCTGTGTCAATTGACACCGGAGTTATGCTCCTAACGTCATCCTCACCCCCAGGCAGCACCTTCATTAAGCGCTTACGCTTGTGGTGACGGGCTGGGTCAGCAAAGGCCGACATAGTCTCTGCATCTGGTACTGCAGCAATAGTCTCCTCGTCTCGTTCGCTCGCTTCTGCGCGTGCCCGTTTCGCCCGATCTCTCGCCCGAGGGCCATTTCCAGACGAATCACTCGTCCGACGAGAAGATGACGGATCTGAGCCAGAGTTCGAGTGCAAGGTTTTCTCAGCATCTAGATTTCCTATCACAAAGTTAGGTCCATCTTCAATGACCCATAGCTTCGACTGGAAGAATTTTCCTGCAGAGAAAAACTTTCCGCAGCCTGGAGGAAGCAACGTGACTTACTGGAACCCTATGCCGGCGTGTTAGCACTATGTCAACAGCACCCATACCCGCGATGGGGAGAAGCAAACGAACAACTCACAAATTTGCCTTTGATGATCTTGAACTGTATCATCAACTTTTTCGTCCGCTCCAACATGTTGGTAACCAACCGCGACGCATCGCCATTGGACGGAACCTCGCCCTGGACCTGCTGTAGCAGCGCGAGGTGGGATACCAGCAGCGACTCGTGCTGGGCGCAAACCTAAACGATCCACAAGGTCAGCTTTCACATGTCAAATCCAACAGCACCGTACAATGCGAGCGGGTGGGATGACCAGCTCGTGCGGTCATCTCCGGGAGAAAGCTTTTTACACACCTCAGCCCATGACAATTGCTGTTGCGCGGTGTTGGCATTACCACTACCGCTACCTGGACTAGGCCTACTCTCGTCTTCTACCTCCTCTACAGTAGGATTCATGGGGGGCGGTGGGTGGCTCGATAATGGCATTGCGACAGGATCTGAACCAAGGAGTGAAGTTGGATTAAGGGCGCGGGGAGATCTTTTTTTGCTGATTGGGGACCGGCCCGAGAATGCTGCTCATCTCTTGGCATTTCCAGCCCGCTATTTTTAGACCTCCCTTTCCACATGGTAAATCGAGATCGTCTGGGGAGGTTCCAGAGATTGCTTGTAATCTCCGTCATCGTCGAGTTTTATCGCCGTTGGAGGCGATCCTTCCGTTGTAACATAGGCTGGGTCAGGACCTTTGCGTCTCTTTTCCGGCCTGGCATAACGGCTAGGCAACCGTGCTGTAGACCCGGATTACAATCCACCCACTCAGAATTTGAGATCACACTTCGGCGCTTCACCTTCATTCTGTATACTGAACCGTTTCTCAAAAGATCTTTTTGCTCGTTTAACTCTCCATAGAACTGCCCTCACACTTTCTGATTTACTCTAGCCAGCATTCCAACATCCGACCTGTGTACTAGAATCCATAACTCTCGAGACAAGTAGCAACAGTGCACCTCATGTACTGCCACTAGCTCCAGCCACTGGAAGCGACCCGTGAAGGTAGACTACTTCAATTTCATGAGACCACGCTGCGTTCATAATCGGTCAACCCTGAACATCTCCTCGCAGTGCCCCGCAAACAGAGCCCTCATTTCTCCCCTCCCCACGCCATCAGACTCCAAGTCCCCTTCCACAAGCATCAGAGCCTTCTACTTTTGACACTGAACTTGGGTAAATCTAAACCTGGAGTTGTGGAGTTGAACGGTTACACATGCCTGGCCTCGGATCTGGATACACCTCTTGATTTATCAGTTTCACTTCTAGAGTCTGCGGCTATCGGAGCTCTGGCAGATTTATTATCAGTTCATCGTAGCGGAGTTCAAAGGCTATTTTATGGCGAGTATTTCAGATACCAAGCGCATATTTTTGCTTGAGCTCAAGACCTCTACTATCACTGACACGTGGAAGGGTCGAGATCGTGGGCATATTCACAAGATGAATAGATAGGGGCTGGATATGATTGTAAGGTACTGTGCGCTGTCTGGGAGATATGTGAAGTCCGTGCTCATTGATTTGCACAATTCTAATGATCAAACAAAGTGATCAATCTTCTAGAGATGAAAGTCATTTTTTATCGATATCTAGTGTTCTATTTGGCTCAAAAGTATTCTTATAGCACGGCCAACATCTAAGAACATCCAAAATACTTCGTAAGCGAGTCAAGTGTTGACGTGGGCTCTTTTGGGGCAAGCCTTGATAAAACTGCATCACGTCACATTGGTCAAGAATCATGTCCGAGAAAGACAATGCAGTGATATTGTATCAGGCCAAGGAAGCGACACAATCGTTCAATAAGCAGGATAACCCAGCCGGTCGGACCACCATCTCAAACAGGCCTTATACCTCATCTCGGGACTCAGAGCGCTCTTTCGATTGATTGCCATGCTCTAGACCGGATACTTGATTACCCTCCCTCGTTTGCTGTTTGCGCTTCTCCCACTTGAAAACAAAATGTATAGTGATGAAAAGAATAGCTGCCAACATCGAGAGAGCCAGGTACAGCTTTGCGCCAATACGCCAGTGGGGTGCTTCCTCGGCGGGATAGGCGGCAATGGGGAGGAATGCGCTGAGGAGATATGAGAAGAGTGTGCCGGTGGCGAATAAAACTGTCCGGACTTGAGGTTCTGTCTCGAGATGCGCGGTTGCCCAAGCGCATAGAAGCATTGTGGAGACGCTGGATCATCCAGTCAGTAGTGAGCCTGGTTTCGCTTGTCAGGGAGGGAAAGGGGGTCGATTGTTGTCCCTCTTCAATTCACTTACGCTCCGATGTAGTTCATATACCATCCAACCATGTAGGCAGACTCGTTGCTCGGGCGAATGACTAGAATTGTAAGGGAAGTGATGTTGATTACCTATCTAAATATTAGTATCTCGCATTGTGATAAGATGAGATCTCTCTCCCGGGGAGTGCTCACGGCATGCAAAAGCAGAAAAGGAAGTCTTGTGCCGAAGAAATCGCTGAACCCACTGAAGAGGATCTCGGCAACGAGTTGAATCGCTTGACCAATAATGGGAAGATAGTTGAGCATGGCAACTGAACTAATTTTCGGGAGTCAGCACCTGAAAAATGAATGGGGTGATGAGGTTGGTTTACTATTTTTTTGTTCCATCAGCGTTAGTCAAGGATTTGAGCCAAAGATTGAAATAGTTCGTTGGGGTCGTCCCCGTGCCAATGCACCATGCAACTGAGACTTCATTAGCTTCGTTGCTGTAATAGTGGAATATCTTGAAGAACACACTAGAGAAAAGCCAAAGATGCCAGAATCTCAAGGCTCGAAGGAAGGTTCTGGGCGTGATCCCAACTTGTGGGCTCCGGCCGACACGACGCGTACGCGCAAGAGCAGTTTCTATGCAGGTGTCAGGATGTGGGTCTTTTAGGAATATGCCATGTAAGTTAAGTCACCGATGTGTCGGGGCTTGAGATAGATCTTGGAGAGCGGATTCTGTCTTTCCGGCTGTGGATTATGTTAGTAGTACATCAGCATTTCGGAGGCCAAGTTGCGTACGAATCCAGGCATTGCTACATAGGCAAGGAGGGCAACAGTGATCGTACAGATTCCCTGTTCAAACAATGAGTTTAGTCTCAGTAGCACATATAACACGATTATCCTAACTCACATTGATTATGAACGCCCATTGCCAACCGCTTCTTCCAAGCGTGCCGTTCAGATTTGTGGACAGTGCACCTTGCAGTGCTCCAGAAAGCATGGCGCCGACCGGTTGGGCCATGTTGTAAAGACTCATGCGCAATGCCATCTCATGCGGAAGGTACCACTGACTAAAAGCGATTGCCTCAGTGTTTGTTTAGGCGAATGAGTTACAAAGAGCATACCTGATAATAGTAAAGTATCCCGGCCAGGTGGCCCCTTCGCAGAAGCCTATGAGAAAGCGAAGGCCATAGACCTTGTATTGTTAGACTCTCAACCAACTGTGGCAAACTCTTCTAGTGAAGGGGCTGTTACCTGCTTTGCAGACGTGGCAGTAGACAGACAGCACGTGAAAATACCCCAAAGAACCTAATTCTTCGAATTAATGCGCTGCACGTAAATTGCGCCTAAAAAATAATTCCTGACCTCACATGTAGGCAACCAGATTGCTGGCCCTATATGAGATATAATAATACATGAGGGATAAAGCATGACCATGTAGCCAATGCTAAATACGATCAGCATGGGTCAATCAGTGTAGGGGGGAATAACGCACTTAAAAAATGTGGTGAAGTAATTTAGCTCGTTTCCATAAAGCTTCAAATCTGTCTGCATGCCGGACACATATGCATTGCTCTGGTGAATCCTTCTTAGCTTCGGCGTTATAGTCAGCGAAAGGCATGGCCAACTTACAATGTTGGTCTGGTCGAGGTACTTGAACGCATATCCCAAAAACCCAACAACAAGGAATACCGCATCCAGACGCCATACCTAATATTTCATGAGCCTCGAAATTCATAATTGATTAAATGACGATAGAGATCTTACCAGCGCCTTCTCAGCATCTGAGTCGACTAGACAGATGTCATGTTGCTCGAGCTCTGTGACTTGATCCAGAAAGTCCTTGCAATGCCTTTGACGAAGAGCCATTCCCATTTATCTGACGAGGACCGACTGCGATTGAGAAGAACCAGCAAAGACTCTTGAGGAATGGTGGATCGCATGACCCCCTGGCTTGTACCCAGGCTTTATATTATAATCCAGAGGGAATCGACGCAACTACCGAAGAAGATCGGCCGTTATCACGATGAGATAGTGCGAATGGCATCAGCACGGGAAGCGAAGACGTGCTCTAGACCATACCCCACTTGCAGGATCAAGCTTAAAGAGGGGATCAGTGCGTTTCGGTCCGATCGAATTGCCTCCGTGCGGGATGGGCATGCCGTTATCGGGACCAGCGAGATAGCTACGAAGCAGCCTTGATGTCGGGGTAGCAGTTAATCATTTTGTTCGGGACCCCTTTCAAGACCCGACAGTCAGTGGAAAGGATCACCACTATACGGGGGGAAAGGCATTATACACCCTAGCATGTAAGACTTGGAGTCAAAGACACTATGGCAGCTAATAGAGAGACCTTCAAGCTATACTAGAGCCTTGCCCAAGAAGAGAAGACTGCATAGCATTCTTGTAGTCCAATGATGGCGGGACGTGGTATACGATAGAATCGAGTCTGACAAGTCATAAAGATGGAGGACGGAATAATTCAACCAATTTAAGCTATTGAGCTCAAGCTGGCTACTCTTAGAGAACTCTGAAACGAATGTAATGGCTCTTGGAGCTCGCTGGAATGGACGGTGCTGAGCAGAAATGGAAATTCGAATCATCTCATGTGTGTACCGTACCGGACAGAAAAGAGGGGAAGTGACAGCAGCCGCGGGAAGGTTCTGTCGCACCTGTTGCCGCGCTTCCTCAAGAAACCATTCAACATCCACACAACCACCTACCTAGGTGGTCAATCATTCCTTCGGGAAAGCCTCTCAAACCATGACTCGATCGCCTATCTCTGCATTGGCCTGCTTTGCATACCAAGTACGAACAACCTCGTTCAGGTACGTGCTCAATTCTTGCTTCTTGCCAGGCGATGCGAATGAGTCTACCAAGGTGCTGACAACAAAGTCTTGACTCCAGGCTGGGGCCTCATCGTGGGAGAGCCCCCTTGGGTGCTTTCCGGTCATATGCCTTTGCGTCGGCTCAGCTGTAGGCAACCCTTTCCCACGGCTCAGCGACTCGGTGACCTGTAGCGCCGCCTGGACCACTTGACCAAAAGCATGATCTTTACTATCTTCCAAATCTTGGTGCAAGTCGATGCTCTTGTAGTGAGTCTCAGTTAGTTCACTCAGATCTCCTGCTTCACTAACAACGGTAATCTGATAGCGGATGGATGGTTTTCTGGAGGCCCTGCCGTTCGACGACCGCCGAAATGTGGGCTTCAGATTGAGGAGATGTCCAGACTCGGAAGAAAAATGGCTGGCAGCAATCTTTCGAGCACGGTCACTGCCCCTCAGTAAAAGTCCCAAGTCGATGAATTGATGCTTGAGTGTGTTCAGAAATGTTTTGTCATCTACTGAAGAGATATCCTGCACGAACAGTCCATACGTGGACTTCATCTGCTCGATAGTCATTAACCTGCCGTCTTTGAGGTTTTGAGCCTGCAGGAGCGGTTGAAAGTGATCTCGCAAGAGCTCAACGTCAAAGAAATGCGATTCTCGCCGGCCGAGCGACGGTGCCTTGAAGGTTCCTGAACCTTGTTCATCCGGAGAAATGAAAATGAAAGGCATGTGCCCTTGAGACAAAAGCTTTGGAATGAGCTCACTAGCTATTATGTGGGATAGAAAATCAGACCCCAGGAGAATGGCGACATGGAGAGACTTTGCCCGAGGGTCTTGGGTCAACGCGTCCGCGATTCGCGCAGCATGCGCCGCGACACGATCAATGGCGCTCACATAAAAGTGTGTGCCACGCGTTAGCGTTCCCATAGTATACAGTCCGGGTGCTGCTTCAAAAGTGTCAAAATCGACATCCACTCCGCCTGTTGGATGAGACTTGAAGAGGCCTTTAGTCACAAGCGACCGAATCAACGGAGATGAAATCCGGTCGAGATGGCATTCCTGACCTGTAGCCTCAACTACATATGATGTTTCAACCAGTCCCGATGAGGTGTTCGCAAAGAAAACTTTCCTTTCAGCGTCCCAATCGACTCTTTCACCAGCGACGACGTTCAATTGGGATTTTTCCATTAGGTCCAAGATCTTTTGGGCATTTTGTATGGGCATCCCGTGGCGGTATCTCATCCAAGGACTAAAGAACTTGTCCAAGAACAGTTTTTGACTTTCGACTGGTAAACAGCTCCAATATCGCTCTATAACAGGTGCGGTGTGGCGAAGAACAGTCTGCCAGTGAACGTTTCCATCCCGTGCGGCCTTGATATCAGCTTGCAGTTCTTCGAGCGGGGAGGCATGTTTCCGAAACCAGCTCCAATCGCCATTGTTGATATAATCGATCTCGTCCATCAAGCATGTCATGAGCTTGATCAGAGCGTCACTTGGATTTGCTTCGACCTCTCGTGCAAGTATGTGAAGAGAATATCGGCGAGGAAAAGGCTCCGGCTCCCCTTGAACTGTAGGCACTCGCCCACTGCGCGACATGAATGTGATAGGAGCTTGGTGTCCATTCTGCGCAAGGGCTATAGCGGTGTCCACAGCTGACAGTCGGGATCCAATGACCAAAACGGGAGCATGGGCAGGGATATTTTTCAAGCTTTCCGTGGGCCATGGACTGGCGAGAAATTGTGGTTGATTCACGAGATGCGTATACGCGGTAGAGGTAAAGTTTCCCGGTGCCATCACGACCTGACCTGCAAGACATTGCCCACCGCTGCTCAAAGTCAAGAGAAATGACTGATCATTTTGGCGCTCAATGTCCGTGACTTCATCGTGAACGAAAGAAACGCTCATCCCTAGTTGCTGGGCCGCATTGAGTGCTTGATGTGACATGTCTTCGAGGTAATCTCCATAGATATCTCGGGATGGAAACGGCCCACTCTCCAGCTCGCTTCTCCAACGTGAGAAGTGCTTGGGATCATTGAAGTATAACCCCATTGTGTCGGTGTGCATGTTGATGATGGTGCCCGAGCACAGAGAAGAATATGCTAGCCCAGGGCCAAAACGTGTATCCTTCTCAATCACAGTGATAGGCGGCAAGCTTTTTCCATTTTTGGCTTTCTCAACCAAGTGCATCAGAACTGAAATGCCACTTGCACCAGCTCCGACTATGACGATATCACCCATATTGGGATCACAATGAGATGACTGTGAGCTACCCATGGTCAATTTGGTACCAGAAAGTGGAGGTTTGTTGATGTGTGGGCACTATGAAGTGGTTCTAAGCATGAATATAGGAAGAGTATTTATGCTACTCTCTGACGCGTACAGACTGTGTCGGGAAAACCTGATAACCCATCACGAGGTTCCCAGAATAGAACCACAGACAGTCATGACCATACCCTGGCCACCAGTTATAGATCGCCAAGACCCCGCTTTCAACATGACCGTCTTTTCTCCATATGCATTTTCCAAACAATGAGCGCGGTTCTTGCACTGAGAGCCATTCGGAGTTTCAAGGATACCGCGTTCATTCTCACTGTCGGCGTCTGTTGCCAAGAAGATCTTCGTCACCAAACCGAATATGCTGCAATTTCCGACGAGAGGATCACGCTTGCTCAGGTGAGAAAATGCCACATACATGCATTATTGCACGATGGACGTTTTTGAATTATCCTTGACTTCGCGCGGCACATCGAAGAGCAAAACTATCATGGTAGCAAGCATTAGCGCCATCTGATAGAGCACGCAAGTCGGAGATATGAGCAATGGTAATTACGTTAATCAATTGTCTCATCTTAGTCCGGTGGTTGTTTCTTCACATCTAGACTCGGCTGACCAGGCCAGGAACATGATCCTTGCCTTCGCAACTGGAAACGTGGTCATGGGTGAAGCATCATTTGCCACGGACACAATAGTGGTCCGTGACAAACTACTCGAGTTTTTATGTGTGAGAATGAATCGATTTAATGATTGGCTCAGCATACATGCAGCAACGGCCCAGTAATACTTCGCCATGCAGCCCGAAGAGTCTTGATTGAATAAGCCCTTAGAAAATCCTCCGCTCCAAGACTTGTCCCGTCTATCGCGAGTCAAGTTCAGTTCCTCGTGGTACGTATAACCGCAGTTACTGCTTCGATGAAATATCAGAACCTGACGTGGTTGATAGCTCCTGGTCCGGGGTTTTGCCAAGGCATGTACAAAAGCATGACCCCATTGACTGCCAATTTGTAGAGGACAATTGAATAGGATACACGTGTCTACTCACCGGCATTCATCCTCGACGCTCAGATCCTCAGAACTGATTGATCACCCTCTTGGGCGAACATTTACCCGACTAAGCTGACCGGATAACATCATTTCAGCTATGAAGACGATCGTCGGCGCCACAGGGGTCTAGCACTTCGTATAGCATCCTCTAGTAGCAGAGTTCTGCAAACTCCAGAGTAAGCGCTAAAGACTAGCCCTCACTGTGATTTCAATCGACACTCAAGGCAGCATCGATGCCATCGGCATACCATTTCCTTGGCGGATTGTGGCATCTGCGGTCTTCGAGATCATGATTGGTCCCTGATCCTTCTGCCCTATTGACCCTATTTTTGGCCTAAAGTTTCCTATAAGGCTTGAAGGGTCTTTGCTCGGCTAAAATAGACAGGAAACCAGAATTTAGGGATCATCCGTCGTCTGATGCGCATTGTTTCCCCGGACTCTCCCCCGTTTCAAGTTACTCTAATTCCGCGTCGAGCCGGAATAATCGGAGTCGGAGGTGACATGGTTACCATGCATGCCGCCAGGAGCTACAGAACGCCTTATAGCGGGCAGCGGGGAACGGCTTGGCATGCAGGCATCTTCCCCCTCCCCCTGGATATTTTTAGCATTACGGAGTAGATATTTTGAAGATCGCTAATCTTCGAATCTCGGCCTAGGACTTTTACCGGTCACATGTGCGGAGTATACAGAATTGAATAATAACAGGTCAGTGTGCATAGTCTATGCATATCTAATTATGTGGCATTCAGTCTAATACTTGACACCAAAACAATCGTTTCGACTATCCACAACGTGCTTTGACGCAACCCCACGTTTTTCCACCGGCAAATCCTATCCCGAGCCTACTCTACCTCCTACCTTACCTGCTCCCCTTTTTCCGAGAGCAAGGCAATGATCTCAGATCTTGACCTTGACGCGCCATCCGGTCTTCGAGATCCTCGCCCCCAACAGCACCATCGCACCCAGTAAAATAACTACTCCCGCCCACACCTGGGCTCCGATGTAACCATGGGCCTTGGCAACGAGAGCGCCACCCAACGGAGGTCCGGTCAAACATGCAAAGCTCATGATCGTGAAGCCCATGCCGATCCGTGTGCCAGCCTTGCTGAGGTCCGTAATCAGGCTGGAGAGTGTGGGTGGCCAGAGCCCCTGGACCGCATTGGCGCAGAATCCGTAAAGCACGGCGAACGTGTAGAGCCCCGCTGTGGAGTGCACGGCCGCCCAGCAGAACATCAGCACGCTCGAGGCCACCGAGAGAGGAATGACGGTGTTCAGCGGGCCCAAGTGGAAAGAAGCAAAGTACGCGGGGACCAGGCGTCCGAGACTGGCGGCCGCGTTGAGCACAATAATCAAGTTCGTTGAGTCGGAGTAGGTGAGTCCGATCACGCTTCGGCCAAAGGCACCCACATAATAGACTGCAAAGTACATGCCCCAGAAGTTGAGCCAGATGGCCAGAATGAAAAACGTATAGATTGGCTCGTCGCGGAAGGCGGACAGCTCCACGAGGGGGCCCGACTTGCGCGGGGGCAGACGAGTGCGAAAGAGCGCAACGGCAGGGATAGTGGTGGCAAGCATGACGAACCCCACAACGCGCAGGGTCCAGCCAAAACCAAGGACGGGGAGTAGGCCCTTGACCAGCCCGGGGAAGACCATGCCCCCCGTCCCGCTGCCGACCAGACAGCAAGCCACCGCAAATACGCGGCGTTTGTCGAAATAGGTGGCCACTAGACCCATTGCGGGGCAGAACTGGAGGCCACTGCCTAACCCTGTGCAGAGTCCCTGTGCGAGAAAGAGCTGCCAGTATTGGGTGGAGAGAGAGGTCATGAAGACGCCCAGAATCTGCAGGAATGCGCCGGCGCAGAAGACGTGACGAAAATAGCCTGCGTCCAGCGCTCGTCCCGAAAAGGTACCCACGAAGAAGATGAGAAACATCTGGATGGACCCGACCCAGGAGATTGCAGACTCGGATACCCCGAGGTGGGTTTGGTAGTAGGACTGGAAGACCCCATAGCTGGCGAGGTAACCCCAGGTGTTGAAGCAGACGAGGTGGCCCATGGCAGATTGAGTCCATGCCATGGCTCCGCCATCCGGGGGCGGCTTCACCACGGACTCTGTGGTAGAGGTTGAGATATCATCTTCGATGGTTTTGGTCATGGTTGCTGCTGGCGCAGGAAATTAGGAATCCAGATGCTTGAACAAAGGTGATTTAAATCGCTCGATCCTGACTCTAGAGCTTCCGGGCGCTATTTCTACTCTTTTGTAGCGAAACAATGGCATGTCTTTTGATAACTAAACCCCGAATCCTAGAAGCCGACGTGCAGTAGTCATGAGTCGATAGCGGTATCGGCCGAGTACTTGGCTACCGATTGCCTAGACACTAATCGTAGTCAAGTTCGATAATGAGTCACGGGCCATCATCGACTATCCTTTCGAGCAAGTTCGCTTGTTCGTCCTGTGCAAATTTGGTATTCCCCGATTTCTCCGCACAAATGTCAGTCACAACAGCCAAGCATGCAGCTGACGAAGACGCAATGCGGCCGCGGGAACACCTCTTCGATCCTGTTGCGACTACCTTGGCATGCATGGATCGCGGAACTCCGTCTTATTTGCATGCAAGCGTAAGCTTTCTCAGGCCGAGGAAATTGCCATTGCAGAATAATGTCGCTATTGTTGGTTTGCCCCGTTTTTCCCTCTTATCAGAGCGGGCCTTGAAACGTAACATGCTTTAGCAATAATATGTCGACATTGACAGGGGTGTGTGATGGCCATTGGTTTAGGGGTTCCGGGACAAAGAGCTTTGCTCGGATTTGGTCTGATGCAAAAATGCTGGCTGGGGATCCCTCGGTGTTGGGGAGGGGACTTGACAGTGAATTGCGAAGTTCTCTCTGTGCTCACGAGGTGTTAGCTCGTATGTATACTGCTGGGCTGAGGTTTTAACGACACTTGCCATTCCTGATGCCACTCATCATGGACGGGCGATGGAGTCCTATATTATTGTAGGATCGTGGCTAGACCAGACTCTAGGCGACCGTAATCTTCATCCAAGAGAGAGTCTAGATGATAAGTGACTGAGTGACTTTAGGGACGAAATTGTGGAGTGAGTATGGTAGAGGCAAGGGAAACGTCCACGTGATGCTCTGTTAAAGCCAGAGACTCTACCTTCTTTTCTTAGTAGTCTCATTTTTCTGGGACGAATGTTCTACCTGCCTTTCCACAAAACTTCTTAGTCCACCAGATAATTTGACAGACAGCCTTTGTTCTACTGTTCTCCTAGTCTTTCAATCGTTCTTATGACATTTCTTAGCCCGACTTACACTACCTTCCTCCTTTTATGCCACTTGGAAGGTACAATTTCGTTCACAGGTACCTAGTAGGTTCAACCCATTCGAGCCGGGCAGGATTCGCCAACCCGCGACCAGCTGCAATCCCACGATGGGTTTGATCCATGAAGGGATCTATTCATGAAAGCAAGTGGCCAAATTGTCCCTGAACCTCAGATGTTCAAGGGCTTGCGACTTTGCACAGGTATCGTGACTTGAGGACCACACCCCAGATCGCCGTATACTATGGCTAATGATATTCTTAAATAGTTAGGTAGCCGCGCTTTCACGACCTATTCGCCGTTGCTCGATGCTCTCTTTCGATAGTGGCAATAATTCGAAGCATAGTTGGCTGTGAGTTGAACATTCCGTGACATGCTTTGGCTGGCCTGATAAGATATCTCGTGTCTAATTGCTTGTGGAGGTTACTTAGGTTGCCCAGTTATCTCCAGTCCATTGTCACACAGATTCCAACTTTTTACGTTTTTTCAAGGCATCTCGACGACTCCAAGAATGACCCCCACGCCTTCCAGGAGATGAGTCAACAAGCATACGACTTTGGAGCAATCATGGCTCAACCTTAATACGAGAGCGTACGGAGACAAGCACCCACAGTGGAGAATTGTACCCGCAACTCCCGTCGCGTGGTTCATCGGAGTGAGTTCGCCGACAAGTCTCCGACGGGGCCCTATATCCGAAGCCAAGAACCCCCTCTTCTCTATATATACCGGCCAGTCCACGTCACAAGTCCAAGGTGAACAAACTCCCCATCATTCTTCACAATGCCTCGCAAAATCACAGTTGCTGTCGCGCAAGCGAGCACTCAGTCATCCCTCTCCGCTACCTTGGATGCTTTGCACCGGGTGACTCGCCACGCAGCGGCTCGTGGCGTTCACTTGATTCTATTTCCGGAAGCCTACTTGGGTGGCTATCCGAGGACATGCGATTTCGGAACAGCGGTCGGCTTCCGCCAACCTCACGGTCGCGATCAGTTCCTAGAGTATTTCAACTCCGCTGTCGATCTCGGCGACACCCCAGCCGGTGCTGGTGACGACTGGGTCGATCGGAAACTCCCTCTCCCGCGGGGTAAGGATTACCGCGGTGACGGCACTCGTGAGACCCTTGAAAGAATTTCCCGGGAGACGGGCGTCTTCATTGCATGCGGTGTGATCGAGAGGGCAGGAGGCAGCCTTTACTGCTCCGCTGTATACGTCGATCCCCGCGATGGTATGCTTGGAAAGAGAAGAAAGGTCATGCCGGTGAGTGTAAATTTGAATCTCCAAGTAGCTTCAATGTGTCGATACTAATCTTCTTTAGACTGCTTCCGAGCGTCTTATCTGGGCACAGGGCTCGCCATCCACCCTCAAGGCCATCACTACTGAGCTCAACGGGGTTAAATTGACGATCGGTGCCGCTATTTGCTGGGAAAGCTTCATGCCTATGCTCCGCCAGAGCCTCTACGCTCAAGGTGTCAACATTTATCTGGCACCCACAGCAGATAGCCGCGACACCTGGCTTCCTCTGGTTCGGACTATTGCTGGCGAAGGCCGCACATTTGTTCTCACCGCCAACCAATGCGTGCGGCGCCGTGAGCTCCCTGGCTGGATCACGGGAGCTTCTTCTAAAGAAGCAGTTGAAAACGGCGACGAATATATCTCGCGGGGTGGCTCTTGTATCATTGGCCCTCTTGGTGAGGTGCTCCGCGAGCCGATCTGGGAAGTTTGCACTGATGACGCGGCAAACCCGGATGACTTGAATGACCCAGCTCTCGAAGCCGCTGTGTCTATCTCAGAGATCGATTTGGATGACTGCGAGAGAGGAAAGCTGGATCTTGATGTTACCGGGCACTATTCACGAAACGATGCCTTCAAGTTGTCCGTTAAGGGTCTGGACCTTAACCCTCCTCCTCTGTGATCGATTCTTCTTATTCATTAAGACCAATGGGAAGAAAACAAGGGAAGCAATCGCAGACACTGTACATACAAAAATGATATCCATATTATACATTGCATTCTTAGGTTCCTGATCACTTCTCGGCATGGTCTCTACCCCACAACCCCGCAATTAACTGGCCTGGTGCCTCAGAAACAAGGCATGTATATCGTACCACACGACTGAGTCAGCATCTTCCGCAAGGGGAATAGCTCATTTCAAGATTCGAGGATCACGACTGCCGATGAGAAGGCCGAATAACCATCCAAGGAGAAATACCAAGTCAAGATTTATGAATTGGAATTCGCAGTTTGCAGTCAGACAATGAATACAACTAATGGATGTGTCAGATAGTGCTGATGACCACCCCGGAGAGGGTAGGACAATTGTTGCAAAGCCAAGACCGGCACTCCTAGCATGCAGGCGCTGCCGTGCTCGCAAGCAGAAAGTATGCATACACCTAGCGATTTATACTTGGACTATTAACGTTATGAATAGTGCAGCCAATCACGACCATGCAGTAACTGCGTTCAAGCACATGCCGGTAAGTAGAAGAAAAACTGACGTCTTTCTTTCCCTCTAACCGGTGAGCGATTTGTGTAGCTTGTGTCGCGAGCCAAAAACCGCCAAGGGAAAGTCGAGTCAATCCGGAGTAAGCAAATCTTGTGGAAGCTTACAAGATGCTTTGGCTGAATGTTGCAGGTATGCACGGGCTCTTGAAGAGCGCATACTCGAGCTCGAAGCCGAGCGAGAATCCACCGGGCGAAATCCTCGCGCCACCGTGGAAGCATATGAGATGTCCTCGTCTGCGAATGTTGCAGGAACAGCGTCAAGGGTTCATAGACTTCAGCCTCAATTGCAGCGCGATACGCCCGCTGAAAACTCACCCCTTGCGGTCAACTCTCTACATGCTGAAAGCATCCGCGCTCAGAGCACCCCGTCACTCACCATCCCCACGCCACCTACACAGCCTTCTCCTACCGGACTGTCAGTGGGGGCAGTCGAGTACGATGAGACAGGTATCTCAACAGCCACCCAGGATAAGCTCATTCGGATCTTTCTCGAACGCGTCAATCCTCGATATCCGTTCCTCCATGAAGAAACGTTCATCAGCTGGTACGGGGCATGGCAATCTGCGAAACGATCGAGCCAGCCACTACCGGCTGAAGAGAAGTGGAAGGAATTCTTCGTGAAAATGGTCAGTTGTGCAAACTCGTTTGATTTTGTATACTGAACGTGTCCGGTAGGCTTTTGCGGTAAGCCTGCTGATTGCTCCACAAGTGTCCCCGGAGGACATGAGGACCTCGCAGGTATGTCGGTCCTTTGCTACTGTGGCATTAAATTGAACATTGAGATAGGCTTTATACTCCTTGGCCATGCCATTGCTCGGGACTGTTTTTTCATGTCTCGACCCAGTCCTACATGTCCAGGCCTACCTGCTTTGCACATTGCATGCTCTCCATTCGCCATCGTCACAAACGGTTCTCACAATGATCTCCGCTGCTATGCGTTGTTGCGTGATCGCACAATTGCACCTGAACCTTCCGACGAGCAGTGCCCGGCATGAATCAGCTTTGCTTGATTTACAGATACGACGTCGCGTATTCTGGTCCGCCTATGCCATCGATCGTCTACTTAGCTGGATATACCATGTTCCCTGCAGCCTCGCTGACGAGAACATCCAAGTCGAGGTACAATTGTCGCTTTTTCGATTCTGGTCATTCGAAACTGATCGTAGAAATAGCCTTTTGCGAACCTAAATGACGACGAAATCAAAGCATGGGCCTCAAGGAGCGAACGGCCGGACGAGACCGAATCAATGCCTCGCATAACGCAGGTCTCATCCGCGTTGCATCTGCTTCGAGGCAGAAGGATCCAATCTCGAATTCTCGGTATCATGATGCGCACAGACTACGAACACCGTTTTGCGGCACATCACAACTGGCGCTTGCATATGCTGGAAGCGCTTGATCAGTGGAAAATGCAATTGCAACCTCATAGTGACCCAGCCTCTGAAGGATATACGAGTGAAGGTTGGGTGGGTATGCTCTATAATTATACTATTCTTATATTATATCGACCGACCAAAGAGAATATTTGCCGATTTGTCAGCGAGCGCTGTATCACAGCATGCTCCAACATTCTGCATACATTTTGGATGTACCTGAAGAGACGCCAGACGGCGCAGCTTTGGCCTGGAGTAAGTGTACACAGTCAACTCAATGCAGCATTTCAAATCTGACAGTCCGCGCCGCAGCTTTTGAGTCAATTTGGTACAGGCATAATCTTGCTATACTGCCTCTGGGCAACACCACCCTCAAAAAGACCGACGTCAATCCAATCTTCAGAAATTACCAAGGCCATTAGAACATGCACGGTTATTCTTGCGGTTCTATCTGAGCGCTGGACACAAGCTGAAATCCTGCGAGACGTCTTTGACCTTCTCGCAGATTCGGTTCCGGTGCAAGACACCCCTGACTGCGTGGAAGGGAATGGACTATCGATACAGGCAAGGCAAACAATTAAGTCCCGCTTGCCTATGCTACATGTCATAATTGTGAATAAGGACATATTACGGATGTTGATGGAGATGGTTACTGAAGACTATCCTTGGACAGGTTACAGAGATGTACCGAATGTCTACCGCTGGTGCTCTGAAGACAAGCATGATGCAAACGGGTGTACATTGTGCTGGGAGGGTAGACCTATGGTAGGAGAGCTAGAGAGCCTTCCTCAGGAGAGTTTGCTCTCAATGGGTCTGTGGCCATCGCTATATGATGACACAGGGGGGTTGTACACCTCGCCTTCTGGGGAGTATCCATCTTTCCCGGGGTTGTTGGGATCTATGTAGCTTGTTTATGTGAAGGCATGATCTGCATACTAAGAAGATAGACCAACATAAGGAACTGAAGGCCTGGGTTTGGGGTTGAGATTCATGGCCTCATGTGCCCGTCCACTCTTTATTCTTACGACGACTCCTCTTTCATGCGTGAAATAAATAATCTTTACACAAGGTAGTAGCAATTGCGGTTAATAGTATAATAGACTTATTGCAGCCTATGACAGAGAGTTGCCTACTTGTGTCAAGGGACGCCTTTGCAACTCGCGTTACTTTTCTTCTCAGAGCGTAACATCGATTGCAAGTGAGGTCACTATTCAGTCAAAACACGCCAAACAAATTCTTTCTTCTACATCGATCCACAACTTCTTCATCCTCCACCAAGCACCAGCAGAATCCTGAAAGCCTCCTCCAACTCACACCTCCCACCTCCATCCGTTATCCCACCCCACATCCTTGTCCATCCTCCAAGATGGCCTTCATCGGCACCGCCGCCGAAATCCGTGACGAGCTCCTCAAGGACGACGAGCCCAAACGCGTGATCATCCGCGTCAACACCAAGCGCCTGGAATCCCACGACTACCGCGGCTCCGCCTGCGCCCTCGTGGCCGAGATCTTCCCGGACTGGGCGACCAACGAGCGCATCCGCTTCCTGCACATCGAGATCCGCATCGGGCGCGCCTTCCTGGCCATCGACCTCAACAACGGCACCTACCGCCCCGTGGAGCTGGACCTGGAGCCGATCCCCGTCTACATCCTCTCGATCTTCCGCCGCGGCTGGGCGCTGGTGCGCTGGCGCCAGCTCGACCAGCACATCGCCGACCACCTGGCCCGCATCTGCATGCTCAACTACGACAACCCCGTGCGCCCCTATCTGGCGAACTACGATCTGCGGGCGTTGTGTCGGAGGCGCTCGGTGTTCTCTTAGACTTGTGAATGGGGTAGTGGATGGGAGAGTGTGCGTGCAGTGCACAGTGCACGGTAGAAAATATGCTGTGCTGTGTTTCTCTGGATCTACATATTGGTGTCGCAAACGACACATCTACATTCACGTTTCTGGGAATTTGAAACAACATTAAGTAAGTTCTTTCTTCCTACTTGTACAATAATGTCTGTTCTTTCAGCTAATCAATATACAAAGAAATGGCTCTAGGATCAGCGCTTTGGGTTTCACGCACAAAAAACATTCGAACCTGCCGGCTTGACTCTGGTTTCGCAGGGATTATCCTGCTGTGGATATTAGACGCATTTTTCGGTTAAGCACAAAACATACGGGTCATCTAGCAGATGGATATGCGTTCCCGGGGGTCTAATATCTTCAATCAGCAGGCTTACACTTGGAAACCTTCCTCGGGATTTTGTGGTAAGCTTGCTTGCTAGATAACTTTGAATCTATTGCGGTTTTATGTAGATTCTGCTGTACTTCTTGTAATGGTGATGCTGTGTGAACTGGTTATTATTTGCTATAAGCTGCAATTCCTAAAAAGTCAGTTGGCTTTCTATGGCGTTCTAAGAAGACTTTAGAGCTGGGATGCTCTATTCCACTGTGTGTACGGAAGTTGTTGGTGTGGAGCGGAAACAGGTGTAGAGATGGTAAATTCACTGGGGTGCATATAGAGCAGAGAAGAAGACTTACAACTAACAATTTATCTTTCTCGCTGGCCTTAAACGAGGAAAACGTAAGGAAATATATCCTACTGTGTAATATATAGGCTCATGGGTCTGTTGTTATAAGACTGAGATAGTAACCAGAGCTGCCAGACTACTTCTAGACTGGAGCCCTGCGTTTATTCTTCACTGGAGTATGCTTTAGCAAATCAAGTTTCCAGATCCTTCTAATGACTCAATCTTGTAGAAAAAGTTGGCGACTTCACTGCTGTGCTACAGATCCACTGGGCGCGCCTTAACAACAGGCCTGTGGCGCGCCTTATCGATAACGAAGATGAGTTCCGCCATAGACCAACTAACCCAATCGGGCAGTGTAGGCGATTCAGCCAATCACCTCTTCCAACAGCATCCCAACCATCCGAAGCATGACTGCCCACGGAGCCTGGACATCGACCGTAGAAAACTTATATAAAGCACCATCTTCACACATCTCGGCTTTCCAATTATCAACTGTCTCATAACTCTTTCTTATTCGATCAAAACAGATCCCCAAGCCCAGCTACCATGGTGAAACTCGCAGAGTTCAATGTCGAACGTGTATGACTCTTCTTTCGCCCTCGGGCCGTCGGATGCCATACTAACGATAGCAACACATGGTCAACAGTGGATGGACCTCTACGAGAACGATGCCAGGCACAACCTCGCAGAGACATGCTGCGCCTCCATCTCGTTGAACGACATCCTCCAATTTTCCGGCGCATCGTCGTCGGACGACCCACCACTCATCGATTTCTCCCGCAAGCAGACGTACGGTGCCATCCGTGGATCTGCCGGGCTGCGAGCCAATATTGCGAAGCTCTATCAGGGCTCCAGCGTCGCCTTGAAAGGTAACGAGCAGCAGCAGCAGCAGAGCGCATCTCCTACAGGCATCACCGCAGAGCAGGTGCTTGTAACCACCGGCGCCATCCATGCCAATTTCCTGGCCCTGTACACACAGGTTGGGCCGGGTGACCATGTAATCTGCCACTACCCGACGTACCAGCAGTTGTACTCGGTGCCTGAGTCGCTCGGCGCCGAGGTGAGCCTGTGGCGCTCTTCGGCCGAGAATGGGTGGGCTCTGGATTTGCAGGAGCTGCGGGGGTTGATCCGTCCCAACACGAAGGTTATTATCCTCAAGTGAGTTCCCCCTCTCTCCATGTAACAGAAGAGGAAGGTGTGTTGTTGACATTGTAACGAAGTAACCCCCAAAATCCCACGGGCGCGGTCCTCCACCGCGAATTCCTGCGCAGTGTCGTCGAGATCGCCCGGGAACATAACCTTATCGTCCATTGTGATGAGGTCTATCGCCCGCTATTCCACTCCCTGCCTCAGGGAGAGACCTCTCCGCCATCGATCTTGGAATTCGACTATGAGAATCTTGTCTCCACGGGGTCGATGAGTAAGGCTTTCAGTCTGGCAGGTTTGCGGATCGGGTGGATTGCGTCCCGGAATCAAAATCTCATCGAGGCATGTGCCTCGAGTCGTGATTATACCCTTATCTCTGTGAGTCAGGTTGATGACGAGATTGCGACGCGCGCGTTGAGTATTCCGTGTGTAGAAAATCTCTTGTCCAGGAATATGGAGCTTGCGAGAACGAACTTGGATATCCTTGAGACGTTTCTAAAGGAGTTCAGTTGGGCGGTACAATGGGTGAGGCCGCAGGCGGGCACGACGGCGTTTGTCAAGTTTGTGGATCGGCAGGGAAGGCCGGTTGACGACGTGGTGCTTTGTGAGCGACTGATGGAGACAACAGGCGTTATGTTAGTGCCTGGGGGTAGATGCTTTGGCGAGAGTGTCGATTTCAAGGGCTATGTGCGCGTCGGCTATGTGCCTGAACGGGAGGTGTTGGAGCGTGGGTTGTCGGCTTGGAGAGTGTTTATGCGGAAGGAGTATGAGCAATTGCCAGTTGTTTGAGGTTCTGGTCTGGGAATTGGATGTGATATAGCAAGATCGTGTTCCGGATAGTAGCGAGATAGACCATTGAACATAGACGAAAATGGATTGAGATTTTACTAGGTGTCGATTTGATACGGGTCTTTTGGCTGAGCGTGATTGGTGTAGTTCTAGATAAATGGCGAGATCGTACACGTGCTGTATGTAATAGCAAGCATTGCTTGTATTGCATGTGCGTGAGCGGATGAAGGCCTTGCTGTGCAATGTAATCAATGTGATACCTTTCGGTCATGAGGCACGAGGAAAGCGATATTCAGTACTCAAAATATCAACATGCCTCTCGTTCCGGACAAGTAGTCCACTTAGAACAGAACCAACTCCAGCCCAAGCTGTGCGAAAAACGCGTCCCATTGCAAAGTCGTCCTCGATGCCCAGAAAAGGTTCAACAAGTCTCGAGCTCTCGTGAAATTCCCCATTCCAAGACTCTGCATGTTGGCCATTCTTCCCTGAATGATGCAGCGCTCGCTAGGCATATCTGTCTCACAACCAGCACTGAAGACAGGCCAGAGAATGATGATATTCGCCGCCGAGAATGGGCGGATGTCTTGGACGGCACAAATGATACCTGCGACGTCGGCTCTGACTTGCGGGTGGCTGATCGGCAACTTTTGAACACGACGGTGTAGGTGCAGTAGAGCGGTGTGAACAAAGGCGCGATGGGTATGTTGTAACTCCAAAGCAAGTTCTCCTTTGCTTTTCATGGTTGTGTCGGATACAGTAGTGTCAAGTAGCATGAAGAGTTCGTTCTCGAGGAGCTGGCTTTGCTGCAAGATCATCGCATCTTGTAGCATATCGTCTGACGTACTCGCAGTCATACGTTGTTGATGGATGAGGTGGGATAATTGAGTCAAACACGGGACTAATTCCAGCGAATAACCGCAGACATCATCGATGTATCCGGAACTCTGACCAAGAAGCTCGTTCAAAGGCTCCTTTGCGGCCTCGGAGGTAATTCCTATATGGCTCTGCCCCGACAGGCTCGCTATCAGATTCAGCGTCGTGAACCATTTGACTAGCGAATGGATATACGAATCCTGTACCCAGCGAGATTTTTCCTGCGCCAAGAAAGCATTCAGCAGCTGCCTGACTCCGCCGAGATGTGTCCTCCAGACGTGCATGTTACCGTTACAGACGTCATTTGTGCACAATGCCATTGCTGTCGCGACTGTCTCAGTAGGTAATCTCTGGCTTGACTCGCTGATCGTCGACCGCAGGCTGGAGATGGCAAGGTTGGTGAATCTCAGACACGCTATCTTGGACGACGGGCTTGTATCCTGCACCAGCCGGCTGTGATGGCTGCAGGCTGCGGCTAGTAGCGCATACAAAAGATGAGGTGTCTGCATCGAAGCACTGATCATTCGCTTTAGAAACAGATCGGGCGCTGCAGGGAACAGCCTGGGTGCTGTCTCCGTGGCGAAGATGTGCATGAAGAATCTGGATTGCTCGGATGACAGGGTCGACGAGAGATGAAGGGATGGTTGATTGGCCAATGCCTCTAGGCTCTGGGTAACATCCAGTTGGTCCTGTCTATCAATTGCAACTCCTGTGCGAGATGCACTGAGCTGCTGTTTCGCCGGGCGAGGTTTGACTGCCTGGCCAACGAGACTTAGATTGTATACGCACCCCTTGGGATAACGCTGACATCGTGTGCATACAGGCTTCTGCAAGTCGCACTGTAGGCAATCGTTAGTCAGGGTTTTCCAGGCTTTAATTGATTAGGATGAGACTACTTTGACTTTCTTCCTTCTGCACTCAGTGCAACCGTCTCGTCGCCGCTGAGAGGCTTGCATGCTGTCATCGTGCGATAAGAGGCATGTGTAGCAAAATATACAGCCACCAGACTATGTTTGAAGTCACGAGACGGTTGGACTTTTGGATAAAAGGCTAGCAAAAAGCCTTAAATCGATATACTTCGTCTTCCATGTCCGGGAAACGAAAGAAGGAGCAATGGATGACCAAGCACGCTAGATGGAAAGAAAGATTCAGGCACTAAACCATTTATGGACATTTATCCGACCCAGCCAACCGCCGTCCCATGGACCGTCCTTTACATGGTTCTTAGTAACTTCAACTTGGAATCTCAGTCCATGCCAATCTGCTTGATCAAATCGTGTCTAAGGGATACAATGAGGATTATTCATTCTCTAAAGAAAAGGGCCGTACAGGCTGTGATGCTATCTAAAGACGATAATGACTTCGAGTCATTTTCCAATACGCCGTTGCTCCCAGATCCAAACAAGCGATCAAGTAGATATACAAACCCTGTAACAAATATCAAACCCAGATATCATCAATCACCATGCACCAGCATCAAAATCGAATCGAGCCAGCTCTTTTTGCGAGTCTTCGACATCCTTCTTCGCCTTCATACGCATATAGAAAATAGGACAGTCGCGAGACGAGCAGATGACCTCACAGTGCAAACTGCCCTGGCACCGCTGACATTGCGTCCACAGACGCCCGAAGCGGACCTCCAGGTCCGAAACCTTGTTCAAAGATCTGGTGTAGAGTTCACCCAGGCGAGGACGGCAGTACTCACACACCGCACCAGCCATTTCTTCTTTCCCTGACAGGGGTTTCTTGCAGCCCAAGCAGGTTTGGGTCTTCTTCGCAAACTTCATCAACCCTCCCATAGTCGGTGCCGCGACAGAGATGGATCGGGTGTGTTCGCCAGTCAGAAGCTGACTGGCCTTCTTCTCTCCAAGAATGGGCTCGAAAATACGGCCGAGGGGATTGGCGAGCTGGTTGTCAAGGTAGTACTTGGTGTCGATGGGGATATTGTTCTCCAAGACATAGATGGGGTCTTCAGATCGCTCGTAGTTCTTCGAGCCACCAGCACCCTTCACAATGACGTATGCGACACGATCTCCAAGTGTAGGTGCAGAACCTGCATCACGCTTCCTCATGCGCTCCGCAAGCTCCACGTGTGCCTGCTTTGCTGTATATGCATCCTTAGAAAGGGCTTTCGTAATCACCAATTTAGACATATCGATTTTGTTCTGCAGAAGATCCGAGATAGTGTCCTTGACATAGCTGCGGGCAAATTAGCAAGATGATTGTAACAGGGGAAATCGAATTCTTACTCTTGAGCGCCATCAATGTCTCTGTCAATGAGGATTTTATGCAACACTGTCTCGATGACGTTTTGTACCAACAAGCAATTGTCACGACGGACAGTCTCAATACCCTTGGTATCCATCTTGTCGTACTTCTTGGGATTCGTCCAATACAGACCGGCATACCGCTTCTTGTTGATAAGAAGGTAAGGGAAATAGACCTTTTCGAATTCAAGCTTGATGGGTTTCAAGAACTTCGAAGAGACATACTCAGACGCCTCTTGTCCAAGCTTCATTGCTTCTTCCAGAGAATCCACACCGAATTTGACCATAACAGAGTCAGTGTCTCCGTAAATGACCTTGGCATCATGTGAATAACCATTTGCAATGGTGTATCTGGCTTCGACTTCCTGCTTCGTTTTCTCGATCATCTGACGTCCATAACTAGTCGTGCTACTGGCGATAGCCAAGCATGGCAATTTTCCGACAGTTGCACCAGTAAGACCGTAAACACTGTTCGCACTGATCTTCAGAGCAAGCTGTCTTCCATTCAACACTGCCTTCTTGAACGGATCAGTCTCTACCGCAAGTTCCTTCTTGGCCCGCTTTCTAGCTGTCAATAACTCCTCGAGAATTTGCGATAGAAGACCTTTGCGAACGTTGGCTGTAGCGAACATATCTCCATTTGGTGTCACAATATAGTCTTCGTCCTTTTTGAGTTTGAGCCGCTCGACACTGCTCTTGTTCAGTAGTGTGGTGTAGCAAAGGTTGTGCGCTTGGATAATAGAAGGATATAGCGATGCGAAATCGAGAGTAGCGATTGGTACACCATAGTAGCCTCTGACAGGCTCAATGACAGTCGCACCCTCATAATCCTGCTCATCTGTGGATTTCATATTGGGGATGACAAGCTGTTGCTCCAGGGCCTTGCGGAAGAGCTGACTGATGAACTTGACCTGTTGACCTCGTGACAACAAAAAGTTGAAAGGAACACCCGTGACTCTTGCCATTTCAGTATAGTTGACCAAACACATTAGCTTGTCCATCAGTCTCTGGGGCAAATAGGCATCCTTCAAACAGTAAACCGCTAAGCGTCGCCTGGAATCTGGCGTGCCGTTATATAGCTCGGTGATCATCGTGTGATGCACATCTTCCTTTTGTTCTCCCAGGAACTCGTAGGAAACGGAGTTAAGTGTATAACTTCGCAGATGATGATCTCTCTGTACCAGCTGGAGAAGATCTAATTGGATTCTGCCATTGGTGTTTGTCGATTTCGTGTCACGGTTACCCATTTGTTTGCTGGAAAAGTTTGTTTCCTTGGCTTGAGACATCAACCCATTGAGTCGAGTCCAATAAGGGAAACCAGTACACTTCAGATGTTTGGCACGGTCCAGAAGATATGGAAAGTCGAAGTTGGCTATGTTATATCCAATAATGACGTCTGGATCTACTTTCTCCACAAAGTCGCGCCAGGCCATGAGCATCTTGGACTCATCCTGGAACTCCAAAACCTGAGTGTTGACGATAAGACTGCATGTATCCAAGACGAAGACATTGCGAATGAAAGGCTTCGACTCTCCGTAACGAGTAACAACATTCGCAATCTGGATAACGGGGTCCTGATTCGGTTCCGGGAAGATCCCCTTACGACCAGCGCACTCAATATCGAAAGAAAGAATGCGAAGGGGTGCCATCTTAGCCCACTCGCCGGTGGGATGATGCGAGATCAGATCGCGATAATCTATACTCGCTTCAATCTGACAGTTCGACATCTTCTCACGAGGACCGAACAGCCGGTACTTTCCGGCCTTTGCCTCAACCCATGACATGCCAGAGATGTCCACATCAATCATAAATCGGAGGAGGTATTGGATGTTGTCGAATGTGAGGATACCACCATCTGAGTTATTCCAGAGTCCCTTGTAGTTGAGACTCTGCGCACCTCCGCTCTCCAAGGCTCCGCGCAATCTGCTGATGTGCTTGGGTTCCGTGACAGTGATCTTGAGATAGTAGCTTTTCTGATTGCCTTGGAAGCCATAAATGTTTTCCCTCATCGTTATTTGTACCGACTGAATTGTGGGCTGAAACTGTCCGATCCGGCTTTCGAGGAACGCTCGGTAGGGCTCGCAATCATCTTTCGTGAAGTTGACAGGTGCCGCGATATATAGATAATGTTGGAAACCAGTGACATGGAGCAGAACGGATTGACCGGCCTAGTAAAGATATAAGCAAACATCAGAGAGAAGGACAACTGCGCGACCATACCTCTGTGACACCAAAAAGGCGAACCGCGGTCTTCCCTCCGTGGATTGCACCCTCCTCCGCATCGATCTGTTGGAAACAGATACTATCCTTCGAAGCATCAAACTCACCGAGCGGCGGTCGCTCCCACTGCTGATCCTTTTCTGAATTGTTTTGCTTCAACCCATTCATGTCCTGGGTCAACTTCTCGAGAACTTCCTCCTCGAACTGGCTCTTTTGTGGCTGACTAGAGCCGGGAACTTTTCGCTGGGCCTGTGTGCCCTGACTGCTTCTGAAAGATGGTCCATTTTCAAGCTTGCGTTTCTTCAGCGCAGTTGGTGACTTTAGACCGCTGCTGCGAGGGTTGTTTGTTGCCTCGCCCAGAACCCGCTTCTGGGGCATGGTGACGGCTTCAGGCATTGTGACTGCTCATATATCACGAGAGAAGAATGCAGATGTCCTTGACCGAAGCGCAGAGTGGAATTGAAATGCTTGTTGGTCGGGAGGTTTGGGGCGGCAATGCTGGTGTCGCGGGAAACCAACTGCGCTCCAATTAATGAAAGTTCGTGTCCCGTTCGCGCCGTGACGTGACACCCGCTAGTTACGCGTTGAGTGGGAATATCACGTGATGATATGGCTGGGGGAATGAAGATCGACTCCGCATTATCTCCGGCTTCGTTGCCCCCATGGCTACATGTCGAACTGTGGGGTGTCATAATCTGCCTTTCTGTGATGTTACAAACCTGAGGCCCTCCCAGGAATCACTCAGTAGCGATCATATTGCTTGTACGGAGTAGCTTCAATAAATAGCAGGTTCGGCTGTAGGAACGGATTCATTTTGGTTATATGGAATGGCACAAGCGCCTTTTGTGCTTCTAGACTGCAATTCGTCTTTGGCCACCTTCTTGTGGAGGTCGCTAAGAAGGCTTTTATTGAAGGACATCTGCATACACGGTTTCACCAAGACCAGTACGACTCAATCGGCGCCTTGTTCTCCTAGTACACCACTGCTGGCTGCCTTCCCAACAATCTATTCTTCCCATACCGTCACTGTTATCCTTGCGGCTGATATACGCTCATCTCGAGTCCATTGTTGAACGGGAGTGTAAGATTCCTAAAACCACTTCCAGGAGCACGCATGTAGTCAAGGAGTTCTTTGCAATGTTCTGCAGCACTAATCGTGTTGTCCGTAATGATGACAGCACCCGGTCTCAGTGCCGGCTGGACCAATTTCAAGACTGGAAGCAGCATCGGGCCCCAGACTGTCACTATCAGCACAAACCTAGACTGTTTCAGGGTCTCATATCACTCACTATCCAACAGTAGCATGTCTACCGTTCCCAAGTCGTGTTTCAAAGTCTCCCTGATATCACCCTCTCGCAGCTCGATGATTTCGCTGACAGAGCTACCGCACGCATTCCAATGCTCTCGAGCCTTCTTGGCTTTCTCGGGCTCATGCTCCGTTGCGATGACTCTTCCTGGACCACCCGTAACTTCGACATTGGATGCAACGGCCAGGGCGAGATAGATGGTGCTCACCCCGTAGGATGTGCCAGCCTCGACTATAGTCTTAGCGCCGGTTGCAAGGCCCATTTGGTAGAGAAAGTAGGCTTTATCTTGTTCGATGGCAACGAACTTGTCTCGCATTTTTTGATCGACACTTTCGGGTTCGAAGTCATCCCAAGTCATGTGGGCTTCCTGTGCGGCGGAATTATTGTGTAGTCTGGAAAGCAGCGACAATATGTGTGGGGAGACATGTTTAAGTGGGTGATTGCTCGCTTGGGAAGCCATGATTAGCATTCAAGTAACAAGGTTCATAGTGGTCATCGAAGCATTGGGGGTGTTCAAGGCCATATTTATACCTCTTTCTCAGACTTGTAGCTTTTCTTGCATGATCCAATAGCTCATGGCTGCCCTCTATCCTCCTGCGCAACTACATCCGCAACAACAAAGTTGTGAGTCATATGGCTGGCAACAGCCAATTGTTCCCAGTAACTGAGTCCGTGCGATATGCAAGCCGCTTCGACGGAAAAGGCACATCCGATGTGAGCTTACTCGAAAAGTAAGGTACTATACAGTGGGGGAAATGGCGAGACGGCGCCCTGCCAGCTTTCGCCCGCTCAAGCGGAGCACTTCTCCCTAGACCTTCGCAAAGCCAATTTGGCTCCTCTGAGCGACATCGTGTCACTACCAAAACAGGCTAGAGCTGGCGCAGTGAGAATGCAGCGGAGCAATGGATGACAGCATATAATTTGACTATTGGACGCCCTTTGAAAGCCATTGCGCGGTTTGTGGGCGGGTTGCAGCAGAGTCTGGAGTGGCCCAATTTAACCTTCGCGGCTTGACACCATGGGAACATCACCTGGCTCCCCACGCGCATAACAGGTTTGTATGCACCTATAACTCTATGAAAGAACATATCTTGATTTATTCCGTGTCTTATTAGGTACACCGACCCACATACCAGGCTCTGTAGAATTCCAATGTTCGAAATGCAAGCAGAGCAAGCTGCGCTTCACAACAGATTACTATCCATCATTCTATCCATGGTCTGACAAGCCCATCCCAACCAGTTTGACAAGACTTTTCTTTGACTTCAGGGAATGAATTCCGCCCACGTGCTGGGTTAGTCACTGTGAGGAGATCAGCGAGTGAGGAGCGAGAGATAAGCATGGCATTTGCACTGATATGCAACTCTTATAAGTCTTGTGTTCCCTCACATCCATTCCCCTCTTTTCGAGACCCGTCAACAGCACACCATCAGTGCATCCAGATTGAATCCAACGACATCCAGGCACTTGACGATCATATAGTCATTATCTTCGAATCCACCATAATGGCCACCATGGATAAAATATTCGCCGGCTACTCCGCCCGCAAAGCCGCCCTCGAGGCCATTACCAGCAACCCTTTTACTCAAGGCATCGCCTGGATCGAAGGCAATCTCATTCCGCTACATGAAGCTCACATTCCCTTGCTCGACGAAGGCTTCCTCCACGGCGACTTGACCTACGACGTCCCCGCCGTCTGGGACGGGCGCTTCTTCCGCCTGGACGACCATCTTTCGCGGTTAGAGCTCAGCTGTGCGAAACTACGCATGAGGCTGCCTATTCCACGAGACGAGATCAAGCGCATTCTTGTCGATATGGTGATCCGCAGCGACCTTCGCGACGCATACGTCGAGCTTATTGTCACGCGCGGTCTGCAAGGCATCAGGGGTAGCAAAGACCCCCTCAGCCTCACAAATAATCTGTATCTATTCATCAAGCCGTATGTCTGGGTGATGGAGCCCAAGGTGCAGCGCACGGGCGGGCATGCGGTTGTCGCACGCACAGTCCGACGTGTCCCACCTGGAGCAATTGATCCGACAGTCAAGAATCTGCAATGGGGGGATTTGGTTCGTGGGGCGCTGGAGGCGGCGGATCGAGGGGCGACGTATCCGTTCTTGACGGACGGGGATGCGCATCTTACTGAGGGATCAGGGTATAATATCGTTCTGGTTAAGGATGGGGTGATCTATACTCCTGATCGAGGGGTGTTGCATGGGGTCACGCGTAAGAGTGTTATGGAGATAGCGCGAGGAATGGGAGTTCCGGTTCGCTTGGAGCCTACACCAGTCGATCTGGCTTATCAGGCTGATGAGATCTTCATGTGCACGACTGCTGGAGGAATTATGCCCATCACAACCTTGGACGGTCGGAGGGTCGGTGATGGGAAGGTTGGGCCGCTGACAAGAATGATATGGTATAAGTATTGGGACATGCATTATGACCCAGCTTATAGCTTCGCTATTCAGTACAAAGGTTCCTCTAACAACCGTGCGAAGCTCTGAACACGTACGGATTTTGCGATTGGGAGAAAGTATCAGCGTTGGTGATATGCCCTGAAGTCATTATCATACATCGAAAATTCGAATGCATGGCTCATTCCGATCTTGCAACGGTCTTATAAATATGGTTGTACCCATCCAAAGACTCCTGTGTCAACTCCTTCATCTCCCGTCCCTGAAATCTGTTGGGATCCAAAGCTTCCTTCAAGGTATCATCAACAGCCTCTCCCTTCAACAGCTGAGTCAAGAATTTGGCCGACCCAGCTGCATGAGTCACCCAAACAGCTGCAGCCATGTACAGCCCAGCCACCTCAGCAACAGCTCCCACCAGTGGCATATTGTCTGGCGTCATCGAGAAGATACCGTTGAACTTCTCCCTAATCTCCAGATTTGTCGACTCAGGGATGGACTTCCTAGCGGTATCCAAGGTTGCGCTAAAATCTTCAATCCAGTCTCCGATGGCCGTCTCGGCCGGCTGCTGCGCATGTGGCGGGTGGTCGTAGGAGCCTAGCCCATAAAAGGTACCGTGATCACGGGCATAAACGTGGTGTTCAGGCCATCTGACCCAAGGGGCTTTGTGTTCGCTTAACTCATGGTATCTGCCGTACATATAGGGATGCGCGACAGGGACAATAGGAATGGGAGTTTGGAAGCTGCAGAGCTCGGGGGCCCAGATGCCAGTCGCAATGATGACCGTCTTTGCCTGGACAAATCCAGCTGTAGTCATCACACCCTCCACCTGGCCGTTGGCTTGTTGAACCTTCGTGGCATCCGCTTGAAGGAGTTGCACACCCCTCGCCCGTGCCTCATCTTGGAAGAAGGTGGTGATCCTGATGGCGTTGGCAGCACCATCGCCGGCGAAGTGCAACGCGGCGGTGTACTCTCCCTTGATCAAGGCAGGAGCCATTTTGGTTGCTTGTTCGGACGAGATGAGCTCAGCTTGGAGACCAGCTCTTTTGGCGGAGTCATGTCGCTGTTTCAGACGCTCCGCTCCTGCAGGGCTAGTCGCCAGCTCGAGGCCCCCAACCACGTCGAATCCACCAGGGATCTTTCTGTACTCATGGACCGTATCCTGAGCCAGACGGGTCAGGACCTCCGATTCGTTGTACTTGCCAACAAATCCAGGTGCATGGCCAGTGGAACCCTTCAAGGGTGCAAAAGAACGATCAATCAACACAATCTTTTTGCCCACGTCTCCGGAGGAAGATAGGAAGTATCCCAGGGCCGAACCCATGATACCAGCGCCGATAACGGCGATGTCTGCCGTGTGTGAGGCTTGCATCTTGGTCAAAATTTGAGTTGTGCTGCGTGTCCAGAGATCATCCCTAAGGGCAGCGGCTTGTAGCCTATATATGATCCAGCAAGGCCAAGCCAGCCAAGCTCGCCGCGCGTGTGTCTCGGCGCATCTGTCCTAGATCAGTCGGTTTCGTATAGTTGTCTACCCCCACTGTGCTATAGTGACCAGTGCTAGCAGGCTTCTTGCCCAATCCACCCCCACATTTATCCGTCTTCAGAGCCGCTTTGCACCGGTGAGGTGTGGTACGATACCGATTTCGGTCAATACTCGGAGTTCCAAAGCACTAGCCTATACTCCAGCTACTTTTGAAAGGCGTGGTGTGAAACTTGGAAGGGTTGTTGTTGCGGCCGAGGTCGGCCAGGGATGATGAGTGGCAATGGAGAGCCGTGATTGCCTGAGGCAGAGAACGCGGGATGCTGGTGCCCCTCCAAGGAGTGAGTGACTCAATGCTATTGACAATTCTCTCTCTCTCTGTCTCTCTCTCTCGCTCCCTCGCCCTCGAACCCCACCCCACTTCGCGCCAACCCAACCTGGCTGGATCCTGCATACAATTGCATTTCCGCTTCTATCGTCATACAAACTTTGTGACCATCGTGTTCATATCATTCTGTGTCACTCTCAGCAGTTCATCTCCTTGTGTATCGTGTATTGCACACTTGGGGGTTAAATGCAACCTCCTCGGTTGGCGCTTTTCTCAATGGCATCTTTCTTTGGAATCTGATGGAACCTTTCATGATTTCACGAAAGGGCAGAGCGGAGCCATTCCTCTAATTGAACATAGGCGGTATTCTCCAATTGCGTTCAAAGCCATATCGTGGGATTTTTCGCAGCTGCGCTCGGCTTAAAGAAATCTGTATAATTAATTTGCTCTCTCTCAGAGCCTATATAAAATCCAGTTTTGCTACTGAGTGAGGAATCTGCTTCTCCGCTTCTCATAGCATTCTTGCTAACCGGACACAGGATATTCACGGCAGTCGTTTTGTTTATACTTGTTAAACTTATCGTTCAGTCAATTGGTCACTGGTTGGCCAACTATACCCATTCCACCTTGATTCGGCGTGGCATCGGAGCGGCTATTTCCCGTCTTTTGTTGAATTTCTGTCATCATGTCGATGTTTAGAAAACCCTCGGAAATCTCATCGTCTTCTAGTTCAGATGAGGAGGTCCAAGAGCTTCATATCTCGGGCCCTCGTCCTGAGGTCCGCTCTAAGCAGCGACATCAGCCGAAGAAGAAGGGCGTTTTGTCGCCTACGTCAGTAGGAGACAGCACTGATGTTGATGGTCATGGAAAGATGATGACCGCTGCTCTTCTCGAGTTCTATTGTCTCACTCGAGCCGCGGATTTACTTAACGCGCAGCCAGGCTCCCACGGGCAGTACACGCGGGATTCTCCCGAGGTTATAGCTCTCGGGCATGATATGTACACTCATCAGTCGGAAGTCCTCTCCCAGCATGGAATTGTGAACGAAGGTGCAGAGAAGGAAGCCTTAAGGCCCACAAGACAGCTCTATCGAGATACGCTGGATTTGATTGCTAGCCGTTCCTTTAACCGCCTCGACTTGCACGATCGTCAACCTAGATCAGCCTCTGTTGGGGCCCGGGCCCCTTTGCCGAAGACCTCTAGTGAATTGACACTCCATAAAGGTGGTTCGGACTACACGCAACTCAGACAAAAGGCCAACTCTCTTGGTTCAATGCAGAAGCCTAACATTGACCACCTATTCAGCCCGCATCTGGCTCCTTTTCTGGGTACGGAATCCCGCTCGTCTCTTTACGACGATCTTACTAACTCGTGTTGTGAAGAGATATCGCGCTACGCGTTACAGTTCACTGAGATCAGTGTTCTAGGTCGGGGCGCCTTCGGGGAGGTCTACCACGTGAAAAACCATGTCGATGAACACGACTATGCGATCAAGAAGATACCCATCAGTCGGCGACGACTCGCGCAACTAGAAGGCGGAAACAAGCACCATTTGGGAGAAATCCTGAAAGAGATCCGGACACTTGCCAAGCTCGACCATGCCAATATCGTCCGGTATTATGGCGCTTGGGCAGAAAAGGTAAAACCCCTTGAATACCTTGGTCTTCGCAAACTCGACCTTTCCCTGTTCAATGCGTCGACTGATACTGACTCGGATTCCACGCAACAGAACCTGTCACACCATTCTATGTCGCCGCAGATGTCGACGGCGGAGGGCCAGAACAAAAAACTGGCGATCGTCTTTGAGGAGTCTGAAACTTCGGCTTCCGGCCAACCGCCGCTTACTTCTACATCGAAGTTCACCTCTAGAGAAAGCACGGACGACGAAGACGACGACATCTCGCCTGGCCCCTCGATCTCCAACAATATCTCTCAGGACCAGCCTAGCTCGCTTCGCAGCGCTGATGAAGATGTCTTCACAGACGGCCTCAGTCACAACCCTTCGAGCATGCAACTTCAACGCACCCGTGGCAGGGGCCTTGAGATTCCTGTGGTGATCTTGCATATCCAGATGTCGATGCATCCGATATCTCTCCACGCATATCTTAACCCGCGACCCAGCACACATGCAGATGACTCGGGGAAGCCACGGCGTCGCCACTGCTTTCACTTGGTTCCCTCCTTGCAACTGATGGTGGACATTCTTTCCGGTGTGCTTTACCTGCATTCAAAGGACATCATCCACCGCGACCTCAAACCGGCCAACATCTTCCTCTCTTGTCCGGAGAAACACCACACCCACACTGGTTGTCATCCCTGTCAATCCGACGGCGGGCCAGGACTTCATTACTGCCAGCCCCGCATCGGCGACTTCGGCCTCGTGGCTGACATCTCGCATCTGAACGATCCTTCATCTGACGGCTCGCCTCAGTCCTCAGAGCACGGCTCGAAAATTCACCACATCGTTGGTACAGAATTCTATCGTCCACCTCTCGACTCGAGCGGGATGATCTCCAGCGGGTATGTTCACCAATACGCCCAGGAGGTAGGGATGGAGCAGCCCATGCGATATGTCTGCGACTGGTCGCTTGACGTTTATTCCTTGGGTATCATTCTTTTCGAGCTGCTCTATCCTCTCAACACGAAGATGGAGCGCCATCTCGTGCTGGATGATCTGACCAGGGGCCCGTACAAGAAGCCGCCGACCGCATCCATCAACGGAGCATGCCTGCCCAGAGACTTCATGGACAAGGTTCACATGGGCGATGTGAAGTTGAAAAATGGAAAAACGGTGGCTGAAGCCTTGGCGAGCTGCATTGGAGGTATGCTGGATCCCAACCCTCGGCAACGCTGGCGGTGTGAGGTCATCCAGAAGTGCCTGCGAGAGATCCTTGCCACTGTGCACCCGGAGTCGTATTGATGTGGTATCTCTTATGCTGCAATCGATTCGACGCATACGCACAGGTCCATCGATCGGTTTAGAGTAAGTATACCCTGCATTTAGCGCATAGCGTTGAACATTCTCCTTAAATAGCATCTACTATTAACTATTCTACTATAATCTCTGTCATATAACCACATACCAACTTCTTCGAATATATACACCCAATGACAGCAAAACCTCAGATTTCTATATTCTGTTCCTATCGAACATCTAACCATAGTTACACGCACATGTAAAACAAATATGCTCACCAAACAAGACAAATATAGCATGAATTGAATAATCAGCTGTCCAACCCAGCGTTATCGCTTCTCAAGCTCCGCCCGAAGCGCATCAACCCACGCCAACTTCCCTTCCGCGAAGATCTCCCCGGCGGGGGGCATACGCGCGCCGTTGTCGAGCAAGATGGTTCGGATGATGATCCGGTCTCCCATGACGGCCTGATGATGGTAGATGTGGGAGGTGCAATTGGGGCAGAAGTAGCAGTGGACGGGGTTTCCGGAGGCTCCGGTGTAGGTATACGTGCTGGGTTTTCCGGAGAGAATTTGCAGTTGATTCTGTTGTCGCCATCATCACCGTCGTCCTAGAGATTAGCTTTGTCTTCACTTGCGCCGTTGTATATAGTAGTATGCTTTTGCACGCGCGTGTGCGCTGTGGGGTGATAGGTAACGGAAACACACCTTGTGGATGATCTGATTCATGGAATAAGGCCCACCCCCGAGTTTACGACACGTCTCGCAGTGGCAGAGGATGTGTTCCGGCTCGGTTATCTCGGCCGTCCAGGAGCAGTCACCGCAATGGCAGCTCCCGTGGAACGTGCCGGCTCCGACGGTGGGCTTCTTCGCTGGGGGCCCGAAGAGGACGCCGTCTCGGATGTCTTTGCATTTGGCCAGTTTAGATACATTGGCGAAATTGATGGGGGTTGGTTGCCGGGCTTACCGATAACGACTGAATCTTCTCTGCAGACATTCGTCAGTCACACCATATCCAAAGCATGTCGACATGCCCAAAACATACATCAAAGGCGCCGCCTTCCTCGAAAATTCCAGATGCACCGGATCCTCGGTCAGATAGTAGTCGAGGTCGGCCTGATTCTCGAACTCCAGGACGAACCCATGTGTCATGCCTTTGCTGAACGGTTCCCAGCTGCGATTCTTGCCTTGAACGGTTTTTCGCAAACTATAGCTTTAGCATTTCCCCGCCGCAGACGTCTGGATATTGGCCAAAAAAAAAACACACCACGCACCTGCTTTCATACTCTTCATGTAAGGCCGCCCGGTGTCCGGCTTCTTGCACTTGTCCTTCAGCGCGAGAAAGACGGCGAAGTGCTCTTCGAACTCGCTCCATGTTATGGAGGGTTTGTACTTGAAGAGGACGATGTGGGTGATCGCTTCCGTCATGGCGGTCTCGGGTTGGGGGTTGGTTGGGCAAGCTATGGAAGAAGACAATTGAGGACCCGGGGTGACAGAGCCATTTCCCCAGGGGAGCTTATTTATACCATCGAGCTGGGATCGAAGCTGCTTTTTTCTGTTTTTTTGTGTTGCATTGCGTGCTTTTGAAGTGTAAGATGTGTGCAGTGGGATAGTAAGAATGGCCGGCCGTAGAGCGCGGGGAGAATTACTTTGTTGGGTCCCGGGGGAGTTGCTTTCCCCGCGCGGGTGCCGAGTTGGGGAATTTGGGGTAAGAGCGGGCTTCTTGGGGCGGGTGGGCGAGATGCGGAGGAGCTCTCCTTGCATTACTTCGTGCTTAGAGATGGGAAAGTATTTGTTGCGGAGTGTCGATCCCACGGCATTGTCACCGGGTAAGTTTATTTTTGTTCATGAAAAGCTTGGGATGTTTAATGGCTAATAATTCAATTAGTTCAAATCCTTTGAGCGATTACGAGATGGGGCACCAACTACTCATCACTTGGTCTTCTGGTGATTCGGAAAACAAGGAGCCTGGAATGAGAATTGTCCGATATCTCTTCATTTCACCCTGGCTGCGACAGAGAAGCGAATGGCAATGCAGAATATAACAACGGACACTGGAGCAACACGGAGACACGGCGGACAGCAAGGGGAGAACATATACATGTGTGCCTGTTGGAACAAGCTGGCAGAAGATCAACATGCTTTGTGACTGAAAAAGCAAACTATATTTCAGTTGAGAGCTATTGGGCCTCGTTGCAAGAGGACTCGAGATGGTTGGATGGCTTGGTACGCTCCAGGAGGTCACCGCGCGACTCAAATTACTCGGAAAATATCAGAATGATCTTCCAAATCTGAAAGGTGTTTCATACGCGCCATGGCTACTTTTCGCAACGATTGAACGTCCAGAGGTGTGAGTACCTCGCAGCAGATGAAGTTCTAGGTATGTTCTTCGCCGTTTGTAGACGCCTGTCCCGAAGCCGCATCGCCATAATGGAGACTTCGATTTCCTTACTTCCGGTCCTCGAGCTTGAATTCTGTGGCTTGTCTCATCTGTCACTTTATACACTAGAAGATATGCAGGCCAGTAATCGTGCTTGACTGTCCCGTGCAGAAATGAGAAGTCAAGGTCATGGACAAGAGAAGGCAGGCAGCTATGAAGATAGGAATAGCCTGATTTCACTTGTAGCCGTAGCCAGCTGCGAGAGTGACCTAGAGCCTACTACAGCTGCCTGGTCTTTGCAGACAAGACTTGTTGCCGGAGCTACTTTGTTTGGTAGGTTAGGTGTCTCCTTTCAAACGGAGTGCCAATGACTGAGCAAACATCTAAGTCTCCTTTCCCCCATTCACACCAAAAGAAGCAGTGGCAAGAGTAACACAGATAGAGCGGTCATGTAAGATGTCAACCTGATTCTAATTTTGTTCCAGACAGTGGAATTGTGTGTTCAGGAAAAGAACTTCTCTCTGCCATCCACCCATATATGAGATCACGTGCCATCATACAGCATCACGTGCTTCAGCAGGAAGCAGTGGGTGACGTCACCACCGGCAGCGATGGGTAATCTCAATACCAAAGTTACCGGTATGTTGCCCCAGACACAATCCAGCTAAAATCACCTCGACCGCCAAAACCTCAGCCACTGGATGGTCGTGGCTTTTGGAAGGACTGTCATGGCCTCTTGAGATTGCACGCCTCTGATTTTCTGGAACGGGCTTCCATGAACTTCAGCTGTCATCATGGAGAGCCTTGATGGGATTTCCATCCCCCGCGATGGGGCCGAAGATCGCAGTGTTGGTCGTCTTGATGGCGGCCGTTCTTCCAGAGCATCTCGGGATGGTAGCAGCTCTCCAGACTCTCCGACTGACTTCAATTTTCCTTATGCAGACACCTCCTTTACCTCTGGCTCGAGCAGCAGGCTGGCTGGCGACCAGCCCGAGTCCGCGTTGCGGAGCCTTCTCGACATCGAAGACGATCGGAAGTCCCCCCGCGCGGCCTCACCGTTCCCCTCGCTGCCCTTCAGCGCCCCATCGGCTCCCACAGCCCCTATGAGCGAGGAGGGCGAGGAAGCTGAAGATGAAGAGCCGCAGGTTGCAACCTCCTTCGAGCGGGACTCGACGCCCACGTCGGCACAAAAGCAGCGATCTGCGTTCTTCGACACGGGCGGCGAAGAGGGGATCAACCGCATGCACAAATTCTCGCTCTACGAGACAGCCACCCGCTTCTACATGGTCGGCATGGACTTGTCAGACACCCGCTTCCGGATCATGAAGATCGATCGGACCTCTGAGTCGGGCGAGCTGATCATCTCCGAGGATGACATCGTGTACAGCAAGCGGGAGATGAGCCAGCTGTTGGATACCATCGACGACGGCAATAAGAGCTCGGGCGGACTAAAGCTTAAATGCAGCGCCTGGGCTATGCTGGGATTCATTCGCTTCACGGATGCTTATTACATGCTCCTAGTGACGAAAAGAAGCCAGGTTGCCATGCTCGGCGGGCACTACGTCTATCAGATTGATGGAACTGAGTTGATCTCGTTGACGACGTCCAGCTCATCTCGCCTGCGACCGGAGAAGAATCCTGAGGAGGCAAGGTACATTGCGATCCTGAATAACCTTGACTTGACCCGGTCGTTCTACTTCAGTTACTCTTACGACATTACCCATACTTTGCAGCGCAATATCTGCCGGGAGCGCAAAGCTCATCATGAGGGACAGCCCAAGACATTCCAGCAGGATTACAATCCCATGTTTATCTGGAATCACCATCTTCTCACCCCGGCTCTTACCAAGTTACGCAACCCTTGGGAGTGGTGTCTTCCGATCATCCATGGCTATGTCGAACAGGCCAAACTTTCAATTTATGGGCGGATTGTGTACATAACTATTATTGCCCGTCGTTCTCGGTTCTTTGCTGGCGCTCGTTTTCTGAAAAGAGGAGCGAATGACCTGGGATATGTGGCCAATGACGTCGAAACTGAGCAAATTGTCTCTGATATGGCGGCTACGTCGTTCCATGCGCCTGGTCCGCTGCTCTACGCTAATCCGCTCTATACGTCATACGTCCAGCATCGTGGCAGTATCCCGCTCTATTGGACTCAGGAGAACTCCGGTGTTTCACCCAAGCCAGACATTGAGCTGAATCTGGTTGACCCGTTCTACTCTGCTGCGGCCTTGCATTTCGACAATCTGTTTGAAAGATACGGTGCCCCAGTCTACGCATTGAACTTGATCAAAGCTCGAGAACGGACCCCACGCGAGTCGAAACTTCTCAAGGAATACACCAATGCCATTCAGTATCTCAATCAGTTCCTTCCTGAGGATAAGAAGATCATTTATCAACCTTGGGACATGAGTCGCGCTGCGAAAAGTCGCGATCAAGATGTTATCGGGACACTCGAGGATATTGCCGGGGACATTATCCCAAAGACTGGATTCTTCCAGAATGGTGTCGATGCCGAGTCTGGGCTTCAACTGCAGAACGGAGTAGCGAGGACCAACTGTATCGACTGCCTTGATCGTACGAATGCCGCTCAGTTTGTGATCGGAAAACGCGCGCTGGGCCATCAGCTCCACGCTTTGGGAATCATCGACGGAACAACAGTGGAGTACGATTCGGACGCTGTCAATCTGTTCACTGATATGTGGCACGATCACGGTGACACCATCGCGATTCAATACGGAGGCTCTCATCTGGTCAACACCATGGCAACCTACCGCAAGATTAATCAGTGGAGCAGTCACTCGCGAGACATGGTCGAGAGTTTCAAGCGTTACTACAACAATTCCTTCCTTGATGCTCAACGCCAGGAAGCATACAATCTCTTCCTTGGCAATTATATCTTCTCCCAGGGACAGCCAATGTTGTGGGACCTGTCCACCGACTATTACTTGCATCATGCCAATCCAAGGTCATGGGCAAACAAAAAGCGTCCTCACTATATCAACTGGTACAATCCGGACAACTTGAAGAAGTTTGAATTGCCGCCCCCTCCTAAGCCGCTCAAGGAACCGTTGTCGCACTATGATGACTATTGGCTCGAGTACTATCGCCCGCTAGCAGTGTCATCATTCTCCAAGGTGTTTTCCTACAAGATGAACTCCACCCTCCGGTACCTGCCTTTCCGCCCTGGATCCGGTGCTCCCTACGACATCAGCCCGTTCGTGACCAGAATTCCACATGAACCGGTGAACCGTGAACGTCAGACCCACCGAACAGTCAAAATTCAGGAACCTGACAAGACGGCAATCGGTCGTTCCAACTCCACAACCTCGCAATCCAACCGGCGTTGGTTGAACCAACCCCTTTCTGCGGACAAACAGCTTCCGGCCGCAGGAATCATGAAACAACCCACATACACGTCTTTCGGAACGCCTTCACAAACTACCGCTTCCCTCCAGTCCTCCCTGGAGCCCGGCGCCGCGCCCAGCAAAGCGCAAATCGCTCAATGGACCCTGGGCCAGCTCGTGCACGACTCCTTAAACCCCACCGTCACCGCCGCGGAGGCCGAAGAGTACGAACGCTACATCAACCATCCCCTGAAAGTGCCCCTCGTAGTCACGTCGGAGAACGAACTGACCGCGACCTCGATCCGCGAAAACGAAGCCAACCTCGACTACATCGAGTATGCCAACAAATGCAATGTCGAGGAAGCCACCCTCGAGGCCAACGCGCTCGAGAACCTGGCGGATTATGTCGAATACCTCAACGTTCCCGAGACCGGGCTGACCGTCGTCGCGGAGGACTACGACAAAAAGCGATACAAGCGCTACCGGCAGTGGTTGCGGGGCAAGAGTCTTTTCAAGCAGCGTGTTGATTCTTAGGATTGATGCTCATCGTGCCTAGGAGGGATGGAAGCATGTTTCATGGAAAAGTATGTTTAGAGAACTTTTTGTCTTCTGATTCATTGATCTTCATCCCGCTTTCTTCAAACCTTCCACCAATTGTGTTGTTTCACCAAATGCCCTTGTCATGACATGATACCCCCTTTGCCGCGTGCGTGCCCACTTCCTGATGTTTTCTGCTACCCTCATATCTTGTGGTCTTTTTTCCCCCGTTGTGATTTACTTTTTCCGTCGGGGTTGAGGAAAAATTAGAGTTTCAGATAGTGTTGTAACTACTCAGTACCTATTGTGACTATTTCTCAAAGATGGCTGTACTTAAGATCAGCGTAAATTTGAGGCATCACTTCAAGTAGCTCAATCTCTCTGGCAAAACTCGGATCACATCGCCCTGACCCTAATCTCGGGACTTTCAATTTGAAATCATAAGCAAACGACAAAGTGCCTCGCTCATACTGACAGCCGAAGGGGGATGAGTCGATACGACGCAAGATTTGACTGAATCATTCTTCTCCTTCCGCCTGCCCAAAATACCTCCCATCTGACGGATCCACTTCCGCGAGGAGCAGCCCACGCAGCTCTTCCTCCGCCGCAACGAGCTCCTCCAGCTCCTTACCAAAGTCACCAGCCGCGAGGGCCTCCTGCTCCGGCGTGTCCGGCCGCAGGGGCTTTTCCAATGCCAACCGCAGCAGAGCGACGACGCCCTGCAGCTCGTTCTTCAGCCTCCCCAAAATCCTCAACCGTCCATCATTCTCGGGAGCATGACTCCGGGAATTGTTCAACCTCCTGGTGGTCGACCCCCCGGCGGCGGCGGCGCGGATCTCCCGCTCCTCGTCGACGACATTCAACCAGCATGGGCAAACCCCGCCCAGGATCTCGGTCCGCCAGCGCCAGACGCGCGGGTGGGCGTTCAGGATCACGGCGCGGGTGACGCCCAGCGCCGCGAAGAGGAGGGGCGGGTGCGCGGTCCCGAACGGGTTGGTGAGGGTGCTGTAGATCAGGGGGATGGTCTCCTGCATGTATTTTGTGGTTTCGATGCCGAGGGCGGTGGTCGTTCGTTGGATCTCGGTGAGGAGGAGCGTGGAGAGCCTTGGGTGGGGGAAGGAGGTCAGTGCGGAGGAAGCGGAGGGGGAGGTGATCGGGTTCGTGGAGCTGATGTGGTGGAAGGAGGTGATCAGGTTGTCGCGGAGGGTTTTGGCTAGGCCCGCGGTGAATTCGGGTTTATTGCTGCTGCTGCTGCTGCTGCTGCTGCTGCTGCTGCCGGTGGCGTAGCTGGTTTCGAGGAGCGCGTGCAGGGCCGGGTAGGCGGTGCTCAACAGGCGAAGGGAGTCGTCTTCCGGGGTGATAGTCGGCAGGGAGAGTAGGCATGGCCGGAGGGCGTCCTCGAAGACGGAGCTGAGGTTCGTGCGCCGCAGGATGTCCGATTGGGCGGAGCGGATGGGTTGCAGGAGTTCTCTGAGGAGGGTGCAGCCGCGGATCTTGGGGGTCAGGGTCTCGTCGTCGATGAGCGCGAGGATTGGCGGGATGAGTTGCGAGAATTGTCGTTCTAGTTGGGTGATCGATGTGGACTTTGCGGGAACAGTCTAGGGGTTAGTGATTTTGGTTTTCGGTTTTGGCTTCAATTTCAGGTGTCAAGGGAGACAAACGTCATATTGAGCGAGTGCCCAGCTAAAGACTGTGGTCGAGTAAACGGCAAACGCCTTCCAGGGCTTCGCTTCTGGGTCCAGAGTGGTGAGGTCGAATCGGGCCAGGGGCACAGGGTGGAAGTTCTTGCGGCCCTCTGCTGTAATGGCTGGGTTCCTCGTCTTGGTGAAGAGAGGTCGGATCCTCTCCTTCAGGACCGTCTCGAGATGCGTCCACAGAGTGCCATCGGAGCGCGTGGTGGCGCTGAACCCCCGAAGGATGTCAATTGAGATCCGGTGCGCTTTTTCGGTGGACCAGGGATCGGCTTCCGAAGTGAAGCTAGCAAGCGCAACGAGAATGTTAGGGATGTTGGCCGCTTTGCCAATGGGGTGCACTTTGTTCAGTCCGGAGATGACGGTGATAGCTTGCGTCAGCTTTTGCTTCTCTTCAGCAATGGCGGCAAGCTTGCGTTCTGGAGGAATGGTTAGCAGCGTGTTATTTCAAGAGAACCGGGCCGATCTTACCACTGGCCTCTTCGATTGTCTCCGCGAAGATGGACGAAGGGAGGGCAGCGTTGCTTGCCCAGTCATAGATGTAATCTGCCGCCTCTACATCGGCTTCAAGCACCGTCTCAGAAGCCCAATTGTGCAGGACTGCTTGGGCCACCAGTAGGTTCTCACGAAGCTGAAGGGTATTTGTCAGCAATGACTATTGTATGTGCTAAGCTGGGTCGCTTACTTTGGCCGGGTCCGATTCAGCTTGAGACAAGCAATCCTGCCATAGGTGATTCAAGCCTCCCGTGGTGGTATAGCGGGCAGTCGCAGCCTCTGGGAGTTGAAGATCACCTCGCGGGAGGGATTCGCATGCTGCTGCGCGGAGTTCTTCCATCTATCCGTGCACTTGGCAGGCAATCCAGCGCTCTTGCCCTAAAGGAGATTACGATGAGTTGTGAATTGTTATTGAAGGCTTTACTAGAAGTTCAAGAGGCGGGAGAAGGTTCAGGTGACACAGAGGTCCAGAATCCGAGAATTTGAGGAGAAAGTTGGACTGCGATCCCATGGTTTGTATGACGGCAGTTTATGCAGCGAGCGGTCAGTTGGCGGATTTCGCCCAAGCCGTCAGTCACGCTGCAACTCCATCACTACAGTTACTTGAGACCACCAAAAATTGTTCAGCTACGCGCTCGCTAACTTCTATTCATAGATTTTGACTCTATCAGACCCCAAGCTCTTGTCTTTTATCAGCTAAGACTTTCAGGACTTCCTCTTGATCGGTTGACTCGGGATGCACTAGCTGCCATTCAACCACCATCTGCAATGCCTTGGCCAGCCATGGTCCCTTCTTACCACCCATGGTCTTCATGACTTGATCACCATTAACAAGCGGTTTCAGATCGTATACATCTTGCAGGCCTTGTTCCTTGATGTACCCGATAAACCGGGCATACTCTACGACCACTAATGTACAACATAAGTCAGCTGTCCGTACGGGTTGTGCGAAAAGAATGGGCTTGAGATTCTCACCTAGGTCATACTGGCGTCCGCTCACGACCTCCTGAAGTATGGCCTGAACAATGCACAGCCTCCAGTCCTTTTTCCAAGAACGAATGTGCAACCCAACGTGCCTGCGAACTTCCATTGCCGTTCCACTCACAGCACCTTCCAAGATTGAGTTCTTCACCTCAATAATCGACTGCCAGCTTGCTGCTGCATCTCCCACAACAGATATTACTTTGTTGTCAGCTCGCAAGCTTTCTTTGGCAACCTCTGCAGCCCGAGGCGGTGGTGGCCGCCCTTTGCCTTTGGGGGGGCGCCCTGGGACCTTCGACCACGGAGCCATTGCTGAGAGCATCCAGGCGTAGAACTCCTCTTGCTTGTCGCGAATGAGAAAGTTTCGAACTTGTTCCACTGTCTGTCGAGGGTCGACATCAGTAGGCCGTATCAGTCTCTCTACTGTGTTGTAGGCGAAAGGCCAGGACGAAGTCTCAACAGTGGCCTCATCCTGGAAATTAGCGAAGATAGTCGGATAAAGACCTAGGCGATCTATGATATGTAGGGCACCGCGAGGATCAGGACCTAAAAATAATCAGCATAATACTTAGCGTAAGTTGAAAGCATATTCGCTAACCATAAATCATCTTTTCAAGTTCCTTCAGGACTCGCTCACGGCTGATTTTAAGCTTAAGCGCCTCGCCTATATGGGCGTTCTGCATTGCCGCCTCAGTTTCAGGGTGTATCAGGTATCCCAGGCGGCTCGCGAAACGGATTAGTCGTAGCACACGCAATGGGTCATCCTGGAATGTTTGATATGGCTCCAATGGGGTGCGGATGATCTGGTCCTGCATATCCTGAAGACCGCGTCTGGTCAAATCTTCGACCTTGGACTCGTTGAGATTATAGAAAAGTGCGTTGATGGTGGCGTCCCGGCGCAACGCGTCTTCCTCGGCTGTTCCGAATTCCATCTGAGGGTTCCGGCTATCGGCGGTATATGTCTCTTTCCTCAAGTTGACCAAGTCTACATCGAAGCCGAAAATGTTCGTCGTCACTGTTTCTAGGTGCTTGGATTTCTCCGGATTCGCCTCGATCTTATGCAGACTGACAAGCTCTTTGCCTAGATCGCCGCTCGCATGATCCTTCCGGTATTTGTCCAAGTTGCCAGGGATGTCCATGTATTCTTTCAGCAAGAGCCCAAACTGATATCCAGTCATGTTGTTGATGCCAACATCGATATCTTGGCTGTCCACTCCGAGCAACTTGTCGCGCACCCATCCTCCAGTGAATCGCAAGACAGTGCCGGAGGGGTTCGCATCATGAGAACCTTCTGCGCACCTTCGTTCATGTATATACTGTGCAACATCAAGTAGGAGGGTTTTGAGGGTATTCTCGAGAGGCGTCAACTGGATTTCAGGGAGAGTATCGGTGGATTCGCTCATGGTGTTCTCGCGCGGGGCAGCCACAGACAGGCGCCGTCTTTTTTCCGGTCGGTGAGAAGGGCTGCGGGATTTGGGACGTCTCATGAACGATATGGAAAGAGCAGCTCTGTGCTTGTGCAGGTGTTGCCGAGAATATGAGTTGGGGGTAGAGGATTGAGGATGGAGGCGTGTTAGAGGGGTAGAATGGACAGCGCTATAAGTTCGTGAAGAAAGAATGACGGCGGGGCGGAATCCAGGGAACTTGACCAGGGCACGGGGGAGGAGAGTCGCACGCATTGACATATGCCATGACAACCGTGACTCAGAGGCGGTTCATCAGGGAAGTATGACAGAACATTGACTGTGCTGCTCTTCGAAAGAGAGAAGTCCATTCCAAGAATAGAGCATGACTGCAGCGACGGAGCAACAGTACAACCGGCAGATTCATGCGGGCTGCCTGCACCGCCTGCCTCTTCAGAATCATTCTCCATCGGTACGGTGAGGTCACAGAGAGTCGGTTTGTTGTTATTGGCTTGTTGACTTTAAGGTGATTGACAATCTAATGTGTATCGACTAAATGAATCTTTGAGCCTAGTCTGAAATTCTGCCGAGTCGATGATTGTCCGTGGCTGACAGGAGGTCTCACGTGCATGGTCCGATTTACCTCTACTGTTCTCCCCCGTTGCGGCCGCGGTGAAGTGGCTTCATTCATTCCAGCACCGTCTTCTTTTCTCTTCATCCTCCTTCCCTCTTTCTCCATTCCACATCTTCCAGGCTGACAGCTGACTCTACTCCTCGCGCACTTCTTTATTGACCTTCTAATCTTTCTGACCCCGTCTTCCCAGTCGATGGGCTCTAGATTTTTTTCAACCTCTTTTAGTGTCGCGTCGCAACTTACTCGGAGTCCATGACATCGCCCGGAGATGCTGCTCCGGTCAAGCCTCCGCCGTCGTTCTCGCCCGGCGTTCCGCGTGTCGCTTCCAAGACGAGGTATCCAAACCAGCGCCGCGACTCTTCTCCGTCTCTAGATGCAGATCTTGCTGAGTCCAGGGTCGCATCCCCGACCCCGCCTCTTTCCGCCACGACGTCAGAATTGCCAATTCGATCAGCATCACCGCGGACACCGTCCTTTCGATCGTCAACACCCCAATTGGCCCGGTCATCCCTCGGCTCTCCAGTAGAAGGACGGTTTGAAGGCTCCGAGGAGATACGCTCGCTGATCATACGCTCGTTCTCTCCGGTAGTCGGAGTCTATGCATCAGCGGACACCGATGAATTAGTAAGGCAAAAGGGGTTTGCGGGCGGGTTTTGGCAGTTAATCCGGCCATTTGGCGAGAATATCCCAGGAAAGCTTGTCATTCGGGATAGTGTTGGAGCGAGTCGGAGCTGGGAGGATTATGGAGTGCGCTTTGTCGATCTTGGAAACAATAATCAAAGTCCCCCTGAGTCAAGTGGAGGGCGGAGCTCCCCTTTAGCACACGTGGAGGAGGTCTTGGAGAAGCAACTGGGCTCATTGGACGATCCGCTGGGCGGGTCTCTATACCCCAAGGACTTTCTCGGTTTCCCCAGCACATCACCATTATACAAACTATACCTTCGACAGCTTTTATCCATAGCATCGGCGACACCCCACGAGACTTTTCGACATCCAGTGGCCTGTGTTATCGCCATCAGCTCGCGCAATATTGCCCCTCTGGAGACTCTAAGACGACTCTATGCAGACACCAACAATGGAGACAAACGGGTGCCTGACTGGATCCATCCTGAGTATCTTCGGTACTACGTCTTAGTGCATGATGAGGATCGCGACGACATCACAGAGTCTACGAAGCTATACGATCAAATGAAACGCCATTTCGGGCTTCATTGTCACCTGCTGAGATTGCGCAGCAATCAATGTGTGGTTACAGATGATGACAGTGTTCAAGTACCTGAGTGCGAATGGCTTTCGCCATCGGAGCGGTTGCATGGCTGGGCAGGTGAGACAGGTCGCTTGGACTGATTGTGCGTTAAGTGCTAATAAATACCAGAGCCCTTAGTAGACCTTGATACGGGTGGGCTTCCGCACGTCTTTGAGTCGGATATGATGGCGATCAGGGCATTCGTTCGGGAATTAGTTGCGCAATCAGTCGTGCCGTACATGGAAAACCGAGTGGCGGTATGGAATGATCAAGTAGCCTCTCGCAGACGTGGTATCAGCGGAAGATTCATGTCCATGTCACGCCGTTGGGCAGGCTTCGGATCCGGCTCTCGATCCAGTCTGACCTCTGGTGGAGCCAGTGGCAATTATGATACGGCTCATGGCTACTACAGATTTGACGCGCCCGAGGCTGTCCTGCGTAAGATGGCTGACTTTGCATTTATGCTTCGTGATTGGAAGCTTTCCGCATCGACGTACGAACTTTTGCGGTCCGATTACGCGAACGACAAGGCTTGGAAATATCACGCGGGTGCCTATGAGATGTCGGCTGTGAGCATGCTCTTGAGTCCATCTTCCATGAGTACCAAAGTCAAGATCGAGGCGATTGATCAGATGCTCGAAACGGCCTCTTATTCGTACTTAACTCGATGCTCGGATGCGCCTAACACTCTACGATGTCTGACTCTCGCGATGGAGTTGCTTAAATCACGGGGTGGCTCGGCGGTAGAGAGCGCGGCTAGATGGGCCATGCGGGTCATGGACCAGGGTCTCGCCGGCTCTATCGGTCAAGGCCTCTTCAGTGAACGAATCTCGGCCTGTTATGCGGCCCGCAATGCCGTGCCTGGCATGAAATGGGGGTCTCGTCGTCGCAAGGCCGGGATGTGGAGCGTTTTTGCTGCAGATCTGTGGCTTCGACTGGGAAAACCTGCCCTAGCCTCGGCAGCCTTGGAGGAGGCGGAGCGCTTGTATGCGGACGTGCTGCAGGGGGATGGGGCGTTTTCAATGCCGGAGATGCAAACTTTTATCGACAACCTTAGGCATGCCGTGAAGGTTGAGTATCTCGAGGCTCGAGGCCTGGATACTAGGGACGAGACAGCCACCGCAGCAGCTCTGGGAACCGAAGAGACGAGCGAGCAGCTGGATCGACGGAAGAATAGGAAGTCCCTAATTGTGAATCCTCTGGACTCCGGACTTAGCCCGACACAGGGTATGAGGGATAATGACAATGCAGCCGATGATGACTTTGAACGAGCTTAGGGACGGAATGAAAAGGCCGGATAGGCGCATGGAAGGTTATACATCATTATAGACACTCGTCAAATCTAATGCTTCGTATATATGTATCACCTGCGTTGTAGTTGCTCTGCTCTTTTACTCTGCCAGTCACTGAGCCATCATCTCATGTAAGCCCGGCATGCAGCAACCAGGGTCTCCCGGGCGTCCGATGACGTCCACGGTGCATTCCCCGAGCGAACCATCACATGACCCGATCTTATCGATAAGATCACCACCCGGACAACCAACGGGCTGGCCCATTTATTGACATCAGATTCCCACCCAAAGGACCGCGGAACAAAGACCAGAGCAGCCGTCAAGCAGGCAGAGCCCTCACAGCACTGCTTACTGCTGACGATTTATGTCATACTTTCTCCCACGAATATCTAATCCTAATCTCCCCATCACCATCTAAATCCACCACATCTCACCCGCGAAGAATCCAACATGAACGACCTCCTCAACTACATCCTCTCGCAGGATCAATTCAGAAAGTGGGTAACCCATCGACTGGACCAGCCAGCCCCTTGTTCCTTGAATCCCAGTCTATCGCACAGCTCACACAAAGTGTCATCTCACTGACCCTTTGTTTCGGTATGACAGAAACCGCCTCCCATCCCTCTACTCCGACTTCCCCATCCACCGCAAGATCAACCCAGAGGGGTACAACACCAACATCGCAGCATGGCAACACGCCCTCGCCAACGCCGCGAAACACGGCTACATCCACTCCACCCCTTCATCCTCGTCCTCCTCCAGCGCGAAGCCCAAGGCCAATCATTTGATCTTGCGGGCGGATGAGACTCTTCTCCGTGATTTGGAGATCCCCGAGTGCGGGCGACCGGTGGCGCTGGGGGCGGTTTTTGTGAGCCTCTCTTTTCGTTTCCCTCATCTGGTTTGGTCAATTTTGGTAACGAAGTCTCTAACACGACCATGGTTTTGGGTCGGTTGTTTTAGGATGAGGCGATCCGGAACCGCACGATGGTGCCGTTGCAGATGTACAAGAATAGTGGGGTGAGCTTGCAGAAGCCCGGTTGGGGGGTCGATACTTCGGCGTTGAGTCCCTGGGTGGTCATGAGCTGGGGGATGAAGCAGTTGAAGGGGGTGGTTTTGGGGTCCGAGGAGGCGACGCCCCGACTGCAGGCGCAGGAGTTGGTGCTGGTGGAGAATCTGAAGGTATGTTCTCAAAGGAAGAGGCGATGCGGTTAGATTGGGTGAGGGGCTGATGATTGCTTTGCTGTGGTTTTGGAACAGGAAGCTGCTGAGAGAGTGGTCAAGAAGGCTACGGGGCAGAATCCGTCCAATACGGACCTGGTTTACTCTAAGGAGAAGTTTGTGGAGGAGTTCGCTTCCATCTTGGATGAGGGGAGCCAGTTGTCCAATGCGGATCTGGATGTGCTTTTGCTGTATCTGTCCCGCGATAGTGGGGCCATCGCGTACGATGGAAAGGTTTGTTTCTTGCATTGGTTTTGTCTATGATCGAGGTGTTTATGGCTAATTATGGTGTAGACTATCAGATTTAGACCTACCAACGACTCGCCGAGGGAGATCACGGAGCAAGATACCGCCGTGGCCTCGATCAAATCGCTCATGGCTACGATGGCCACCCAGGTCGAGAGTCTGGAGAAGAAGATCGACGAGCTGAATATGACTGCGAAGACGGCGCTGCAGAACAAGAATCGCGTCTCTGCGCTTTCGGCTGTACGCTCGAAGAAACTTGCTGAGCACAATCTCAAGCAGAGATTCGATACCCTGATGCAGCTCGAGGAGGTCTATTCGAAGATAGAACAGGCTACGGATCAGGTCGAGTTTGTTAAGGTGATGGAGTCGAGCGCTGGAGCGCTGCGTGGCTTGCATGCACAGATCGGAGGTGCGGCTAGAGTTGAGGATGTAGTGGAGGAGTTGCGTGATGAGATGACAAAGGTGGATGAGGTCGGAAACATCCTGAATGAGGCCGGTCCGCAGATCGACGAGATGGAGATCGATGAGGAGCTTGAGGAGTTGGAGAACAAAGAGCGGGAGGCGAGAGAGGAGAAGGAAGCAGAAGAGACCCGCAACAAACTTGCCGAACTCGACAAGCTCGAGCAGCGTGCCAAAGAAGCCGCGCGCAGTGCAGCAGCAGAGAGGGATCTTGATTCTGAGCTAGAGGAGAGGTTGTCCCGCATGTCGGTCGAAGAAACCCCCAGCGCCACAGCTCAGTGATCAAGGAGAGCAGCCTTTAACCGTCGAGGATTATATATACAGAACATAAGGTTTGGCGACCAGCATCACGGGAGCATTAGTGATGCATTTCAGTCAATCCGCCATTGAATGACTCTGGTGGCAGTGGAGTCTCGGGCGCTACAGCACCTGACATACTGGCATCTACAGGGACACTGTCGGGAGGATCTGTGGTGTCCGCTGGCAACGAGGCATCTGTCAGCTCTGAAGCAGGTGTGTTCTGCATTGTACTCGACGCAGCGGATTCTTGTGGTGTTGTCGTACGCGCCGCCGCGCGACTCTTTTGCCGAGCATTGGCAATGAGTTTCTTGAAGTCGTCTTCATGGCTTGATGACCAAGCAGCTTTATCGAAATCCTTGCGCATGATTGATCCAGGAGCCTCGGACGATGAAGAAGATTGGTTGCCTTGAGTTCGTTCCCAGATGTCGAGTTCACGCAACAAGATTCCATGAGGCTTAGGCGACTTGGAGTCGCAATTAGCGTTCCACAGATTCACCCATTCGGTATGGCGTCTTTGCAGCAGTGGCCGTGGGCCTGTATTGGGGATGCCCAGATCTTTGAGCTTTTTCCGAAGCATACTCTCCTTATATAGAGAATAATTAATGGTTGGAAGTCTCTCAAGTGGTTTGTTCTTGGGATTCCTGTATGGAACCGGCGCAGACATCGGCATTTGTAGAGAGCTATAAGAGTCAGAACCGTTTCTGACACACGTAAGCATGAGAGCATACTTACCCGAAGGAAGTCTTGGGGGAAGCTTTGGGTGGTGCAGGTTCTCCGGTGCATTTATCAAGATGTGGGAACACGGCTTCGTTCTTCATCCTCCGCTGACATACAGGACACGCGACAAGTCCATCTGCTGGAAGCCAGCCTTTAGCACACTGCATCGGACAGCTCGTAGGACATGAAAAAAAAAACATACCTGGAACAAACTCCTCATCCTGACTATCGTCGATCACCTCAATCACTTCTGCAGGGGCTTGCTGCGTCGGACCTCCCCCCCTCGCCTGCGAGCGCGTCCGCACCCCCTCCACTGACCTCACCGCAGCAATATCCGTCTCCGTAGAAGTAGTCGCGATCCCGTCTCCGAGCTCCCCCGACACATCTACCTTCCGCTTCTTCGCTGCCGGCCGCGCCAAATCCCCCTCCTCACCATTTTGCTTCTGCGCCGCCGCCGCCGCCTGGGTGGCTAGCTGCAAGACGCTCGGTCTCGCATTCTGAAACGTCTCAACGAGCTCCTGCACCGCCCAATTCTGCCGCAGCTTCAGCTCCTGGTCCGAGCTGCGACACGCGGGACATTTCCCCTCCGTGCTGAGACAGCGGCGGATGCACAACGAGCAGAATGTGTGGCTGCACGAGGTGATGACGGGGTTCTCGAAGAAGTCCTTGCAGACTTGACATCGCAGGGCGGACTCGAGCGGCGCGAGGAGGGACAGTGGCGTGGCCAGCCAGTCGGTCGAGTCGGGGAGGTCAAACGTCTGGTGGGCCATTGGGTGGTTAAAAGGTATCGGCGGTGGACTATTGCGAACGCATTGAGGTTCTGGGGTTTTGTTTGGTGGGTATTTCGGAAGCTGCTCTGAATTTAGGTCCAAATGATAAAGTCAACCAACGCGACTCAAGGCTGGGTGATAGTAGTGCTGGTGAGGGTTAGGGTGAAGTACAATTCCAAGGGCGGAATGGATTGGTGAGATTTTTTGTAGCGCTTTCTTTGTAGGTAAGTAGACTATCAACTTATTGATGGAGGGATGGATTTCGGCGACGGCGGCGGCGGGTGGCGCCAAGACTGCCGCGGAAAAGAAGCTGGCTGACTGATACGCGTAAAGTGGTTTGGGTGGAGAACGCGTCCGTCGTCGGCCGATTTGTCCGCAGCTCACTTTTGTTGACTTCGTGCGAGTGACAAAAGCGAAACGCGATATTCTGACATCATGGCAATCGCGGACTATAAGACCTATCTGGCGGAGAATGTTCTCAATGAGCAGCGCACGGTGAGTCAAACCGGAAAGGAGTCTGTGTTTTGGCCGGGGATTGAGATTGGGATTCTGATTCGATTTCATGTGAATGCTTAGGTCACTTATCGCTCGCTGGGTCGAGCTCTCCGTGTGCATAGCACGTTAGCGAAGCAGTAAGTTCTACTGCGAGCTGTCTTGATACCAGGGAAGCTCGTCTGCTAACGGTGGTTGATTGCAAGAATGCTGTACGACTTTCACCACAATGAGAACAACAAGAAACCCAACAGCGTCAATGCGACGTATATTCTCACGGGAGTTCAGAAGGCGCCCGAGCCAGCAACCTCCGCGAATGGTTTCCAGTCCAGCGCCGATACAGACGATATCCCCCCTAGCAGCCCCTACATAAGCAGCTCGATGCCGAACCAGGATGGCGATGCAGACGAAGTCGCGATCTCCTCGATACTGCTTGTGCGCGAGGAAGATCTGGAGGGTGAGTACTGTCGCAGACTTGTGGGACGAGCATGGCATGGCGCGTGGTCTTGTAAGCTGATAATGGGAGCTAGATGCGAAAGCAACGTTCCAGTCTATCGCCTCGATATATGTCTACAGTTTACAGCCTACTGTGCTGCAGGATCTCAATGTCTTGACGGATGTGGCCCGGGAGACACTGGCCAACCATGCGCAGGAAGACCCGCTGGAGCACGGGTCATCCTGGGGCATGATTCAGAACAAGAACGTCAAGGTTTGTGTCTGTCTTAACTGGTCATTCTCGCCGGTCGCGGTTCTAATGCGCTATATGTGGGGTTGTAGAGGAGAACTGGCGTTCGACCACCGGTACCTGCGCCTGCACCTGCACCCGCCAAATCGACTGCACCAGCGAAGAAGCCCACGGCAAGTGAAGCGCCAAAGCCGCCCAAGACGGAAACCAAAGAGGAGGAACCCAAGTCTCAGCAGTCGCTAAAAAGGGAGGATTCCGTCTCGTCGACTAGGTCGACGGAGAAGACGGCGCCGGTCAAGAAGGAGAAAAGTAGCATATTCAGTTCGTTTGCCAAGGCCAAAGCGAAGCCCAAGAAGGTGGATGAGCCAACTCCCGCTTCTTCTGGCGTTGATACGGTTGGTTCTCTCCCGGTTCCAGATGCGGTTGCGAATGCAGGCTAACAGGCATATTAGGCCGAACCTAGCGCCTCTGAAGATGGTAAGTGTATGAGAAGTTTTCAGAAAATGACGGTGACTAATACTGGGCAGTTGTTCTGGACGACGCATCCGAGGACGAGCCTGACGAACTATTCCCTGACTCGGGCAAGTCTGCTTCTACCAGCACGCGGGAGACTCGGAAAGAGCGGGAGGAGAGGCTCCGGAAGATGATGGAGGATGACGGTATGTTCATCTACTCGGCTTCATTGGCAGCTATTGACTTGTACAGATGAGGAAGAGGATGAAGAAATGCCTGATGCTGCGCCGTCGCCTGAAGAAGAGTCCAATGTCATCGACCAACCACCTCCTAAAGCGGCCGAACCCAAGGAAGAGGCGATTGTCCGCGCAGGCCGTCGACGAGGCAGGCGCCAGGTGATGAAGAAGAAGACGGTCAAGGATGAAGAGGGCTACCTCGGTGAGATCTCCCTCGGTGCACTTTGTTTTCGGAAGACATTCACTGACTATTTGGTCTAGTCACCGTCGAAGAGCCGAGCTGGGAGTCATTTTCGGAGGATGAACCAGCACCGCCGCCCAAGAAGAAGCCGGCCGTAAGTGCGCCCAAGGGGAAAGCCGGGCCTAAAGCTGGTCAGGGCAGCATCATGTCCTTCTTTGCAAAGAAATAGCGAGCCAGTGGTGGAGGCGAGGGCGGAGGCATGATACAAGAACGGAGCTGTGTTCACACTGTACAACGTAGAGATCTCTATCAGACAACTAGATACCGATCTATTGCAGTCATGGAGCGTGTCGAGTCACAAGTCATACGATGCAGACGGTGCAGGTGTAACAATGCAATGCGACGCGACCAAATGACGGCCTCGGCGCCGATCCCTGTTGATCTTCTCCGCATTTCTGGCCCGCATTCCAACTTCCTTCCCCTTGTCACCTCCGTCACGCCCACCAGTCCACTTCTCCATCATGCCTCCTTCTCTTCCCTTCCTTTTACCGTGGTCTTTGTGGATTAATTGTTTATCTCCCACTGTGTCGCACTCCACCGGCTTCCTAAAATACCTAGGCTCGTCATGACACGCTCTTTGGCACTTATCGTCGTTCTAGCAGCCAGTATAGGCGCTACAGGTGCTACAGTTCGCGATGAGCAGGCGATTCTGCGGCGTTCCTGTCCTGACTACCTATCCTATTCCTCTGTCGGACAGTGAGTTGCGACTCTGACCTTCCAACTTTGAAGATTCCAACTAATCACCTGCAGTGCCCCGTACAGCGGCGGTGCCTTGAATCTGCCGTTCCAGCGCCCTTCTGTCGAATGCCGGACCTTCTCGTCACCTGCAGTAGAGACTGTCATTGAAGATGTGACGTCGCGAATGGTCGACAAAGACCTCGCGCAGCTGTTCCGGAATGCCTTTCCCAACACGCTAGACACGACCATCCGCTGGCACGTCAACGGGACCCAGACATCAACGTCAACAGATTCCCCGAAGCGGAAACGAGCTAACAACAACGCACCTCAATGGCAAGGGCTGCAGTCCTTCATAGTCACCGGCGACATCAACGCCGAATGGCTGCGCGACTCGACCAACCAGCTCTCCGGCTATCAGGCCCTGGCCAAGAAGGACCAGGCTCTCTACAACCTCATCCTGGGCGCCATCAACACCCAGGTGGAATACGTCATCCAGTCCCCCTACTGCAATGCCTTCCAGCCGCCCTCGGCAAGTGGCATCCAACCGGCCAGCAGCAGCCAGCAGGACACGGTCACGCCAGCGTACAACACCTCCGTGGTCTTCGAGTGCAAGTACGAGCTCGACTCGCTGGCCAACTTCCTCGCGCTGGGCACCCAGTTCCACGAGCACACGGGGTCGACCGAGTTTCTGACTCCGAGATGGTACCAGGCCCTCGACACCGTGCTGCGGGTCCTCGACGCCCAGTCCCAACCAACCTTCAACGCCGCCCAGCAGTACGTGACGAACGAGTACACCTTCCAGCGCCAGACGACCCTGGGCACCGAGACCCTCAATCTCGCGGGCATCGGCAACCCGCTCAACGGCGGCACGGGGCTCATCCGCAGCGCCTTCCGGCCCAGCGACGACGCCACCATCCTGGGCTTCTTCATCCCGCCGAACGCCATGATGGCCGTGCAGCTGCAGAAAACTGCCGCGGTGCTGCGCCGCCACGCCGCGGCGGCGGGGGACGGGAACAACAACAACAAAAACAACGCAACCCACCTCGATTTCGTCGCGGATGACCTGCAGTCCCGCGGGGAGAAGCTCGCGCAGGCCGTCCGCGAGCACGGCATCGTCCATCACCCGGTGTACGGCGACGTCTACGCCTTCGAGGTGGACGGATACGGCTCGCGCATCCTGATGGACGACGCGAACGTGCCCTCGCTGCTCTCGCTGCCGCTTTTAGGTTTTGTCGACCAGCAGGACCCCGTCTACCAGAACACGCGCAAGATGATCTTGAGTCCCGCCGGAAACCCGTACTATCTGACCGGGTCGGATTTCCATGGTATCGGGGGTCCGCATAGTATGTTCCCCCCCCCCCCCAGTTTCCCGGCTTGGATATCTTCAACCCTCAGAGAAGGAAAGAGGACTAACTGTTTTTTTTTTTTTGTTTTCGTGTAGTCGGTCTACAGAATGCATGGCCCATGTCCCTGCTCGTGCAAGCGATGACATCGGACAACATCACCGAAATCACCGAGTGCGTGAACCTGGTCCGCAACTCGAGTCTGCTGGGTTTGGTCCACGAGTCGATCAACGTGAACAACATCTCCACGTACACGCGGCCGTGGTTCGCGTGGGCAAACTCGGTCTTCGCGCAGACGATCCTCAAGCTCGCCGCCGAGAAGCCCGCTTTGGTGTTTGGGGAGGGGGCCGAGCCGTATGTTATTGAGTAGAGAGTGTGTGTGTGTATGTGTGTGTGTGTGTGTTTGGAGTGTGCGGGCGAGTACTCGGCTCGTGAGACACATGACGCTCGCTGGTGTTGAGTTTGGCCTGCGGCTTTTATGAGCGTGTACATACATCTAACCCCCAATAGCATACCGAGCATTCAGTCAGCTGGATGTCGCTAGGCTGGATTCCGCTTGAGACAAAGCATATACATCGTCCTCTTCTATTAAAGAAAAAAAATTAAGGGGTAAAGTGCTCATAAGTCTACATTAAGCTCATCAATCTTGTAAGTTAGTACATACACAAAAGAATCTGTTCTACACCAAGACCCTCCGCAACCCCTCCGTCCCGCCCAATACCCTCCTTCCAGTAACCGGACATCTCCCCCTCCCACTCTCCCACTTGCCCCTCCGACTACCACCCTTCGCTTTGATCTTCCCCTCCTCACGTTCCGCATCTTCACCACCGGCTTGCTTGGCCTGTTGCGCCTCCAGCGCCGCATCCGCCTCCTCCCACGGCGCCCCGGCCGCGGCCTCCCCGTCCATGAAATCGATCTGTCGCTGATGCTCTCCGTTCAACCAGTGGAACACACACACGTAGCAGAAGACGTAGCCCGTCTGGCAAGCCGTGGGGTTGGTCAGCGTGTTCAAACAGATGGGACATGATTGCGCGGTCTCCGAGTCCGCGGCGGGCAGGGGAACGGTGAAGATGGGGAGGTACGAGGATGCGGAGATGGGGCTGCGACGGTCCTGGGGTTCTTTTGCGTCAAGTTGCGTGTCGCTGGTCGGAGACTTGAGGGCTGATTTCAGCTGCGCGGGGGAAGAGACGGATGATTTCGCGTCGTCGGGGTTCTTCTTGTTCGCGGATCTCCGTTGCGAGGGCGGGGTCATCCCGTTGGCGACGGGGGCGGGCAGATCCAGCACTTCCGTGGCTTTGCGGGCGAGCTGCCGCGAGAAGTCGCTGGCGTGGTACCATTCCAGGAACTTGAGGGCAAAGATCGAGGCCGGGAGGAAGTAGCGGAGGGAGGTGAGGAGTTGGGCGTGCAGGTTCTGCGGGCTGAGGAGGCCCAGGAGGCTGGAGCCGGGGCGGGTGGTGCGGGAGCGAGTGGTGGGTGCGGGTGGAGGGTCGAGGACCGCGGCGATGGCGCGGTGGTCGGCGGAGCTGAGGCGGCGGATGCGGGTGCCGATCAGCCACAGGAACGGGGAGGAGTACTTGGTGTTGTCGAAGAGGTAGGCGAGGTTGAAGGCGAGGATGCTCAGGTAGTAGCCCGCGTTGAGCGAGGGGTAGATGTTCCGCAGGAACCATTTGTAGTAGTGGAAGAGCCGCTGGCGCAGGGTGGGCCGCGACGGGAGCTCGTCGCCGGGGTGGTAGCGCGGGCCGCCGCTCATGATCAGCGAGGCCTGCGGCGCCGCGTGGATGTCGTACCCTTCGTCCAGCTTGCGCTTGAGGTACGGGATGCCCACCATGATGAGGAGGTTCTTCCACACATCCCGCGTGCGGAGTCGGAGGGCATCGCGCACGGGGCCCGGCGCGCCGATCTGGGCGCGCGGGATCTCGCCATTCTTCGTGAGCAGGACCCGTTCGCGCTTCAGCGAGTAGAAGTTCTCTGTGAAGGAGCCGCCGAAGGTGCGGAGGTAGTATCGTTCGACGAGGAGGGAGAGAAGCGCGTAGATCTCATCGTACGAGTTGAGGATGCGGAGGAGGTATCGCGGGTGGCGGTGGGTGGCGACTGCGAGGATGTAGCGGATGGATGGGGGGAGGAGGTCAGAGAGCTGTTGTTCGGCGAGGAGCTCTACAATGCAGCAGCGGATTAGTTGGGCGTGGATTGTGAGATAAGAAGTGGGTTGAGGCTGGCTGTCTCCGTACTTACCGAAGAGAGACGGCTTCAGCTCGTCGAATTCCTGCTGCAGACTCGGTAAGTACTCCATACTGTCGTAGCAGTGCCAGTCATCATCCCCTGGAGGGCGACAGGGGTGAGTTAGAGATAGAGCAGTTGGGTGGATGGGTTGACGAGGGAGATTCAATGGTGGTCGGGACAAGATGCGGAGGAGAAGCGCTGGGGCTGAGCCGAGGCTTATCGGCCGGCCGCCTTCCACTCCGCTTCGGTCTGGCTGCTGATGATCCGGCAGATCAGCGGCCTCCAACGTTGACACTCATATCCACCATCTTGATCACAAATGGGTCAATTGGGTCCAGCAAAGATGTCTCATAACTCCGACTTATCAACGTGGCTGTTGGCTAACAGAGGGGCTCTACCTTGCTATGTATGAGAACATGCAGATAGAGTTCATGAGAATTCTCGCCTTGGATGGACCAGACACCTTCACACCAGAGAGACTACAAGAGAGACAAGGCAGAAGCTTTCTGGTACATAAATTGTGTTGCTTTGCCTATCATACACTGACCGACGTCTGTCCGAAGCTTTGGGGAAAAGCTGAAATCACACCGACAGGCTGTCGTGATGTAACTGGAGTAGCCACGGTTGCTAAGATGGCTTTCCCAGGCAAGGTTCTGGAGGAAGAGCACATTGACGCTATCTTCGTCAAGCAAGCTAAGCATCCTAGTATTCCCCTTCACCACATTAACAGCCACAGATTCGACACGCCCGGACGTACGAGCCAAAAGGAGTACTGTACTTCCGCTCCACCGTCCCAATCAAACCACACAGCAAGTCTCGCACAACCCATGCTCCTCACCCTTCGACATCACCGATTTTGCGGATGCTCATTCTCCCCTTTAGGCCCCATGGCAGCCGCCTGGATAGCCTCATCCCGGATCTGCATCAACTGTTCCAACTGCCTGCCCTCGGAGACCCGCTTCGAGGTTCCCACCTCCGGAAGGTCGATACAACGCACGACCAGCCGCGCGATCTCCCCCTGCGCAGCCGAAGCGGGGAGTCCCTCGCGCGCCATCATGGGGAACCACATCAGCACGCAGCGTTCCGCGCGGCGCGGATCCCCTAGGTGCGCGTGCAGGCGGAACAGCATCGCGTAGTCCTCGGCGCTGCGCGGCGCTCCCTGCAGCGGGATCCGGCGCCATAGCTTCCAGAAGGACTCGTCGTCGCCGTTCTGGAACAGCATGGTCATGAGGCTTCGCGCGTCGTCCGGGTGGTAGGGGAGGTGGAGCGCGGTGATCATTCGCGAGATCCGGGTGGCTGCGTCGATGTCGTTGTCGTCTTGCTTTCTGGCGGATGGGCTGGGTGCGAAGAAATCATCATCCGTGTCGGTATCGACCGTGGTGCGAGGCTGCGGTGGGGAAAAGATAGCGGCCTGGTAGAGCATGGCGAACGTTCCCATGACGAGGACCGGCGTCCCCTGCAGGGACAGGTACTCCAGCACGCGCAGCGCCAGCTCTTTGTCCGCGTCCGGCACTTGGTCGGGAAACTCTGCATCGTTGGGGGCTCGCGGGGTCAAGAGGGTGGAGACGACGGAATAGCCCAGATGATCGGAGACGGCGCCTCCCGCGGCGGTGTGTTCGCCAAATGCCTCGTAGAGAGTCTGCTTGCTCGGTCCGGAGGGAGGCTTGTGTTGGTGGTCGGCGATAACGGCATCGAGTAGGTTTGTTGTTGGTGGTGACGTGGGTCCGCGCGGGTGTCCAGCAGGTCTAGAACTCGGCGCTGGGGAAGTATAGTAGCAGTGGATTTGGGGTAGACAAGGAGATTGATAACGCGGTATTGCTGTGGCTTGAGCTGAGAGTAATTGACATCGAATATTTGGTCTAAGCCATGGCCCTCGAGGAAGAAGCCCACTCATCTTGTTGCTGTAGAGAATTGCTGAGAATAGAAGACGTCGGCCCATCACACGACTACTACTGAAAGGCTAGGCTAACCGCCGTCATCTCCTCATCGGATGCGGGGAAGCGCAATGCTACTAAGCCAGAATGGGCCGAGCGCCCCACAGAAGCCCAGGAACCATGCAAGTGACAGCCGCCCTTACCGCCTGCTACACCGCCTGGGGCGGCAGAACGCCCGCGACCTCGCCACGGAATCCGCGATTTCGGGGATGAACAGGCCCAGAAAAAAGGTGGGGCGGAATGGTAGGTTTTGGCGGTGGCAGAAAATATCCACCCGATCTGGAATAGCTTCATTTTCGCCGGCGGACTACAGTACAGCACATGTGTATAAGGTACACAGCCAGACCAACTGTGTCAGACCACTAACATATACCTCTCATAAACACAAACCAGATCTACTACTTGTAGATGACGACAGCACTCTCCTCAGTCATTACAAGCTACAACATCTTTCCAAGCTAGTCACCAAAACCTTGAGGAATCATTCATGAACACTGGGATATCGATAAGCCAACCAATCAGACAGAAAAAAAATGCTCCCTGTACAAGATACACCCGCAAGACACTCATATAGATCAGACTCGAGGCACGCAACATCAGCCTCAAAAAATCTTCCCCAGAACCCGTTTCGTTTCCGCCCCAAGATCCTTGAAATCATCCGTACTCTTATCCCGTCCCAACTTGACCTCATTCTGCCTAAACACCCGCCGAACCTTGACATTGCCATTGCCATTGCCATTAGCATCCTTCTTCTCCTTGCCAGCAGCAGCAGCAGCAGCCCCAGCAGCCCCCTCAGCAGCACCCCCGACAGCCAACTTCTCCAACCTCCTCCTCTCCTTCTCCTCATTCTTCCTCCGCATCCCATCCAGCACCTTCCCGCGCTCCACCCCCTCCAAGAACACCTTATCCTCCTTGCGGGCCTTGGAGTCCTCCGCGCGCTGCCGCGCCTCGCGCTCCGACCGCTCGCGCGAGATCTGCTCCTGGAGATCACTCCACTTGAAGCCGCGCAGGTACTTGAGGTTGAGGATGTCATCGTGGTAGAACCCGCCCTTGCGCCCGCCGATGATGTTCCCGTTCAGCGCCTCGGCGCAGATCTTGGCCGTCCGCTTGCTGGCGAACTCCAGCCACCCGTCCGCGTAGGTCTTGCGCTTGTTCGTGGTGCGCCGCTTCTTCGTCTCGGGCGTCAGGAAGACGCGCGTGATCGGGCCGAAGCCGCGGGCTTCGATGAGGTTTTTGAGGGCGAATCTTTACACCAGAAAAGGGTTAGCGTTGGCGTAAATGAGTTTTCCACAATCGGGGGGGTTAGGGGACCATTGTTTGGTACGTACGGTTTGAGATGCGGCGGAAGCGAACTGAGATATACGACGCCGGTCTTGTTTTTCTTGTCCTTCTTCAGGAGCGGGGTTTTCTTCTCGTTGGACGGGGAA